TTCAAAAGGGGAGGGGGTCAGGGATTTCTTACGGGTGCCTTGCAGGTGGGGAGAAGGGAGTCAAAAATTTGGGGAAAATGCCTCACTTAATACTTGAACAGTTCCTAATACAGGGATTCATAAAGTTCCAAGCCTTTCCATTTTAAAAGTCCCTTTCCCCTTGAAGTTCTCAAAGTTATGACCATTTTTTCAGCTCTTGATTTACAAATTGCTTTAACTTTGCGCAAAGCACACAATTAGGAAGATTGTGCAAAAGTCATGTAATGTTTGCACAAATGCCCACTAGCCTTACCATTCTTTCATGAAAACAGCTTTAAGATTGTGCGGTCATGAATTTTCTGCACTCTTGCCCGTATATTTTAAATTATCTATCTTAGTAATGAAAAAACTCTGAAATTACTTTAAATGACGATCCGAAATGAGTCCAAAATAAATAAGTCTATCAGCTGCAGTATAAGACAAAAGATCTTTCATCTCAATTCTTGTCCTAGCACTCAGTGATAAAATGAGGATAGAGGTCTTCCATTTTAACCTAAAACAGGGTGTTCATAGACTCGATGGGAAAAATTCCCCAAGTTTTCCCTTGACGAAAATGATGAAAATTCCCTACCTTTTCACATCAACAATTTGCAGGTGCTGGACTGAAAATGGACTATTATTGGCATCAATTTCACTGCGAGCGACAGAAACAAGTGAATTTGTCTCCTTCAACATTAGTATTAACATTAAGTCAAGTAGTCTTAACATTAGTATTACCAATTCAATTAGTTGGAATTTTGATTCCTCATTAATATTTAATCCTCTTTTTATTATTATTTAGAATGTGACTCAGAGCACTGACTCCAGAAACACACTGAGACTCAGCTCTAATGTAAGAGTAAGGCTTATGTTTTTCCAGATTTCAATTAGAGAATGAGTTATAAAGTGCTCATTTAGTGCACCGTTAAAGTGAAAGTCAGATGAAGAGCACACCACCAAAATAAACAAGAAAAGATAGAAAACAATGGTGCTGAAATTTGAGTTTTGCGTTACTGGCCTTGCACTAGAGACATATGAACGTTGACTCTTCCGAATAATGTATCTCATTTATGGTGTTTCATTCTATTTTTTTAAAGAGAACAAATACACATAATTCTGTACCATTTTTACAGAATTTTCTTTAACAGTGAAAAAAAGCAGCAGAAGATTTTAGAATCAACGTTGGTTGGTTTCCTATATAGAAAATGAAGTATGACGAGAAGTCTGGGACGTTGCAGACCGAGATACATGGTTTCGGAGTTTCACAATCGATTTCAAAATATCAAAATGTTTTCTTTCATCAAGGTACAAGAATACATTTGAATCTTATCCATAATTTTTGTTACGAATAAACCTGCTTTTCTCTGGTTTCCTTTGGATCTCTGACTTATTACAAGACAGGTCAAAATCAAAATGATATATCACACTCCTCTAGATGCCCTCAGGGAACAGAGGGATTAAAATATCTGACTGCAATACTCACCGTTGTAAGGAGCATTCCTTAGTTCCTCTTCACGTCTTTCTAGCTCAGCAGCTTTTCTATCTAATTCTTCTTGGCGACGCTAGAAAAAAAAAAAAAAAATACATTCACACAGTCTGTAAATAGAATTGAGCCAATCAACTAACACAATATTTGATAGGCTGTAGCAAACAATATTCTAGTTGCTAACACTCAAATATTTTTTATTTTATTTTTAAAAACTTCTTATCAAGATTTCATCAACTTCAAGTTCTTTTTCAAGTTTTTCAATTCAATAATCAGATTTTGATGTACAAGAGATCTGACATTATTACAAGTTGCTAGAGTGGTGCAAATTATCAAGGTACTGGATTAGATATATGATGCAGGCAAACCAGGGGTGCAGAAATTAATTTGCTTCCACATTTTTTGAGGTTGCCTTCATACTACTGTCTACTTTCCGTACTTTGTGAGACCTTTTTCCCTTCAAATTTTACAGGCAGCCTTCACATTGGTGTTTACTAAGGACTGCACTTCACTATATTACATTACACATTTTCCTCCTCCATAAGTAATGTGCTTGGTAATTTTCCTAAACGCATAAAAAAATTCGATGCATGGTTTCCTTCACAAAAATGCTTACTACCATCACAATTTTCCTCCTAAGTAAGTGCCTTCACGTTTCTCCCGCGCTTGGCCTATTCATCACTTTTTACACACCTGCAAGCCAGTGACTAAATGGGGCATTTCGTCAGATGCCAAAGCAAATAGTCAAATCCTTCCTCAGATCTAAATCTAGGTCTTCTCGCTAATTTTAGATAAAATAATTCTTTGCTAGAATTAAACCATTTACTATTAACAACTCACCTACTTGTGATATTTTTCTTTCTATTTTCTTTCCTCGCAAATTTTTGCTCATGTAAGAGAGAATTCTTCATAAGAATTTGGATTATACAATGAAAAATGATTAAATTTTAGTCCCTTGGTGAGGATCTAAAAATTTGCAGCACATCATAGAATACAGAATTTTTAAAATATTGACAATTACAATAACGGATAGCATTCGGAGAATAATATACAAGGAAAGTTCCACAATGGGATGAATTCTTACTCTCAAAAACATTGAAATATCAAGTGTTCTTTGTCGAAAAAAAAAGAAAACCTTGTAAATCATCAAAATTTGACAATCTATCTGAATATTTGATAGAATGCCTAATTTGACTGCTTGCCTCCAACATGAAGAGGCATTTTGTGAATAAAATAACTGAAGGTAGAATTTTTAAAATGCATGTATAATCATAAGACCGTCAAATCAGTAGAGATAAAAATAATGAGAGAAAGCTTAATTGGGCATACCACTAGTTGCTCCTTGAAGCATGGAAGTAAAGGAGAAAGATTTTAGTAGTTCACAAGACATCTCATATGACTACAGAAATACATACGAGGCCCAGCTGAGAAGTAATGCCTCCGAGTGCATAACTTGAGAACCATCAAAGATTTTGGCAAAAACTAAAAATATCCTAAAAGTACACGTAATTACCTTTCTAGTGCTGTATTGGTTTGCAAAATTGAACAGTTTTTGACGTTACAGCGTTGCCAAACTTCTGACATTTCCTCTTCGACATGTTGAAGGAAGATGTTGCGGGTGACAGATAAGGCTGTCAAACCTCACAGGTGCAGAAAATATTAATATACCTGAAAATACCAATTTCGGCAAACAATGGAGGACTTAATAACTCATAAAATCCAGGATACAACCGGCACGTACGAGGTTCTTGAGACCATTCCTCATCCTACATAAAGTCCTGACTCGACAGACTTTTCCAAACTTGAATAAAGACCTGCTCCAAGGTACTTAATTTTAATCAGATGCCGAAGTCTGAGCTGCAGTCGACAAGTGGATTCGAAATTAGCCCCATTCATTTTTCTTGACACGAAACAACTCGTTGAAGTTAATGGAGAGTATATCGAAAAATAATTGTAATTTTTTTTAGATACTTAATGATGCTCTTAAATACAGTGTACTGTTTTTTTGTACATGGCTTGTCCAATTTATCTCTAATTTGTCCAATTTTAGCGAGGCAGAGTTATAAATTGTCATCTGTAACATCTTTTTTCAACATGTCGGAAGCTTGGCAACTCTGTAACGTCAAAAATTGTTCAATTTTGCAAACCAATGGACCATTAGATAGATAATTGCCTCTCCTTTAAGAATCGTTTTAGTTTTTGCCAAATCTATACTATAAGCTTCGAGACCTCCTGAATTTGCGTACCTGCGCATAACGCTTAGTTCCAACGTTCTATGGAGTCAATTTTCATGATTTTTGCGGCCATTGACAGACAATTGTCTCCAAATGGACCCGCTTCATTCAGATTTTGAAAATATAACCCAGATTTTTTTATATTGCCGGGTAAAGTTGCGAATTTTCTCATTTAACCGATGTAAATTTTTATTTTTTATCATGGTTCATTTGAGCGTTCTACAAAGCCGATTTCCATGATTTTTGTGGTTATCGACAGGTGAAAGTCCCTAGATGAGCCTGCTCTAACAGATTTTGGAAATAGGACCCAGGTTTTCTTACAATCACGTTATAAAAGTGAGCAAATTTACAGAATGCTCCGCAACTGCTACCGCTATGCGCAGAGGGTTGCGCAGTAGCAGAGAAGGTTGCGCAGTGGCCGAGTAGCCTGCGCATTAGCTCTACTCTATGAACAGAAGATTCATCCCGGGGAAATCAATGTTGGTGGTGGCCGAGTCGTCTGAGGCGTCAGATGCACCTCCATCCTGTTTTCATGTCCCAAATCGTAGGTTCGAATGCTGACAATTAGCACTTACTTCTTACGTCCTGTAAATTATCTTACGTTGTTTTACTACAATGATTCATTAATCAATCATCGCAAAATGCATCCTTTACACTCCAAATTTTTTCTTCCTTTTTGTCAAAAACAAAAATCATTTTGTTCTTAAAAGGAGAATATACTTCATATAGTATTTTTTAGGGGAAAAATAAAACCAACATTGATAAGAAGCTAAAAGAGAAAGATGCAATGATAAAAATTGGATACGAAAGATGATTTAAAAAAATATATATATATAATTGAAAAAATAGAAAAAATTTGACATCATTGTCTATTAGGCTCTTACTACTACCGTCATGAAAGTTTTGCCGAGATTTGTTAATCAAATTTATCATGTAAATATGAATTTTATTGACGCTGCAACTACAAAAAAGCCGCGAAGTGGCCCTTTGATAGCGCGGAGCGCCTTCAGAGGATTGGGCCGCGTAGCGGCCAGGGGGCGTAGCCCCCTAGATTTTGATAAGTTTCAAGTTATGAGCTTGGAGGCATTACTTTTCAGCTGTGCCTTGTACATACTTTGATAGACCACAATGTAATTGACCTGTCAAAAAACTGAGGCCTTCTTGTTCCCCTTTTTTGAGGAGGAAATATAACTGATGAACTGAGATTGTTGTTTTCAACCGAGGAGCTTCTAAAAATTAGCATTTCTGATGGTAAAAAATTCAACCTTCGCAAAGCTGTATTGCGAAAAGAGTTTTGAACTCAAGATTTAAGTTTTACTGAAAGATTATCTCATAATAATGTTTTGTTTGGACCACATTTGAACAAAATCTCCGAGTTCCTCAAAAAAGGGGCACTCTTCTGACAGGCTCTTTCTAGCCGTACTTTAATAACCATCATTACAGTATTTACAGTTAGTGCAAAAACTTTAGAGGTAGGACTTTACCTAAGCAGTCTATAACTTGGTTTTCTTGGTATTGGACAGTTTTCTTAAAAAATTAGGAACGTCCTGCACAAAAATTTCTGATGATTAGATCTGTAGAACAAAAGTGAAAATTTTGTGTACCATTTTTTTGGTATTTTTCAGACATTTTCTAGTTTCTAGTCTTTGCCTGAAGCTCATTACTGGAACAACGTAACTTTGAACTATTCCGAGTCGCACGGACGGATTGGTTCATAATTGAAGAATTCTTAAATTTCAACTGATTCTGAATTCCAAAAAATTCAAAATGCAAACTGAAAATGTTTACCCTTAATTCTTCCGTTGTTAGATTTATCTGCGTTTGTTGACCTGATGCTGAGTACGCTGGTGGAGGTCTGGATGTATCCTGAGTTGCTACCATTATTGCAGGCCCTGGTGATTTTAAACCGGAAGTCTGTAACGGTGGATTAGCAGCACCGCGGACCTGAAATAAAAAAAAATAAATAGTGGGAATGCCTTATTAAATAGGACAAATTAGAAATTCATGAATCACATGCGAAAAATATATTAAAAGAGCTATTCAACACAGGAGCTCCAAATTATGATTCTTCACTTTGAGATAGAGTAGATTTTTTTGAGAAATATATTTTGCAAAGCAATTGGTCAAGCCATAACATCTAAACGAAGAATACTGATTTGGTTAATACACCGTTTTAATGCAATTACAGAAACAAACAACCTCAGACTAAACAGACTTTGGAATAGTCAATAAATATGTCATTAAATCAGAGGAACTTAATGTTGTCTGTAGACTACAAGTTATGAGGACAGTCCAATTCTCCATGCAGACTATGCACTTTTTAGCCGAAAGATATGAAGTGGTAAATTCTGACATGCAATCCAAACGATTATTTTCACTTTTAAAAAGTCCGTTACTATGAAATATCAATAGCAGATTAACAATGTATTTGGTCGATTCTAAAAATTTGTTGTTAAATGTATTGCAGTGAGTGGTTACTCTGATTTGTTGGAGAGGGATCTAAAATTACTGCAAGCCCAAAACCTAGGATAAAATCGAGAGGAATCTTCCTCTTCCTATACCTCAGTTCTTCTTTTACTAGAATCAGTTAAATTACTTCTTATTCAAGATTTTCATTTGGTTATGTGACATAGAGATATTACTCTATCGTTGATTGGTCCAAAGCCCTTCCAGGGCTAAAAGACCACATACAAAAAAAAAAACAACTGATAGAATAAGAATATGGATTAAAACTATACCACTGTTGGTCTTCCTTGAGATGATTCATCTGGAGCGAAAGGGTTATAGCTGTCGATTCCTTTTTGAACATTCGAACTTTGCTGCGTTACTTGCTGGACTGATGGATCCTGAAGATAGAACATATCATATTTTCTCTCAGAGTGTACTCTAATTCTAGATTACAACAGCTTATTAATTATACACAAAGAATTGCATAAAGTATTTGGTTGCATAATGTTAACTTTCAGGTAATTAAGTCTATTCACCTCATGGGAAGGAGATATGGAGTTACTCTTGGGCGCAGATGAGTGCAAAAAGTGTAGTTTAAAATGTGATTCATGGACTAAATTTGCTTTGTCAGTTCAGGACCTAAACTATTCAGGGTTCTGGAGGATGCTCATTCCTTTCCAAGTGGGTATGGTTTCCTTCTAAACTAATAGATAACAGAGGCGGTGTAAATTTGCAGTTCATACACTTTTTAAGGATACAAACGAACTTTCTTCAAAAAAAGTTTTCATGTTTCAATATGATTTTGAAATCAAAGATGGGAATGAGAAAAAATTTATAGTGACTTCAATGAGGAGGTAATCTAATGACTATTGATACCCTAGCAACAAGCTGAAGACGGTGTTCTTAGCGGAGGACTTAGGTACTATTATCTGAGAATTTAATTATGATTTAGACACATTAATATTAGTAAGAATGGAATTGTAATTTAAGTAACTTATCAAGTTGTATTTAAAATTACTGTAACTTTGAATGGCTGTACCCTCTCTGTAGGTAAGTAAGAACAGTTACATTCCGCAATGAGAATGTATTTCATAATTCAATTCAAAACTATACTTCAAGTGCAACCACTGTGCAGATATTCACAGGACAAACGACATATTTGATGAAGGTTTTCCTTAAAACTTCACCTGTTACTAGATCTATAGGATATTCTTAGGAGGGTAGCTTTAGCGTAAGTACTATATTGTGACTCATGACGAAAGAATTTCTCTGAAGATCGCAGGAGGAGCATTGCAACACAGTGCAGCATTGCTCTATTTTGTGCCACAGCTATTGTATAGCATGATTCTTCTTGAAAATGAGCGAAACAAAAGAAAAAATACAAAACGCCATTTTAATGCAAGTGGATGATGAGGGCGAAGGTAAGTTTGTCAAGAATGAGCTGAACTGAGAGATAACATCATGAGAGATTGTATAACCTCTTACCGCGAATGGATTGTCAACTGTCGGTTCTCCAAATGGGTTTTCATCGAACATTGACATGATGCTAAACAAAACCAGAGAAACAATGGGAAGAAATTTTGCCTTTCACGCGAGAAATTAACGAAAGTGTGGAAATATTAATTCAGCAACATTAGATAACAGATGCACAATGTAAACACATTCAGATACTCGAGTTGGCTGTTGAACGGTGCTTCAGTGACGATCGAAATATGTTTTACGATGACTGCCGTACATCATTTTGTCGATTCGTCTAGTGTTGGGGATATTTTCAAGAAAACCGATATTTCAAACGATACGATATTTCTGAAAATATCGAATATTCGGGTCGATACGATATTCAAAATATCGATATTCTAAAATATCGGTATGAAAATATCGTATGTGAGTGTTCGATAATCACCCGCGATTTTTGAAACAGAATTTAAAAGATAGGGATATAGGAATCATAAAATGTATTTATAAATNATTTTGTCGATTCGTCCTCGGTCGTCGGACTAGACTAATCGAGTCCAACGACTGATAACAAAGTTTTACCACTTTTCAGTGTTATAGTTCTTTTACATTTTGCAGCCAATACTTCAATCACTACTAGCGTGAATGCCACTGTAAAATAGTGTAAAAATCGCCAACAACCGTCACGATGGCTTACGCCATCACGCTGAAAGGAGTCAACCTAAGTAGTGCTGGAAAGCCAGTGAAGTCTGTTTTCAAAGTATGTACTCACTCAAACTTGAAGCCAGCCTTCCTTGTAGCCTCTGCAAATATTCTCGGATTCCACAAAAGAGATCCTAACTATCAAAGACCGAAACCATATCCATATGAGACGAAATATTATGGCTTCTGGCAGCGTTGTGTGGACAGGACCACTTGGCGATTTGATGATAACACCAAATTGATTATTATCGAAGGTCCCCCTGCTGCGGGCAAAACTGAATTAGCCAAGAAGCTAGCTGAGGATTTTGATATGAAGTACGTAGGGGACGCAACCATGGATGATCGTTACATTAGCAAGGTCACTGGACATGATTTTCGAGAATTTGACCCACAATTACCACCAAATGTGCGAAGTTTCGATGAGAAAGATTTCTGCAAAAATCCCACGCACCGAAATGCAGCCATTTTTCAAGTATGGAAGTACCAGCTTCGCTTTGCCCGATATATTGATGCCCTTGCTCACATACTCAGCACAGGTAATTTCATCTTATTAATGAGTCAAACTGGCCTTCCAACTTAGTGACTTACCGCCTACATCAGCGGGCCAATTATTGAAATTTAGTGTTTGTCAGGCGGACATAGATGACATGGGTTAAATGACGAGGCGTGATTGGTCGGCTATGTCTTATCGCTGCTTTGTCGTGCCTTTGTCAGGTGGAATGGACGATATACTGTCGGAAACTTAAGAGGTACCGATGGCTTGTCGTGAGTTCAACCCGACATAGGCACGACAAAGCAGCGATAAGACGCAGCCGACCAGTCATGCTCCGCCTTTTAACCTATGTCATCTATGTCCGCCTGACAAACACTATAAATTTCAATAATCGGCCCGCTGGGATGCAAAGTGTTCTCAGCCTTCCTATTTTTAAATTTGTTCTCCCATTTCAAAAATCCCTATTTCCTCTGCCACTTAACAAAGATTACTCTTTAATGGCTCGCTAGGTATAAATTGCCACATTTGTGCATAATATTTATGATTTTTACCGCAATTTCCAGAAAAACACTTGAATTTTATGGAATTCCCGTGAAAATAACGAGTTTTCGCCAGCTTTCCCACCCGATAAGTCCGTTTTGGGGCCTTCACATTCCAACCCATCCCGTCACATGGTCAAGCAGTTTTTGCACCCCTGGCCTACATTTTATTCTCTCCAAATAACTATCTAAGTTTTCTATTCAGAATTCACTGCATTTTTACCTCCCTAAGTCTCCTCTCAGAAAATTTTAGACATTTTAATACCATGTTATGAAGCTCAAAGTATTGGAATGCAAAATGCTGCGCTCAATTAGTGAAATTAAACTGTAAATATTTGCATGAGAATACCCTTTTCAAAATTCATTTTCTAGAAATGGTCAGTTTAAATGAGCCGCTAGACGCGATGGATCCGCATATTTTATTATTTGGGCCAGAAATTGATGGTGAAATTAGTTTGGCCTAACTTGTTTTATACCTTGATGTTTGCTCACTCCAATTAGAGATCCAACTAAGAATTCTTTATTTATCGGAGTAGTTGTGAAGCTCTTGACTGAAGTGCTGAAGAAATCACCTTGAGTAATTTGTATTTTCCACTTTTCAGGAGGAAACCACATGGCCTTTTTTTAAAAAACATTTCTATTTACAGTTTTAATGTAACAAAATGATCTAAAATTACAACAGGAGTTGTGCAACATCAACGTCTGCTTCGCAGCACAGATAGATGTATAGTCAAACTTCATCACCCCTATTGTCATCATACACCAAAATTAATCTGAGTCGAGTGTGGTGAACTTGGAATTTTTGCTTTTCTCTTGGACATCATCTTCCTTTAGATACTCTGAAAGGTAAAACGATTTTTTGTTTCAGGTCAAGGTGTGGTCATGGAACGAGCACCATTTACGGATATTGCCTTCGCCCAAGCCATGAAGCAAAGCGGATTTATGAGTAAACAAGGTAATTATGCGTGCCCAAATATTTTTTTCATTCTTTTCTCCATAGGCTGAAAAACGAAACTAGCCTCCAAATGCTTGCTATGATCCAGCACTTAGCAAATGGTTAAACAGTACTATTTTAAACCATCATCAAAATTACCTATTATTCATACAATTTCTATCAAAAATCCCTTTTTTTCTCTAAGTTTCAGCAAACATTTTCTAAGCTTCTAAGAATAAAAGGTAATGTTTTCATCAAAATTTCTCAAGTCAACTCACCATACCTCACATTTGCTGCAGATTGTCTGCACTGTGGCAGGCTCCCATTTTAGTGTGCCTTTTGAAAAAAATGAAGTGTATTTTTGGAAGAAAATGCATTACTTTTTTAAGTTATTTCAAAACCTGATCTTGATCTAACAGTTTAACTTCATTATTCAAAAAGCACAGAAGACTCTGAGTAGCAACAATAATTGATGAATTTCAGAAAAGAGAACTAGTTTTACAATGGAAAGTTTTAGATAAGCTTTATTGCAGTCTGGCTCTAAGGTTTTGCTGAATTACCAAACCATTCCTGAGTTACCATTTGAATTTTGATTTTCATTGAGTTTTGCCCAACTCCACGAGTCGCTTCTTGCCTCTTAAGTACAGATTTTCAATTGGTAACATTAAAGTTGTGGAGTGTTTTTCTCAAGTTAATGAAAATAAACAAAATGAATGGTATGAATAAGAAGTAAAGCAATGGGCCAGTTGCGCTGGTCACAAAATCGTGTTTTGATGCTTTATTCTTGTAGATCAGCTAAAAATTTTGACAAATTCAGCCCAAACAGCAACTTTCTACATTGAATATTAACTGAGGTATCGCGCCCTGGAAAACTCGATTTATGATGTCATCTACCGCGGGAGCACATACTTGTTATTCATAACCTTGGTTGATGATGTCATAAATCAAGTTTTTTAAGGCGCGGGATCTCAGTTAATACTTAACATAGAAAGTTGCTGTTTGGACAGATCTTGTTATTTTTAACTAATCTACAAGAGCTAAACATCAAACCACAATTCTGTGGCCAGTGCAACTGGCCCATTGTATAGACTTAACAAAAAAATTTTATAATTAATTGTATGAATCCAATAAAGAACAACTCAAATCATGGATGCAAGTAAAAAATAAATGAATGTATAAAATGAACATAGAATTAGGGAGACCCTGGTACCATACCACCACCCCTTCGCCGTGTGGAGTAAAAGATGAATAAACGAAGAAAAAAAATGAAATTAGTTTTCAGAAAAAAAGAGGGGGGGGGGGAGGAAAGAGAAAGCAAGGATAGAAAGTGAAAGGGCAAGAGTAATGTTAAAGCAAAAAAGAAGTCATGAGATCTTGGTGTTACAGAGGAAACTGGATTGATGCGGTTAGGTTAGGACTGAGGTGTGAGGAGGGAAGTGACGGCCATGTCTAAGTAGGGGTGGAGGGTCTCTTTATGAGGAGACAGTTAGCTCATGACAAGTGGGAAGCGGTAGAAGCAAGAGCGCCGGAGGGACAGAGGGTCAAGGGTGGCTTGTGAACTGACAATGCAGTGTCACTTTTATGAGTTTATACTGCAGGATAAAATTTAGGATAAGTACTTTGAAATCTTTGCCTAATTTGTGTTTGAACTGTGTTCACTTAAAAAAGTTTGGCTAGCAAAAACCTACTTCTTGCGAAATAACTTACATTTAAAAATAATTGTGAACTTCAACATATGGTTGTCTTGATTTCTTCCTGTTTAAAATTGGTGAAATAGGTTTTGTGGCTGAATTTCTTACCATTGTTGTATGATCGCAATGTTTTTTTCAAGTTTTTCACTCATTTTCCTTTTTCCTTTATTTTACTATTTATTTTTATTTTTCAGCCATGTATGTTTACAATGAGCTTAGAAGACACACATTATATCTTCTGATGCGGCCACATCTATTCATTTATCTGGATATACCCGTCAAAGCAGTCAAGGATCGAATCAAACAGCGTGATTTACCGCACGAAAGAAACTCACCTGCTTTAACAGATAAATTCTTAACAGACTATGAAATGAATTGTAAATCATACATCATGCTGCACATGAGGTAATAAATACAATCCCTGTAAGAGGCATATAACCGGCCAACTTTTTTAAGTAATTAGCCCTAGGCCAAAGATTATGACAAAAATCATAGTGAGTTTTGATCAACCAAATTAAGCTAACTTTTCAGGTCTTACCCAAAGATGAATGATAATAATCAGCACAAAGATGAATGATAATGATCAGTGCAAAGATGATTGTTCTATCTTTATGGCCTCATCATTTCAATTTAATTCCAATGTTAAACCTTCTGTTTGAGAAGAGCACTATCTTGAGTTTTAACTCCTCATACTCCAGTACTGAGCCTGGGCCAGGTATTGTAAAAATGCCTGTATCATGGAGTGTAAAGGGTGAAGGAACATAAATTTTGAGCTCTCCATTGCACCCTTACCGGCTCTGAAACAACTTTTCCACTGCCAGCTGTGCTCTTGCTCTTAGGGATGTTTTCAAAACTACCTTGCAGCACAGCAGCATCTGCTGTGCTTTGACAGGACGTAGTTCGGCAATGTTTATTACTAGGTGACTGGTTTACCCTGTCTTCTCGATTTTTTGTAGTTTGGTTTGTGGTATTTTCCATGATAATCTTTTAGGGGCCTTTGGCTCCATTGTCGGATGTAATCTTCATAACATAACCCCCGTTGTCACTGAGGTAGTAAAGGGACTGTTGTAAAACAAAAATCCCAAAATCATAAAAACATGAAAATACTAAACCTTTACTCGAGAGCACTATTCTAGTTTTGTTTCCAAATCAGACCTCACTGTTGGGAGTGCAGTGCAATCTGATTTAGAGACCAAACTTATACCTAACTCCAAAAAATCAGATAGACAAGGCAACCCAATCATCTATTCTCATTGCACCCCGCTAAAGGAAAACTTTCAAACCTGATGCTTATTTCTTTTTCTGACCTCATTTTTTTGTATCAGATGGAAGAATTCCTGCGTGTCTTGTCGTCCAATTTCTCAAGGCAATCAGTTTTGTTTCCTCCTTTTGCGGTTGTAAATTTGTCTCATATCTGAAGACCAGCCACACGTCCACCACATTTGCCACAAATTGTGGATCACAAGATTGGGCATGATTTGCTCCGAAAAATTCCGTTTTAGGTTGATAATTTGATTCAAAAATATTTTTAACTCATTTGGGAACCTAAAGTCCAATTATCCTTTTTTTTTTGCCCTCCCTCCCCCATCCTCTCCCTCTGTTTATTTGTTAAGTTACTTCATTTTTGAACTCATTGCATCTTTTAGTTGGATTTTTTCCAAAGCTAATTTTACTAGTTGAACTACATTTTGCAATAAGGAACCACTATCTCTGGCTCCTCTATAAAAGCACTTTTCTGCATAGGGAAACCAATGACTTTTTTGTTGTTTCTAAAATGAGCCAGAAATAGTGGTTCCTTATTGCAAAATGTGGTTCAGATGTTTTTGAGGTATGTGGGAAAAACCTTAAAATAATACTTGAGAGCAGAAGGATGCTTGAGTTCCCAGCAATGAAACCTATGTCACTCCTAACAGCATTCATTTTGTGTTTGACTTTTCCATTTAGCAATCATTCTGATTTTCTCATGTACGACTGGACTGAAGGTGGAGATGTAGATGTTGTCCTAGAAGATATCGAGAAAATTGATTTTGATATTCATACGGGAACTGATGAAAAAATGACAGACTGGAGATTGAACAAAGAGGTGGAATGGTGCGACATGAGAAATATGTAAGTTTTTTTTTCCCCTGTTCATATTTGGCACAGTGGGATTTTTGTAATCTTCAGATATTTTATTGCATTTTTTCGGAAAGTACTTTTTTTTTATCTAGGTAATCAAGTATTGTTTGAGCAAATTACTTTTAAAGTCGTCACAAATGGATGTATTCCTGCCAAACAGAACCAGAAACAGGTGGGAAAGAAGGGGTGTGCTTGTTAGTTAAGGGCCATAATAATGAATAGGAATCATAAAGCGCCAGTGACATCAGCAGCGGCAAAAAAGAAGTCGATCTGAGTCTTTAACTCATGAGCCTTGTCCAAAAGGTTCTTGTCACATGCCCATGCCACATGAGTGCCGCTTTCAGTTGATGCTTAGTTCCGTTTGACAGAATGTAAAATTGCGTTTTTCCATTTCTCCAAAGGAAATCACGCCCACTTAAACATTTTGTCTTGTCCAATTTTCTAGAGCAAGCGCCATCTATCTCATTCGTCCATAGTTCTATTTGGCAGAAATACGTCCAAGTATAATGCCATTTGTAGAAGTCCGCGAAGCTTCGCATTTTGTGAAGCGAAGCGAAGTGTGGGGCCGGATAAAGCGAAGATTTCGCAGTAACGAACGCGGTAATTCAAGTTTTGCGCTCTTTCAAAATCGATACCGAATGCTTCATGATTGATGGACAATTCGTCCGCATGAACCGGTTCTTTGCGCATGTGCTTGCGGGCACTCCGCGTTATTTACATCAATCCAAGAACGGGTCATTCCGAGCCCCTTGTTCAGCAGAAAGTGGGAACCATCTGGGAACTGTTTGGCATTTTTTAACACAGAGGCTTATGGAAGAATTGCGGGCTGCGAGTGGTTTTGAGGATTCATAAATTTAAATCAATCATTATTGCCGCCAATGTTGGCAAATTGTGTTCGCCAAAGTCAAAACAAATTCAAACATGTACAACATTATGTAATCAATTTTCATAAGTAGGTATTTTTCACTGAACTCAAACTGTAAGAACATTTGTAACACATCTTCTCTTATTTGGACGTATTTCTGTCAAACAGACCTAGGGACCAGTGCAGACCAGTGCAGGTGGAAAAGATGGGGTGTGCTTGTTACTGCTCAGGCCATAAGAATGAATGGGAAATATAAAGCGCCAGTGACGAATCTGCTGCTCCAGTTTCCGGGCCTCCTCTTTAACTCATGAGCCCTGTCCACAAAGGTCTTGACACATGCCCACGGCTTATGAGTTTTGCATTCAGTTGGCACAGTTCTGTTAGCTGAATTAGAAAAGCAGGATTTTACATTCTGTCAAACGGAACTATGCACACACTCTATGAGCCGTGGGCATGTGTCAAGAGAGTTGTGGATAGGGCTCATGAGTTAAAGAGGAAGCCCGGCAACTGGAGCGGGGGATTCGTCATTGGGGCTTTATATTTCCCATTCATTCTTATGGCCTGAGTACTAACGGGCACACCCCATCTTTCCCACCTGCACATAGTTCTCTTTGATAGAAATACGTCCATTTGTTCTTATTAGACTTTTTTACTTTATGATTTTGAGTAAAATAACAAAATTTTTTGAAGATAAAAAAAAAATTAAAATGAAAATAAAAAAAGTAAAAACAGTTTTTATTTTTTATCATTCCGTGATAATCAAAGCAAAACCAATGACAAATTTAAAAAAAAAAATCTTAGACCTGCTGGCATCTCAATAAAAATTTATTCTTAAAATTTAGGGGAAAGGGGGAAATTTAATGAATGAATTCTTCACGTATTGCCCTGTGTTCAATGAAATTTACCACCGCCGCTCGCTGAGTTGCGACTCGCTGGAGTGACCGCCACAAAATACCGCGGGTTGCATCCAGAGTATTTGAAGAGGTTTTTTTGTCTGCTTTGCTTCGTCTTTGCTTTGCTTTGAAAAACGCCGCTTCGCTGACCCCTACCCCTAGCCATTTGAAACAAAGGCACATCCCGCCAAGAGAATATATGAAGTAGAGTTTCTGCCCCAGAGCGGGCATTTTGGGACCGGGTGAGGAATCTTTGGAAGTCTTTGCATCATTTGATACCTCTGATTATTGAACTGCCTATAGTCCATGCAAACCTATTAGACAGAGTAAAAATTCGGGCATTTTCGGGCGAGCCGAGAATTGCAACGTCGGATCCCGGCGAGGAGCCGCTGGGTTAGCGCCGAGCTCACTGGGGTATTGTTCCCATTGTGTCCACCCCGGGCCTTTACCTGGCGGCCGGACCCTGGCCATTAAGGCCAAAATTTACAGTTCTGTCAAAGTGTTCACGCTTCCATTGATGTTTTTTATAAAAGTATTTAATATTATAAATACATTTATTACAAATTATGTGCTGATATTTATTTTAATTTTAAGACTTACAGTATAAATGATGAACATGGTAGGAAAGATTGAAGGAAAGTTTTTGGAAAGCGCTGAAGAAATTGGCGAGTTCTGTGATTTAATAACTTACCATAATACTTACCTACAATTATATATAATTTTCATCAGAATTTCAAGCAGAATCCGAATCTGTTGAAATGAAGGAAAAATTCACAAATTATAAAAAAATTGGTGTGCAATTTTTGATCCACCAGTAGACAGAGGGCCTTAATGTCCAGGGTCCGGCCGCCAGGTAAAGGCCCGGGGTGGACACAATGGGAACAATACCCCAGTGAGCTCGGCGCTGACCCAGCGGCTCCTCGCCGGGATCCGACGTTGCAATTCTCGGCTCGCCCGAAAATACCCGAATTTTTACTCTGTCTAATAGGCTTGGACGGACTATAGTTAGTGTTTGATGAAACAAGGTGGAGAAATGGTGATGGGTCAACACCATTTCGTAGGGAAATCAAAGCCAAGAAGTTCCAAAAATTATAATTAGAGTCAAAAATAAATTTCCAATGCCAATTGTCAAAAAAAAAAAAAAAAAAAAAAAAAAAAAAAAAAAAAAAAAGTTAGTGCTTGATGGAGTAAATCATGTGCGGCAATACACCGCAGTGGTTTCTATAATATGTCTAATACCTTTGAAAAGAACACTGAATCGCTTAAATAACTTTAAAATGACTTTCCTTTCAAAAACTCTGAATTTTTGTAGGTATGCAGACAAGAAACTATGGCTATTGTCTCATTTCAATTGTCAGATATTCGATGCTCCCGAACTAGTGGGCACTGGTGATGAGGACAAGTGGCTGACAAAGTTTTGGTACCATGTAAGTATCTTAGATAAGGAGGACTTTAAAACTGACAATTTTCAAGAGACAGTGTGCTTATCACACCCTGATTTATATTATTATGATATTATGACTACCGTAGGAGGAGGGGCAGGGGCCCTAGTCCACAAAAGCTGAAAGTGAAGTTATTATCAGCAGAACACAGTGGAGTGTCTCACTAATTTTTTTGGACAATGAAAGCCAAAAAATTTCTCATCTTACCTAAATTGTGTTGGTTTAGAGTTCAAAACATGTATTTTCAAGGGAGCGCTTTTTATAATTATCATTATCTGTCGAATTTAGGGCACAAAAATGAAAGAGTGAAATGCAACCTTTTCCCTTCCTCCATACCAAGACAAAAAATAACACAGCTGCTCGCAACTGATACCCTATGGTACTAGAGAGAATTTTCTGTCAAAATATCCAAGCCTCTTGAATGATTTAACACTTTCAAGGTCTGAAAAAATCTTTCAACGTCAAACTTTTTCTAAGGCCAACCCAAACTATGTGTAATTTCAGTGTCTTTAGGCATTTGGCATGTCTTTCATGCCAAAATGTTTGTAGATGACTTGCTCGAGCGATGATGTTAATAGGAGAGGAAGAAAGGAATAGCTTGACAGAATAGGAAGAATAGAAATATGACAAGAAAGCACCATGACTAGTCATGACCAAACTATAAACTTACAAAAAGCTAAGCTTTCTGTTTCATTTTTAAGGATCGTCTGTGCCTGTTGAAATAAGTTTTTCTTATAGGCTGTCATACGGCTCGGATGTAGACAACCATATCTTAGAGCTTTAGCACTGGATTGCAATTATTTAACTGAAAAGCTTCACATTGGTATTGTTTAGTAAAAATAATAAAATGAGGTAAAAGTAGCCTTGATACTTTTTGCATGTTTCATACTTCTACTAGGCCTTTCGATTCAACAGAGCAATCTTCAGGCAGGACCTTTATCACATGTTAAATTTGTACCTCTAACTTATTTAAATCGATGTAGCAATAATGAAGTAGGTAATTTTTTTGACTAATTCGGCTGAACACCAGCATGCCACATTGAATTTGAATCTCATAATTATATTAAAAATTATGACCGCCCATCAAGCAACAAAGAACAAGCTAGAGTATACTAAGTACAATGTAGTACCTGTCCTGCAGATTATGTAGGGAAAGCTGAGAGAAATATTGGTACTAGGCTCAGCAAACGTCTCACCAAGGAAAACTCAAATATTCATCAGCATATTACAGAACATAAACCTAAAATGGGCTTGTTGCAAACTTTTGCTAGAACAAAAATAAGAGCTGTTACTCGTAGAAAGTGTCTCAAAAATCACGATGAGCTCATTGGCAAAGTCTGAAATGTACTCCTTTTTTCACGATTTGCATAAGAAATTTTCGTTTTTTCGAGCTTCCTGCTTCGAAAATGATACCATGGCACAGGTGAACATTTCGTTAGAGGAGTCATTCCATCCAAACCCTTGCTCACAAGGATACTGAGCAACAATCAATATAGCCGACGCCTATTAGCCAAAACACATGTGACGGGACTCTGATTCTGACCACCTGATAACAATCGGCGTGTTTACATTCACATTTTTCTTGCGTTGATAGATATCCACTTTGATTGACCTTGTGCTCTCCTCAACTTGCGCGCTAAACTGTCAGCCATGTTGAGCCGGGATTGAATTAAATGACTCCTGTAACGAATTGTTCACCTGTGCTGTAGTATCCTTTTTAAAGTGGTCAGCTTAAAAAAACGCAAATTTCTTACAGAGATTGTGAAGTTAGGAGTGCATTTCAGACTTTGCCGATGTGCTCATCGTGATTTTGGAGACATTATCTATGAGGAACAACTCTTATTTTTGCTCTAGCTGAAGTTTGCAATAGGCCCATTTATGATCTTATTAATAATGTAGTATCTGTTTGTCATGTAACTAATCATTGGAAACATTTTTGCACCCTCGAAAAATACAAGTTCAGAAAAGCCATGCTAGACTAATCACCTCTACCTAACATACAGCTTGATTGGAACTCTGAGGGCAATGTTAGAGCCCCTTTACTCTAGGCAATGCTTTGATAGATCTCTGCTGCAACAGGGTACTCTGATAGTATTTAATTAAACGTTCCACCTCTAGATGTAACTCCTCAGCTTCTCAACAGAGTGCAGTACTGAATATGATTCTACTGAACTTATTGTTTATCCACCTATTCGTATTAATTTTTGCCTTCTAACTTCATTTATGGATTTATGGTTCTTGATGTGAAAATGTAGTTTCATAGTATTGATCTCAAGATGTTATTTATTCTAAGTTTGGTATTTTGTTTTTCTGTAAACCAAAAAATGCTTATTAGACAATTTTAATTTGTGATAAAGGTACTGCCTGAAGATGATTCTGTTGAATCGGTAGGGCCTTGTAGAAGAACAAAACATGCAAAAGATATCAAGGCTATTTTTCCATTATTATTTTATTATTTTTGGAAGTATTCAATTCGCAGTTAAAAAGAAAGTAGGGTAAATCTAATCTATACTTGCTTTCTATTAGATGTTAACTTAAGCGTGGCTTAAATTTTGTAGATTCCATTTTTATTTTTAAATGGTGTGGTGAATTTAGAATGCTGTCTAGTGTTATTGATGACTTTTGCATAATTAAAAACTGAGCTTCTGATATCTCGCTGATAATGGACACCCCCCCCCCCCCTTCCAAGATAGAGACCTTAGTACTGAATAACTCATATTTTATTTTATTCATTGGCATTGCCACAAAAATTGCTCATGAGTATCAAACCAAACAGATTGATGATAGTATAGTTTGCAATGCAGAAAACTCAATTTTGAGAAGAGGCTATTTTAAATTTTTAGTATCCCTTGTTCAGGATTGAAAGTTGTTGGATTACAATTCAATTTTGTAGCCACCGTGCAGAAACAAATTCAACTACCTGTTATGAATCCCCTGGTATGATGGGAAGTGTGTCTAGTGAAATTCAGAGTTTCCAGCCCAAATTGACAAAAAATTGCTTCCATGAAAATTTTGCCTCCATGGGCCAATGTCCCTTCCCTTGTGGATAGCGAATCGCCATCAATGAAAGAATCACACGATGCATCTCGACTTGTGACATCGCAAATCTCTTGTCACTTGTACCTCTCTCAAGGGGGCCTTATGATTGTTTCGCCAAAAATTTTGTTTGAATTTCAGCGTTTTTTCGACCGTGTTCCTTGCAAATTTTATGCAAAATTTCCGAGCCGTCTTTTCCAAGGAAATGAAGTGGGAGAAAAATTTTTTGATCATTCCAATTAAGATCCATGGTTTGATGGTTTCTTTTATGGGTATCAAGCAAAGTCTAAATATATGTAGGTTTCATCAAAATTACTTTGAGTGAGGGGGAAGAAAGACTTCGCTTACAGCCTGATCATATCAAAGATCAGTTAAGTTACACCCTCAGAATGTTTTCCATCAATAATGACTTTCAATTTAAATTTTTCTTTCATTGTTTCAGCCTAAAAGAGGGAAGTATAGTTTTGGATACAATGCCGATCTAGGTGATAAGAATATCCTGTGGAAATCGCGACTAGCAAAATACTGGGACGTTACCCGTTAAACTGTTTTTAGCAGCAGTTCTTTCAGTCTTCATTTACGAAGCCAATAAGTTTGTATCATTCAATTTCTGTGCATCTCAGGCTTTCCCTTTATTTGTGCAGGCATTTGTAAATATAAACGTTGTTAAATAATGAGGTTTACTTACTGACTTTTTTCCAAATTGTTTTCATTAATTTTCTGGGCCCAAATTTTGTTGCCCAAGTTCAATTGCAAATTATGAGACCTAACCTCCAATTTTGACCAAATTTTGAACCAAAATTATAATTTTTGGGTTTTTGACACACTGCTCTGCGAAATTCTTTTGGCATACTTCAGCTTCCTCCATTTAAATAAAAAGTAGAGCTGTAGGATTAAGGAAACATTAATTCTACTCGTGATTAATTTGTTTAAAAAACGGAATTCAAGGTGATTAAATTTCGTTTTTTTTTTTAACTTTTCCTGTCATTTGAGGACTTGCAAACGTAATGTTGAACTGGTTTTTGACCTTACTGAGATAATAAGGAGGCAAAGTTAGGGGAAATTGGCTTATTTCGTGGGAAAATCGAATGACCTATTGACCTAAATTGACGTATTTGGGGGTCCAAACCCCTCCTTAAAATTAGTTCAAAGTGATTTCTGCAATTTTTACTTAAAAGCAAACACAATTTGGTAAATTTTCCCGTTTTATTTTTTTCTTTACGATAATTTGAACTGGAGTTATGATTTTTTGATATAGGTCGAAAGGGATAATTTGACCTGTGACCTGTCATAACTCGGTCTAAAATTAAGATATTGACCTGCGGTTCGCGCCAAAATTCTTAGATTTCAATGTACTTTTCAATGATGTATCACAAGATTGGGGTTAACATTTGAAAAAAAAAAGTTGGGAGCCCCCCTGTTTCCCCCTGAGGCAAGGGACAAATATTTGACCCCCCTAAAAGATGGTGCCCTTTGAGATAGAGAAACATTCCCAAAGTTTCGTTTTTCTATCTCTGACCGTTCAAAAGTTAGAGGAAGGGAGGAGCGGGACTTTTGGAACACCTTGTATATTACGTACATATACAGGAGTAGAGATGACAGATTAATGTTCTGAAGAAGGGGGAAAAAGCTCTGGAGGGGAGACATATTTACTCAAAAAAACGTCATTTTGATCCTCCTCAGTGCATTTTTTCTTTGATTATATTTCCATTTTTGGTTGGCAGTCTTTTAAGGTTTTACCATTTAACTTCATTAATCTCATCAAATTTTTAACAGCTATTCATTACATTGCTCAATTTTTATTTTATCATTGTTACTTTATTTGACATTTTGAATAATGTCGTATCAAAAGTATGGGAGTGAGAAAAAAAATAATTTTTTTTTATATACATACTTATATAATGTACATACTTACAAACAAAAAAAAAACAAGAGACACAAATATTCATTAAAATTAATTAATGAAGAGGAATGATTACTTTCCTTTCTTCATCTTAATGCTTCGATGGATGTACTTGCGAGCCTTGTTCAATTGATTTTCTCTACGTTGTTGGTGCGGATTTTTCATGGAATTCAACTTCTTGAAACTCTTCTGCTGTTTTTGCAGAGCATCAAAGTATAGCTCCCTTCTAAACTTGGACCAGTTTTCAGGTAGTTTTGGTTTTGTATTTAACCACCGTATACCTTCTGAAAAGCAGATTTGTAGAATACAGATCAGATTTTATTGGAGCAAATATTTAAGATCTTGTCTTCACTAGATGTTTCCATGAAATAAAATACCATAAGATTGCTCAGATCAACTTAACAAACGGATCTGTGAATATGGGACCTTATCATCCGGAAGGAAATTTTTCTTAAATTTTTTCGAAAGCTTAAACCACGTTTTTCTACAACCTGAAAATTTTTTTGTCTTGGAGCTTCAAGATTCATATCTCCTTCAAGCTTTCCTTCGAGCTTTCAGGGTCAAACTTGGGAGAAAACTTCCAGCTTTTTCCCTCCATAAATTATCAACAAGTTTGGGAAAATATTCGCCCAAAGTATTGTCCCTTCTCACATGCAAAGTCAAATATCAGCATTCTGAGAAAATTTTTTTAAAAAAATGTATAAATGAGCAAGACCCCGTATAGTAATTACTACGTTCATCACTGGTTACAGAAATTAATGTCAAAACAGTAGAATTAATTGTTGAAACCTTTGTGTAATCTGTTGCTGAGGTTAACTGGCCAGAAACATTGGTAGAGACAAAAAATAAAATGAAAAAGAGCTTAACACGACACAAGGTAAAAAATATTTCTTGAAATCCTGAGTTGCAAGAGGGGTCAAGAAATCTAAGTGAATACGAGGTCTGTTAGATTAGAAACCGGATTTTGGTGATAACTGGCCCAAAATGAATCCGAATTAGGTTTTCTTGGACTTTCTTGATAACTAGAAATATACTTAAGAACGCTACATTCAGAAATTTGAAAAATCCTGGCTAGCTTCATTGGTATGTGGCTTAAGGTAAGGCAACCTCATAGGTGTTCTGCGATTTTCATGTTTGACCGAACTTGTCTCTCTTTTTTCGGTCTTGCACTACCTTTTTCAACCCACAAGGATGATTGGAGATTCGTCTCCATATTGTAGATGAAACTCTCAAAACACTCAAGTTTTGTGACCGAAAATTATCCTATCCAAAAATGTAGGATCATTGTTAGAACGTTCAAGCAGCTAAAGGGAAATTGACATGCGGTTGGATTTTTGTTGAACGGACAACAATCAAGGGGCAAGTGTACCTGAAACTCGATGCATGCCTACATATTCAATCAAAACTGGATATACAGAGCTTCAGAAATATTACACTGTTCAGTAAGCTTAAAACGACCATTTCGAGCACTTTTCCCCACACTTCTTCCTTGTGGCAAATGTCAGTTGCTGTTGATGGTCGGATCCCATGCTCCTCATCTTCGACGGACTCCTGACCAGTTTTGAATCGTTTAAACCACTCAAAACAGTAAGAACAACTCATACAATGATCTTGGTAAACTTTACTTAGCATACCAAAAGTTTCGGTACAAAGTATACCGAGTTTAAAACAAGAATGTTAAATCTTTGCTCCATCAGTGATGGCATGATGAAAATTGCAGACGCATCGGACTTACTCGTATTCAAGGTGACGCAGAATGAACACTGATCAAAATAAACAAAATCAAAAACAAAATCTAGCGTTCTTCAGTATGTTATCAGCTATCAGGAAAGTCCAAAGAAACCTAATTTGGACACACAATGGGATAGTTATTACCAAAATCCGGTTTCTAATCTAGCAGACTTCGAAATTCGCTGTGGCCTGCTCTATCTTAATGTTTCTGTAGGTCAGTCCATTGAATGATTGATGAACAAAGAAACAGGTGTTTTCAAGAGAGATCTGAAGAACACACATGCCAAAGCAAAGAACATGTTTTATTGGTAAAATTTTGCTCAGGGAGCATTGAAAATTATAGACTTGAAAATGCTGGACAAATAGAGATCTAGAGATTTTCCTTTCATCTCTAATGCTCTCATTACCCCTGGGAATGAAATGTGAAAAACCTTAAAGTGAATTTATAGAAAGAATGAAATTTCCAGTTTTCAACCAAAAATATTTGGACCCCATTTATCAGAAAGCAACAATGCAACGTTGACTTACAGTTGGTTTTGAGGATAAGAGGTTTGAAGTTGGAAAAATGACCAGAGTCTTTTAGGAGAATACAAATATAAATTGGTACAATGAGCTTTTGGTTTGAATTTAGCCACTTTAGCTCAGAAAAAGCTGCTTTCCACATTACAACAAACTTACCCCTCCCCTCCCCCCCTCTAAAAAAGAAGGTTGGTTCCGACTACTAAATTTGATCCAGGTTTTGTACAGAATATGATGAAATAGCTACTTTGTGAGGTTTAATAGTCCAAAAGTTTACCTCCCATTTATGTGCCACCACATACACCCTCTTAGAGCCCAGAGGCACAAGAGGCTGGGACTATCAATACAAAGAAATAAAGGGTACTTGACTAAAGGTAAACTTGCAAAATACTTACCTTCCAAACGAACGTCACCTTTTCTTGGAAACAGGGTATCATACCATACACCGTTTTCAGGACAGAAAATTTTTCCTTTCTTTGGATTGAAGTACTCTCGCCTATCAACTGAGGCTGATAATAGTGGCTCAGTTTCGTTGTAAGATTTCTTGGTTCCTTTGTCCAAGTCCATCCGTTCAATATGTAGGACTTCTGCTTTAGATTCCATTTTTTTCTCAACAGATGAATGTTGCTCTTCTGATGTTTGTGCTTTTACTGATTCATCCTTTTCAGATTCATCACTTTCTGCAATGAGAAATCAATTATCCAATGATAAATCCTTGACAGTTAAAAATAAAATAAAAATTGATTCCATCAGTAATGTTGTATGTTATCTTAATCTCATTCTTATTCAGACATAAAAATTAAAACTTGAAAATTAGGGACTTCTCGTGTTTATAATTGATGAAACCTTTTGTTTGAAATCAGTGAGCAAGATCTAGCTGCATTGATTTTTAAAGAAGTAAAATTAAAAAAATTAAATGAAATAAATACTAATGCCCCTGAGCAATAATTAAGCAGAAATTATGCCATCAGTGGTAAAAATGTTCACACAATTTTTTAAAAGATACTCAAAGATATTGAGATTTTGCAAGTTTCAAAGTACTCTAAGTGGGTAACGTTAGAACAGAAGCTAAAATTTTGTTTTTTTTTAACCAAGTGCAACATTTCTTATTTGATCATTAAAAATAGGAATGGCCTAGCTGAGCAATCGAGTCAATGCCAAATAAGTTTATGCACTTTTAGACTGCAATACAAGATCCACAATTTTGTTCCTTCAACTTCTTTTTCATGTAAAAGTTACGTCAGACGATCTTCTGTCATAGTCTAGAAGTGCTTAAACTTATTTGGCTCTACAATGCCTAGAATATACAGTATGTTAGAAGCAGTGTTGTGAAAGAGGCAGACACTCACCAGAAGACTTATCCTCTTCTATCATTTTCAAAATACTAAAACCTTCATTTTTCTTCTCCTTGTTCTGAAAGTAACCTTTCAAATCATCTGATATTTTTACAAAAGTTTGAGCGGAAACTGGTTGTGGAGCGGCCTCCACTCTGTTCAATTTTTCTTTTTTCTTCTTTTTCCTCTCCGACTTTTTAGTTGCTGTGGGTTTCCGATCTTGGCCAGATTTGAGCTCATACTTCTTGTGTTCAGGGATTGTGGGGTCATATCGAACTATGAGCTGGTTCTCAAAACTGGAATCAAACATAATAGATCAAGTTCACAAAAAAGTGTCAAAATTTAGGATGACTTAACTAGCCATAAGGCTAGAATTATAAAACAGGAGAAGTACGGAACAATTTGCATGATCGTTACATTAAAATACTTTGAGCTTCCCCTCACCTTTCATTTTACCAGATTTGTTTTTCCGACACTGCTGCCAGTTCACATCAGCAGTTAGGTGGACCTGATCCTTGAGTTTGATTCCCTTAAAGCAGAATTCTTCATGCAAGTCTCAACATGTCCGTAATTTAGATCTTGTTACTTCGGTTATGCCTGCAATCAGGTGATGTATGCATAGTGCTGCCAAGTTATGTTGTGTTGCCAAATTTATCCAATTTGTAAAATTTCAAAAAGTAGTTGAAGAACTTTTTTCAGGAAGAAAATGCTAAAATGGCAATGGAGAAATTTGTTTGCTTGTTTTTGGATAACTTTGCAAATTTTTAGGAACAAAAAGTAAACTTAAAGTCAATTGATAGAGAATGAGTTTTTCCGTAAAACGCAACCAGGTCAGCTCTCTAGCTGCCTCAGTTTTAAAGTTAAAGCACCAGTCTCAGTCAGACAGCTTTTGTATTCAGAACCCATATTGAGCACATTCAATCTTGAAAAATAAATTTCCCAAATTTTCATTACCTACATCATATTTGAGGCAGGTTCCTCCGCAAGTGAGTGGCTTTTTTTTTAACTAACAGTCCCTGTAACTATTATTACTGACCAACTACCTTATGGGTAAAATTTGATGCCTTGTTAGAAGATGTTACAGTTAATCTTAGCACCTGAAACTTGATTTCTAAGGTCTCAAACGAAAAACCCCATCTCACAAGACTGAGCATTTCAGAAACAGTCTTAATTTACCTGAAGGAAACTAGATTTTTTTTCTTCATTTTAAGTAACACCTGAACACAAGGATCCTAAGTTTGGCATGTTGGTCTACATGTTTATGCTAAAAAAAGTTTCAAAGGCGGGAATATTCACCTTGAAGTTCTTTTCTTTGTATTGCCGGATTCTGGTTGTAACTTTCTTTTCTTCTTCTGCTTTGCCGAAAATTCTTCATGGAATCTTTCATCTAGCTGAAACCGACTGTCATTTTCTAAATGATGGCTATCTCCAACCGCCTGAAAGCAAAATAATTTTTCTGCAAACTAGGGTTCATATGATAATGATATAGTAATATAGTCTGTTGTGCAAATGAACAATAAAAGAAATTATAGTATGATAAGATTTTTGCCAGAAATAAGTTTCTTCGAGCAAGAATTAAAAGTCGAGTTAGTAGGTGAACTCAAAGTAGGAGAGATCTATCATCAGAGAGTCTGGGTGTGCACCCTCTCGTCTGAGTCTATCTTTCACATGAGTTGGACATTGGTCTCTACCCATCAAGTTCACACACTAGAGCGAGTCTGGGTTTTGTCTCAACGACAACACAGACTCGCAAAGGAAGGTCTGTTTGGCCGCCGAATTCGGCTGGGCGCCCATAGGATATTCACGGAAGTGAACATCGGGGGTGTTGCGGGGATGGCACGGGTCACGGGCAGGCAGTGAGACAATATGCATTCATATGGTTTGCAGCAAGGATGATTTCTGAAGAAATTGCAACCGGGATTTCCTGGTTTCAGTGGAGCACTGTAAGTGTATTGACCCCTGTCTGCTTGCGGGAACCCTTAGGCTTGAGCCCCCTCATACCTTGACAAAGGAACTCTACCTCGTCGTTTAATACGAGGGGTCAGTTGATGCCAGGTATCAGGCTAGAGGTTCGAGACGGCCAAAAATCATTGTGGCAAACTAGCACCTCCGCTTGGAATCGGCCTGTGGCCCAACTACTGATCTCGCTCTCCGAATCCAAGAGACTCATCTCGCAAGATCGTTAAAATCCCTGCCTATGGGTTTTGCATTGGAAGTGAGTTATATCTTCCTTTTGGGCTTTACTTGCATCTGAACCAAAGAGAATTTTGATGGAATGCTTCACTATCTTATCTTGGTCCACTGGCCAGTCCAGCCCATTCCTTGCATTCTGGAGAAACATTTGGATCCTTCTTCCGAAGTGGGAGACCAGCAGTTTTGTGCAATCCAAACCTTGGACAAAATGCAGGGATTACGATCCAGCCCGTTTGATGGATAAAAGAAGTCCTTTTGACAAACCTCTGAGCTAGCTTTGACATTGTTTATTTTTTTTTTTTTTTTTTTTTTATTGTATCTCAGTATTGTACATAGTTAATACATAGTTAATATGTTTAATTAAATGAGTAAAATTAAGATTAGATTAGAATAGAATTAAATCATCTACTAGTTAGTTAATAGTAACTTAGTTATTAACAGAGTATTTACATGTATTATTAATTAAACATTTTGAAAATAAAAGTAATTGAAATAGATTTGATTTTTTGCTATTAGTTACGGATTCCTTAAATATTTATGTACCTGTGATCCGAGACACGCCGGAATTACCCGAAGGTATATCATCGGCCGGGAGTTGGTTGGCTTCTACTATCGTTCTATCATGTCTTCTACTATTATATACACTACTTTTAACAGTTAAAATTTTTTTTAATGTAATTATGCACTATCTTCCACTTAATCTTGCTACTTATCATCTCTTTCACAATATTGTCTGGTTTTAAATTAATGTTCAGTTCGGCTTCAATCCTCATTCTATCGGCTGTGAATCTTGAGCACTCAAAGAAGGTATGTTCCGGCGTGTCCCGGGTCACCGTACAAAATTTACACATATCACTATCAATAATCTTAAATCTCGATAAATATGACCCAAACGCCCCATGACCAGTAAAGAACTGCGTCATGTAAAAGTCAGGATAACCATATTCCCTATCAAGCCATACCTCTAAATCCGGGATGAGGCGCTTGCACCAAACATCAGTGGGGCTATCCCTCCAGCGGATACACCATCTATCAATATGACATTGTTTATGTTTGTTGTGTAAATGTCAGTGTATTGTTATGTAATGGTTTCTACTGCACCGAGAAAGTACGTAAATAGATGAAAATTTTAATCGAATGATTGGAAAAGCTTAAAACCTCCGGTGAAAAAATTTGGAGAAAGCAGCAGAATGCTGAGTCAGTTTTGGCGACATGTAATCATGGAGTGATGGGCCCAATAACATGATAGGAGCATTTCTCCATGTAGATTATGTGTTCGAATCATGAACCTACCTTGATACCATATGAAGATCAAGGCATGACAGGTCTCAAGAGCCAAACATAATGGTCAAAGTGTGGTTGAACTGGCATGTGATATATAACATAGATTATGTGAAAATATCAGCAGATTTTGAATTTCTATTCTAAACGAAGGAAAATTGCCCCTGCAAATGAGCCTAAAAAATCATTCTAACCCAAAAATCAGCAAAATTTAAAGAAATAAAAGCAGAGTACTGTTTGGAAAAAACCTCGCATTCAACACAGAAATTGATGACTGTAATGAATGCGAAGTTTTTTTCTAAACAGGATTCTGCTTTCATATCTCTGAATGTAGCCAATTTTTTAAATTAAAATGATTCTTTGAGTTCCTGCGCAATGACTTTCGTTCTATTTGTTGCTACAAATTCAAAATCTGCCCAAATTTTTTATCTAATCGATGTGATATATTGCACACCAGTTTGATCATGCCAGAAATCGTGATGAATCACCTTAAAGAAATTTTCAGGGTATGTCTGAAGTTGCGCTGAAAGTCACATGATATTTAGGGGAATTTTGCATATCTTGGGTACCATTTAAATTGAATGGGTACATAGATGACATTTATATGAAGACACGGAACAGTAACTTCAACTTGTCGCCTTAAGTTCATTACACTTTTGATAAGACATTAACAGGAACATTTTTGGATAAAAACGTATGGAGTATTTGCAATATAACTAACCATGATTCTTAGTAGATACGAGGCTGATATCACTTAAATCACACTATTTCTTAGTGAAACCATGTGAAACCAGGTGAGTACCATGCTGGACAGTAGGGATGGGCGATTAATCGAAAAAAACCGATTAATCGATTAATCGGAGCAAAAATTAATCGATTAACGTGAACGATTATTGGTATTAGATTAATCGAATAATTCGATTATCGTTGTCGATTAATCGATTTTTGGGCCAGAACNAACATCAACATAACCTTTCTGTGTTGTGATTGTGAATTGTGAACATGAAAGAAATAGTCTTTTTTTGTGAAGTAAGAAGTAGAAAACAGTAGCAAAAAGTGTAAGTGAAGTTTCTCAAAAAATCACCCTAAATTCATAGTCATATCATTACATTAGCCCGTCAAGATGTCTGAACGGAAAGTTTTAAACAAATACTACCCTCCGGATTTCGATCCATCCAAAATACCTCGCATGAAATTGCCCCGAAATCGACAGTACACAGTGCGACTGATGGCACCTTTCAACATGAGATGTGCTACTTGCGGTGAATATATCTACAAAGGTAAAAAGTTCAACGCTCGTAAAGAAGATGTAGAAGGTGATGATTATCTTGGAGTGAGAATCTATAGGTTTTACATCAAGTGCACTCGTTGTCTCCAAGAAATATCGTTCAAAACTGATCCCAAAAATGTTGACTACGAAATTGAAGCTGGAGCAACTCGTAATTTCATGGCATTAAAACTTGCTGAAGAGCAGGCCAAAAGAGAATTGGATGAGGCCAAAGAAGAAGAAGCAAACAACCCCATGAAGATGCTTGAAAATCGAACGGAGCAAAGTAAACGGGAACTAGAACTGCTTGAGTCGCTTGAAGATTTAAAGGATTTGAATCGTCGACAGAGGAGTGTTGATTTTGATACGCTATTGCAAAAGTTTAATACAAAAGAAGCCAGAGAAAAAATCTTAAAATTGCAAGAACAAGAAGATGAGGAGTTCGTGAAAGCTGCATTCCAGGATAAAAAAAGGTGCATTGAGGAAGTCATTGAAAGTGACGACTCAAGTGATGATGAAGGAGCTCTTGTTAGTAATCTACAACCGCCCCCACCAAAACCTGAGACATTTATTGCCAAACCTGCTGCATCCCAGAATAAAAAAAGGTGCACTGAGGAGGTCATTGCGAGTAATAACTTGAGTAATGAAATTGCAGCTTCCACCAGTAATCTACCACTGCCCCCACCGAAACCTCAGACATCTGCACCCAAACCAGCTGCTCAATCCATAGGTGTCAAAAGCTTGAATAAAAAATCCTTAATGGGACTTGTCCGGCCCAAAAAGAAGTAAGTAATCAGAGTAAATCTGGATTCGGACTCGTATTTCCTGGGCTATTGTGTGCCTGCACTATCATCGCAAGTATTGTCAATTAATCATTTTACCCTTGCTATTTTCTCTCTTCAGAATGTCTTATTGGATAATCGTAGTGGTTATTTTGTCATCTATTGTATTACGTTGTTTTTTTGTCATGACGAGCCTTGGAAGACTATGTACCTGGTAAAGGCAGGTGTGATGCTTTGGAGGTATGGGATAAAGTAGGCTAGAAAACCGATCCAAATTTAAAAGTTCAGCAGTCATTTGATAAGCCACATGACTGTATAAATGGATGGGTGTTTGAAGTCGCCAAAATCTGAAATACTACTGATTTCATCAGTTGAAATACAGCTCCCACCTGCTGTGCAGACACAAAGCTGATTGACAGGGACAGATTCCGGGTTTGAGTCCATCTGCAACCTAGTCTTCTCACTTTTATAAAGTAAATTTTCAACATCATAGTATTCAACCTTTATTGTTATTGCCGGCAAATAGGTGGCCTCTTTTCATTTATTCTACAATGAAAACATCAGAAGTTACGTCTGTTTAGTAGGCTTTTGTCAATCTTCTATGAATATGTCGTTTATCATAGCCCACCAAGAGTCTAGATCGGCGTCCACCTGGCAAATGCTGCCTCTCTTGACAAGGCAGTTATCTTTAGTTTTGACCCTTTTCTTGTCCTTTCTGTAAATGGATTCTTTGTTGCTGCCAAGCTCCTGCTTTTCCTGTGAATTGCCTATGAACGTGCTGTTTCCAGGTATGTAGTCCTCTTTGGACCGGTCCTCGAGTTCTTGAGCTAGTAAGAAATGTATTTGACCTTTGAAAAGGGAAAGTCTAAAAAATATATTTCGTACATGATGGATTTGTACAAGAGAGATGTGTGGATATATTTATTCATAAATTGTTAAATTCAGATTGCTTTCTTTACCATTGACTTGCTGAAATAAGTTAGTGTACCCATCAGACTTACTTTAGCTTTATATTCATCGTTGTGAAGCAGAGGCTCTTAAATTTCTCACATCTGCTTATTTCTACTGATCAATTGTGAAAAATTTATAGTTCTCTATACGTTAGAGCTGTTTTATAAATATAAATTCCTTCAACCAATGTTGTCCTCCATTTCATTTAAAAATGACTTGACTGATCAGTCATGTTGTATTAAATTTTAAAGGTTGAATGGACAGATTTAAGCAGCACCAACCTAAGTACATCAGACGTTGCTTAATTTCCTCTCACGTTTTTTTTGACAAAGAAATTATCAACATTTTGACATGAAATTTTGTGAGCACATTTTTTATGAACCAGAGGAAACGTGTGGAAAGTTTCAGACATGTCGTTCGGTTCCCTATGGAAAAAATAATACCTGAGAAGAAGTGAGGCACCGTGAAATGCAATTAGGCTGGCTCTGGTAAAAATCTGTCCAAATGTCAACGATTGCTGAAAGAGCAAGTTATTTCTAAGAGAAAATTAATGTAAATATTAGTTTTTATTTCCCAATCAGATAGGCCTAGTAATTGGCATCAAGCCTTTAGTTGACCACACTCCCAGCTTCTTGAGAAGGCAGAAGAGGTTTTTAAAATTTGGTCCTTTAGTCCTTGATATATTTGAATTTTTCTGTGCCCGTCACTTTTTGCTTGTGCGAGTCAGATTTTTCAAGTCATTTTACAATTGATATTGATGTCCTTTCAGACTAGAATCTCCCCTGTAGCCCGAATTTTTAAGAATATATAATTAGCTTGTTAAAAGTTTACAGCAGAGACTAGCAAATATATTACAATTCTTCAAGTCATTACTGGATGACAAAATGATTTCCAAAACTTCTAGTATGTACTAGGCAACACAGGACCTGTATATATACTTACCTCTGTTGCCTGCACGGCCAATTTTTTCAATTTATAATATCCTTAACTTATTAGAAAAGCTGTAAGCGAGATAGGTAGGAACTAGATGTGATGGAGGCAGGCAAATATACTTACCCTTGAGGTGGAAACTCAAATTTTTTAAGGCAGTGTAACAACTTTCTTAGATTTGAAAACGTTGATTTTCAGTTTTCAGGGTTATAAATGCTGTCTATTAACCTCATTAAAGCAGGGTCAAACTTTCTCTTAACTGGCATTATTAATGATGTTATGACGTTTTCAATGAATCATTTGTTTAGCTGGTAGTACCTACAAAGTGCTGCAAACTTAAATTGCATTTTCCTCAAATTTGAAATTTATTGTTCAGAGGACCTTTGTTACGGCTTTATGCTATATAAGGGGTTTGGAGGACGCAAGGCCCTAATGTGCAGATTTTTCTATTCCGAGAAGTACGTGTTTAAAGTTTCAACATTATATTGGCAGAATTATGGCAGAAAGAAAGTTAAAACTGACTTTTTGATACTTAAAAATTGGAATTTGGGAGCGAATTTTTCATAGAATAGGCATTACAAGACTAGTATTAAGTACTTGAAATTATTAATATCTCATTTTTTCAAGGATTGTACTTATGCGCCCTTCAAGCCCCTCATATGATGTACCTAAAATAAACTCTTCTAAGATCCAGTATGCCTACCTAGTTAAATTAAAGTTCCCAGATATGACTATTTTCTCTACAATTTTGGCCATGACCAGTAAAATTTAATGGCTCAAATATTGGAATCTGGCACAAGTTTAAAGTACACACATGATTCCCATGTTAGTGCTGAGTTGAAAAAAAAAATTATTTCTGTGCTGAGTACAGCATTTATGATGGAGTTCGATAAAAGGGCCTTGAAGGTGGAGATAAAGACAAGAAGTGGGGTGACTGAAAATGTAGGTATACCTACTGTACCTGTCTTAAAAGGGTTCATTTTACATCATGTCAATCATCAGACAATACTATTGGAAGAAATAAGAGGTTATTGATAGCTAAAATAAAAATATTCAAAACTCTAATTGTGGCACATTGCAAATTTCAGTTCGAACAATGATTTATTTTTTCCAAGGAAAAGTAAAAGAGTTTCCCACAAAGATTTATTTTTTCAAATAAAAATTAAACAGGAGTTTCCCACAAGTTTCTTTTTACAAAGGAAAACTAAACAGAAGTTTTCCACAAGATTTCTTTTATAAAAATAAAACTGAAGTTTATTTTTGAAGTTGCAATAAGGATACCCACACATTTTTCGACTTGAGCCATCAAATGCCTGTGAGGACAAAAAAAAAGGAGGGAAAAAAACCAAGTACTAATGATCAGGTATCCTTCCAAAAATTAAAATACAACAAAAAATCCGTATTATCACAGACCGAGATACGTGGTTTTTACTCCATCATTCACATGTATATTGATGGTATATCGGACAAAAATGAAAACTGAAATTCAACCATTTGACTAGGTACCTAAGTAAATCCATTATCATAAAATCTGGTGTTGCACAGGGTATATATGCATGTAGGCAAGCAAAGTCAAAACGCTCTGCATATCTCATAGAAAAAAAAGGAGAAAACTGATAATTACACACTGGTAAACCCCTTGTAGGTAGGTATATCTACATTTCATATTATATGGAAAAAAAGCTTGGACAACTTTATCTTGCTAGCGGCCAAGGCTAAACGTCGCATTTGAACATTCCAACATTGTTGAACTTCCTCTGATGAAAATAGAATCTGAGGAAAAATTGTGACAGATTTCTTTTGAAATTCTCAAACAGTTTTATCCATGATAAATTCATTTTATATGAATTGTTCAAAAGAAATTTTAAAATTTATTAAAGAACATTTATATTCTATCAAAGGAAATTTGACAACATTAGAATAATCAAATGAGTTCACTAGTCGGCAAGATAGAATTGTCAGTTTATTTCTCCTCTATTATCAAATGCATTCTGTTTATTCTCTATTATGTTTAGGTCTTATCAGAAGGCCAATTATCAAAAGTTAAAAGCAGCATTAAAGCTTTTAAGCGGTTAATGTGATATGTTGCATGGTTAAAATACGTCTGAGTATGTCTAGTGTTGTCGTCTCAATGCAATTTCCAGAGACAATATAGACTCTGTTTGACACTAGAGTTCATAATCAAATAACTTATACTTTATTGAGGGACATTTGGTCACGTTGAAATGATTATGCAGCTCTTTTATTTAGCAAAGCAGAATATAGTTAAAAAATTTATACATTCAACTTTGAAATTCTAATGAAAACATCCTTTTCACTTAAAAAAGTAAGAATCTCAGCTGTGTAGAAACAACAGAAGTGTCTTTACTAGCTTTTAAAGATTACCTACTTAAATATTGTGATACAACATTCTTAAAGATTTGTAGGTAATAAATCTTCAATCTTGGAGAAAGACTAAGTACATTAGATTGGAACAGTGGAGCATCTGTTGCAATATTAGGTACACTTGGACTTCATTTTGCAATTTGGACCTATAAATTCTGGCTCATCTGAAAAAACATGTATATGCATAGGGAAACTAATGGTACATACGTTGTTTTGAAATCGGGCTTGAATTTATAGTTCCAAATTGCAAAATGTAATCCACTTGAAATCTTGCTTGTTGGCTACCTAATCATTTTTTTCTAATGCAAGGAATATGCTGTCGTGAAATGAAAAGTTTATTGTTGCAATATAACAGAACTTCACAGATAAGTATGAAAACTTCGGGACAAGATAAGAAAACCATTTCATTGAGGATGAATGTTAACAACAAATCTTTATGATGTTTGTCTTACGTTCAAAACATCATTTTTCAAACTTTTTTGCCGACAGATCTCCTAAAGGATTTGTGGGATCGACCGCAGGACTCCTGCAGAATTCAGGTTTTACTTTTTGGTAAAGATTAGTCTCCTCTGCCTTTTTACGTTTTTAATAAAATTAAACAGGACAAAATTCTCAAGTACTTGAAAGTTCAAGTAAAAAAAAAAAAAAAGAAGGAGATAAATTGGAAGAAGGCTATAATCACAGATATGCCTTCTTTTGGGCTGAAAAAGGCATAAGTAGTGCCTAAGAGTTCTCTATGCAGTAGCTGCTTTGCTACAAAAGTTGCTTGACAATCCGTTCAAAAGCCAATAGAAGATAATTGCAAGGATTGAGTGATAGGGCCTTGCAAATAAAAGTTGTCATAGGTGTCGTCAAATAAGTTGGCCATTGTTTACTTTTGGTTTGCGAGCACAGACAACAAATTTAGGCCTCTGTACAGACCGTTGTTCGCCACTATCTATCTTAAAAACATCCGTGTCATGATCCTATCGTAAAAAAACTACTCATCAATTATGATCTGCGACTTTAGTGTGGTCGTAATTTCTGAGTGGCTAAAAATTAAAATGTTACAAGGTTTGAAGGTATTAAAACACCTACCCAAGCTTGTGTTCTTGCTTCTGCGAGAGTTAGATGTTTTCATTTGGATAGCAGTGACGCGAAAATGCCTGCAAACCGAAAGTAAACAATGGCCAACTTATCTGACGACACCTCTACTTGTTGCCTAAGTCTAGTGGACAATCTTTATTTCTCTCTGGTTCAACATTAAAAAAATTTCCTTTGCAATGGTTTCTAAAAATGTCCTGTCAAAAAATTAACTAAGCGCATTTTTCAATTCAGTATCTCTTCGAAAATGAAATGAAATTTGCACAATAGCAAAGCAATACTTGCAATATAGAACAGAGTTTTCTAAGTTTGGTGGCTATAAACATAGCATAAAAGTATAGTTTATGCCTGAGTAGTTTCTAGGGTAAAATTAAATTCTTCTCCCTTTTAATACTAATCACTTTTTCCATTTTTGTTGGTTATACATTTTCATTACTTTCTTGCCGGGAGTTAGAGTTTGGCTTAGGCCAGGTCTTTTCCTTTTAATACTAGTCATAATGGTATCGTCTTCGCCCAGGGGTTCACCCACAGAAGACTCATCTGGAACAACCTGGCTTACGGCTTTATCTCCTATTTCTCCTGCCTCACTTACAGATGATAATTCTACATCTGAGTCATGAGCAAACTTGCAGTTGTGACCAAACCTGCACCTACCCTTACGATACATCCAGCATATTGATTTTCCATTGATGGCTTTTATTTCAGCTTTGCTTGGAATCATTTTCACATGCTTTTCTAGGATTGCACTCTTCGAATCTTCCGCCTCTCGGTATGGGTTCGAAAAAACAGAGTTCTTCACCCAAGATGTACTTGAGGAGTTGACGACAAAATCTGGTTTTGGCAGCATGATTTTTTCTACAGCCTCATTCTTTGATCTGCAAAAATAACGGGGATTAGGTTATTAAAATAAACAAAACAAATTAATGGTCGTTGAAATAATGAGCAGATGATGAGAAAAAAGTAATCTATTAAACATTGAATTCCCGGGAAGCGTAAGTAATGGAACGTTTGTAAGTAGGTTCGACAAAAGGGAGGCCCAAAAAAAAAAAGACTTACTAATAGTTCCACCGAACCTGAGAGAAATAGAAAAAAAGAGAATGCAGCTTAAGAATATTGATTAAAAACACCGACTATAGGTGCTTCTATACTTTAGGGTATACTTAGACCTTAGGCACGTATTTATGTAAAATGGTGATTTCAAAAATCATTTTTATGAAAATTGCATTCCTTGAACTTCTCACCTAAAGGTGAGGTGTAAAAGGGTAAGGTATCATATGTTGCTACAAGAAATTAATGTTTGATGTAATTGTAATAATGATGTATTATTTAATGTTGATAATTGTACATACTTTCCATTATATCTAGATAAGAAGAAATTACTCACGATTTAGCAGAGACATTGGAATCTGAATCCTCGCTTTCAGAGTCACTTCCATAATCAGCAACAAGCGAAGCCATTGATGATAGGGTAAGTCGTAGATGACAGCCTTAAAAATACATGGTGCCACAATTTTTCAGCTGTCTTTTAATGGAACTGACAAGCGGTCTCATTCATAAAAACACTGAAAAAAAAACTTCTAGCTCATACAAGAACACTGGCAGAAAATTACAGAAGACCCTGATTTGGGTCTCGAAATTCTACTGTGTGCTTGTCACGGACGTAATAAACTAAGAGAGGAAAATTATTTAAGTTCGAAATCCTTCCCAAGACATGTTCACACGGAGAAAATCGAGAAGTTAATCCAATCTACTCTGACAATAAAATCCAGAGACAAGTTGAGACAGACAAGAGCACTAGTACAACCGTATCATCATATAAACAATTCTTATTGATAAGAATTTAAGGTTAGAGACCACCAACGGTGCGCGGCCACGAAAATCAACTTGCATCTGTTCTGATCTTCAATTATTTGTTGATGTGGGTTTTTTCCAGCGAAGTTCGCTGATAAAGTATGTACATGGACGAAGATATTACATTAGGACCTTTCTCTGGTGTGCGAGATCCGAGCGTCAGCGCGATCTGGCAGAAGCACTTTTGAGTTATTTAGAGGTGCTACTTTCAGAATATGTCCCATAGATACCGCTAGTAGTGAGAGGTACTTTTTACGAAACCGCGTCGTTTTAGGTTTGAATTTTCCAACGAATTGCCCGTCGCCAATTCGCCATTGCACTAAGCGCTAAGCCATTGCATTGCCTTGCCTTTGCCGCACGCTATTTCCACGTTGATTTCCACCTATTTTTGATTTCCCGAGTGTATTTAGTTTCCTGAAATCGAGTGCTCTTATCTTTTCTTCAAGATGAATCCTCAATTTGACTGTGGTTAGCAAGTGTTGGTGTTCTTTTCACCCGTGATAAAGACTTTTTCAGTGTTTTAGTTTAGTAATCCGTAGATGTCTTTTGTGCAGCCGGTCTGCCAGGAAAGATACATCTGTCACCCTTTTTTCTTTCCCGTCTTCAAAAGAACGGTAAGTAATCATACCTTTCATTATCTGCTACTTTCTCGTATCGAAATCTCTCTTGTACCCTATTATTTGTGGCATGTTGGCTGGTTATTCCTCATACGCGAGAAGCCCACATTGTTGCAGAAGTGGCCGCTGCCGCTATTTCTGCAGGTGGATACTCCGTAATTGTGGTTACAAAGGGTCACTGTGCAACACCCTTTGCTAGTGTCACCAGTTCTGCCCCTACTCAACTTTACATACCTATTGCTGAGATAATTCACTCGAGCTGTATTGCTGAATTATTAACTTTCTCATTTGGTAGGAGGTGCATCCATGCCTGCGTTTGACTTGAAGCAGCCGGTACGCGGTCTGTCAAATTTTCCTACTTGAGATGAGTCTTAGCATGGCTCTTTTTTGTGTCTTCAATCTGTTCAAATCACGGTTGAATAAGCTCAGCTCTACTTCTAATTTGCTGGGTGTCACAAGCTCCCATCTGTACTTTTGACCAATTTTACCTTTGAAACAGTTAATCTCTTTTCTCTACCTAGTGTTCGTTAGACTCAGATTTGTTAGATAGAGCAGTATGCTAGTCCAAACCACAGAGAGAATATTGGGAGTCAGGAGAAGTAATGAGCTTGAGGTTTTCTCTTAATTTCGTACTCTTCGAGCATGCGAATCTTATCAGTTAACCTGTGCTCAGATTCTTGCTTGAAGATTTAGTCTGAGTCAATTTACATGAATCTGGTGCTACTGATAAACTTTNTACAAGATCGCTGTGCTGTCAGCCGTTCTCCTCACAATCGAACACAGATTTTAACACGGGGCCTTATGGGACTGAGTCATCCTAATACGTTAGTATATATTCATCCATGGTATGTACTTAAATAAATTAAATTCATGTGCCGATAAAAGAAACTAACCCTGCCAAAAATGGACTCTAACTTAAGCTTAGTGAATTATTTCATATATCCGTTAATACTTCTAATTACCTCTATATCAGAGTGTGCTAAGTTCGGTGAGGTGATCTATGCGGTGAATGCCGGTGGAGACTCCCACGTAGATATTTTCGGCATCGAATACGATAGGGATCCTCTACATAATAAAGTTGGAACTGCCTCCGACTATGGGAAGCAGTTGATTATCGGAAGGGTTCCTCAGAATGACCAGATATTGTACCAGACTGAGAGGTATCATCATAGCACTTTTGGCTACGACATACCCATTGAAGAGGATGGTCAATACGTCATGGTTCTTAAATTCTGTGAAGTTTACTTCAATGCACCCAATATGAAAGTGAGTATTCTCTCATTCTCTATTTTTAGTTATGGCCTCAATATCAACCTTGGCTTTATCCGAAGCAAATTCTATAAATTTAACTCTTTAGTCCACCTGCGATCAGACTGCTGCATGATGCATTGCTTTGATAATGTAAAAAATCAAGGCGGACCCCTAGTTTTTTAACCGAAGCATGATTATTCTCTCCATTCTTTAGTTCAAAAAGTCAATTGCATTCGAAGAAAGCTACTAAGTCTGAGAAAATAAATTTAAGATTTGTCTTCAAATAGCACATCACACTCAATTAAAAGTCAGGTTTGACTCCTTATAATTTTGGTTCAAAAACTGATGAATTAGAGGAAAGGCTATCAAATGGATAGAAAATTATTTGAGTGATTGAAGACAACAGGTGAAATGGGGCCAAGAGCTATCAGAGGAATTGTGTGTTGAATTGGGAGTACCACTAGGAAGCCAGTTAGGACCGTTATTGTTCCTGTTACCCAAGTAGCATTTTTCAACGTAAAAATTGATATAATGTATTAATTTATAGGTATAAAGTTGTAAAAAATATTGCAATAATATAGCTATAAAGTAGCAATTCTCAGTCAACATTTGGACGATTTTTCCCGATTTCGTCAGGTCAGATCGATAAAAAAAATCTATACTTAATAGCAATGTCATTGCTATTTGTGGCGGTGCCAAATGGTTTTAGGAAAATTGAGGAATTTGTCAGTCTACCTTAATTTTAACAACGTTGCAGAATCCATTCGAAAATCCGATCTTGCCGGAATTGACAGGGAATTCATGATTCAATCATCCAGCACCCTTTAAATTCTTCTGTCCGAGGCGGGATTAGAACGCGCAACCTTCGGATTACTGCCAAGCGCCGCCTTTACCGTTTGAGCTAGCCAGGCTACCTGTCGGGTGCCTCACTTTTCACACATTATATAGCTCTGACATGAAACGAAACCCTTACCGGCGCATTTGCATGAAATAAAAAATTCAAAGAATTAAAAGTAACAAAAACAGAAACGAAATAAAAGGAGGAAAGAAAGGCATGAAAGAAGTAAAATTAAATTTCCCAGAACTTGGTTAAAAGCATAGACGATATTTATTTTGATTGACTGGAAATTCAAACCTTTTAAAAAAGCATTGAAATTTTTAAAGTTTCAGATTTATAGAGTTTGAGCTATTTCGAGAAGACGAAATTGAGGAAAAATGGTTGTTTCATCAAATTGTTGCGATACATTCCTGCATTCATGCTAGACATTTGAAAACAAGTTATGGAAAGGAACACGCGGGAGTTTTTCATCATACTTAATAGCAAGATTATTGCGATAATTTTTGCGCCTTGCAATTAGCAGATTGGCAACAGGTGACACAACCAATAATCGGAATTTATTGCTACATCATAGCAACAATATAGCAATAATTTCCGCGCCTTCAAATGAGGGAGTAGGCAATACGCATGGCAAATATAATATAGCAACATTCCTACGATTTTATGTCCATCTATAGGTATCCTTGCTACTTGGGTAAAAGGAAGTGGTGAAGGAATCTGAACTGAGCCTATTTGCGGATGACACGCATACATATATTTCTTATATATATGACAGAAAATGAATGACACACATATTCGTGATCTACGACTCGAGATCGGTGCTCTTTACATGGTCCCATGACTAGGTTCCACCATGAGGGAGAACGTAATAGTGTATTTTTCTTTCGGAAAATACATTAAAAACATACTGATAGAATTAGTATAGAAGTAGGTAAGATAAGTTTTGTTATGGAGAATAAAGGATTTTATAGGGAAATATAGGAAGCTAATTTATAACTCACTGGTTGGATCAAAGTTAAATTATCGGGTGTCATCACTTGGTAAAGCAAATGGAAAGGAGATTAAGGCGTTTCAAAAAGGGCAAAATTCAGCCATGAGGCATATATTAGGATGTGATAGGGACTGTAATATCTTGAAAATGTTGAAAAGCTTAGGGTGGTTATGCATAGAACAGCTAATTAAAGTTAGGATCTTTGTAATACTTTTTAAGATGCGGAAAGGGGTGATAAATTTGGTAGATAAAGATATTATAGAAATAGTGGATAGGAGGGTAGGGAGAAGAGTGGAGATCAAGTTTATTGAGGATAAATTAGTTGATAGGATGTTATTCTTTAAAGGAATGAGGGAGTACGTGTTGTTTGGTTGTCACAATTGGGAACAATTGGATATTAATGGTTTCAAGAAAATGGTAGTTAGGGAAGGGGTTAGGGCTCAGGAAGCTAATTGAGGTGATGGAGAGTTGTTACCCAAATGTTATAGGTGGAAGGAATTTGGATTGTAAAATTGGTTAGGGCAATTAGGGAAGGTAGGCTGGAATTGAATGGGATTAGCCCTTGAGGGCTATCTGAAGTGTCCAAAAAAAAAAAAAAGTACACTGGTTTGCTGCGATACACTGCTTGTATGAACATGAGATCTAGGTGATGAATTGCAGACAATGTTCAAAATATTATTGTAAGGGAGAGGGCTGTGCCCGGGTGGTAGGTTGGCAGAGCAGGGTTAACAGGCGGGACGCCAGATGCTGGAGAAAAACTGCTTTATCGCACCAAATCACAGACTTAGACTTAGACTGCTACGCCTTTGCCCTTGCGGCAACCTCTGACCTCTTCTGTACTTTATTTCAGTAATCAAAGTAAATTTACAACTTTGCTCCCTTTGCTTCCTACTGTCGAAGCTTGAAATTGAACTAGAGCGGACTCATCGTATGTTGAGACAAATATCAATCTCTGATCACCTCCGAATTAGCACTACTCAACAGGTTAATACATGCAGTCAGATGGCACCACTGATGAGTGGTGACCTAAACAATACTTGACATTTGTCTCAAGGTACGATGAGTCCGCCCTACTCTTGTATAGGATTGCGGGCCTAACTCTTAGCGCCCATAAGTACTTGAGATTTGTGTTAAGCGCTGACACATGATTCACTGGGAATTTCCCAGTACTGGACAAGAAGGACAATGTCAAAATCAAACCATGAGTTGGCTAGAATCGCTCTCCAAAATGCCGTATTGCGTTGGTACTCAAACAAATGGCCTCAAACACTATTAACAAGTCAGCTTCAAGACTGGAGGTCTGATGACGTCGGAGCTACACAATAATAAGACTGATGTTAGGTTTGGTTTCAAGCAGAGCCTGATGTTTTTAATACTTCAGAATTGTTGAGAATTTTGGAGGATAGAAGTAGGCCGATTTCAGCACTGATGGGCTAATATTCTTGGTTCCTTTTTTTGGTCCCAGTCTGTCCCTGTACATTTTATGTACAAATTGTGAAATCTTATAAATAAATGTAAATTTTTGCTGATAAGCTCACCATTCTTTAACTCAGTCTTGTTAGAAATTTTTAATATTTGTTGAGGTATTATTATAATAAGTCTCATTTTTATTTGTTTCTAGGTTTTTGATGTAGTTCTTAATGGTGATCATATGATCATATCTGATCTAGACATCTTCGACAAAGTTGGTCGGGGCAGTGCTCACGATGAATATGTAGTTTTTAATGTCGTTCAAGGAAAACTTTTTTACAATGAGGAAGAATCGGACATCAGTGGAGGAAAAATTCGTGTTGAATTCATCAAGGTAACTAAATAGCCAGATTTTCATTTTGTCTATTGAGTCTAAAAAAACCTTACAAGAAGAAAGAGATTCATAGGGCATCGGTTTGTCATCTCAGAGTTAAACAGAAGCATCAAAAGTGTATTGTTTTTAATAAATACTACAAGCTTGCTTTTAATTAGTGAAGATTACTGCAATCTTGCTTAATTTTAGTGAAGATAAATGCAAGCGCTTTAAGTTTTTGGGGGAAACAACTGTGACTGCACAACATAATAGTGCTTACACTGCAACTTTAGGATTGCAGAAACGGGCGCTTACTGAAGAAGAAAATGCACCCTTACTCAGCGTATATGAGCTCTACAGTGAAATAGAGTGTCTAACTCTCGGGAAAAATTGGGGATAGTCTGAATTCAAATAGAACCCATTCCAAAATTGATACTTAATCACCAATAGAGAATTTTCAGGTGTCTGAACTTTGATGAATTTCGTGTTTAAGTGGAAACTACTGAGTGAACTGAACACAAAGATATCCTTGGTTCATGAATTGAACAATTATTGGAGAAGATATGACAAAATAATCTAATCTGCTAAAATATGTGTGTTTAAATGGGAAATGCAGCCAGATGACGTCACTAGGCGGTGCATTGTCTCACTTTTAAATCTACTTTTATACTGTTTCTCATATCAGAAAGAAACTACAAAAAATACTGTGAAATCAGCTCCTTGAGCACTTGTAGATGGAGCATTAAAAATTTTGCCTGCAAATTCTCCATTCTCAAGAAGCATTTAAATGTTTTAATGCAAATAATCTTTATTACAACCTTTTTTGCCCACTAGGGTTATCGAGACAATCCAAAAATCAATGCTATTCTGGTGATCAAAGGAAAACTAGAAGGTAAATATGCTCCTATTTTCTCCTTAATTTTGCCCTTCCATTTTACCTTGTTCCTTGAGTTAGTCAGAGCCATAGGGGCACCAGTGTATCGCGCTGCATCTGACAATTTTTATTTCTTACACATGAACTATTGCATATCTTTTTTTTTTTTATAAATGTCAGGATGTCTTCTTTGAGATGTCATGAAACTCTTTAATTTCAAGACACCAATCATTTTTTGTAGGAAAATGATTTGTTTGATGAAATTTTGCAGCATTACAATGTTATCATATTTCTGTGACTGACTTCCTAATTTATCTTAACCTTAAATGTTTTAACTCATGCCCACAGAAACACTTTGAAAGTAAAAAGTTCATATTAGAGGTATCTTCTTGTGACCAAACAGAATTCTTTGCAGTGGACATGAAAGACGATTAATATTGAATTCTAATTCCATACCTCCTTAACTGTTTGGCATTATTACCATGTTTACTGTAAATCTCATTTCAAAATGAATGTTTTAAGTTCAAAATGAATGCTTCAAAGGTTTTCATTCACTAATGTGAGATGGGTTTTTTTCTCCTCTCCCCTCAGATATACCAAAACTACCTCCTCTACAAACCGAAGACGAATGGCGTCGAGAAGAGGTTGAAGAAGTTCCTGTACCGCCAACGTCCAAACGAAGACCCAGTGGGCCAAAAACTCCTGACCCGTATACACTGGACGATTCCTCTATCATGCTCCCCGTTTTTATAGCCATCGGAGCATTTATACCCATGTTATTCTGTCTTTGCAAGTTATGATCATCAGTGCTGTGCTGTACTGTGAGTCCAAAATCTTGATTATTTTCTACCATTCGGGCTGTTAATATTTTGTGTTCGATCCTTGCATCTTATGCTACTTTAACCTACACAGTCTTCGACGGTGCTAGTCTGCAAAATCAGTTGAAATTTCTAGAGGAGACTGCATACTAGTTACAAATTGTAGTAATTTCCCTCTGCATTTTAACAAAAATATTTTGCAGCATTTTTCAAAGAGCCCTTGACTTTTTCATTGATCTGATTTAATAGAGGATGGCCCAATCCACTCTTCCAATCTCAAACTTTACATCAAGATTTCTTGAGCCACAAAGATTTTTTTACATATTCATCATGGATCGTGGAGTTTTAACAGATAGAGAAGTGCAATATAAAGGGGGGCTATTTTAACTTTTCAAGGACCATATTAAGCCCAGGATTGCTTTTTTTAAAGGACTATTTCATGCTTTAGTCACCAAAAAAAGCTGATCTCGTAAGTGCAAAATAAAAGGCTCTCCCAGCAAAAAGTAAAGAATGTTTCTCGTGCAACGCGGGGGTTTCTTTCATGTAAATTAAGGAAAATCTCAGAGGTCTCTATTAATTAGTTTATGGCTTAAATGAGTCATGTTAAAAATATTGTGGCTTTTCCAAGAGTCACCAAAGAAGTAGGTTTCTCCATTTTATATCCTCTAAACTAGGGAAGATAAATCAAATCAGTAAAGTAGTTTGTACATGGTGGGTGCACCTCAGCTTTAAAACAAGTTAAAGATTAAATCCATTCAGAGATAAATACAAATATGTTGGGACAGCTTACTGTATCCATGTGCCCACCTTCACGTGCTCCAGCAGATGGCAACAAAGTTTCCCAATTTTATCTGTGAAAGCATGAGTGATGAAGGTAAACCAAGTCAAATTTACTTTGATCTTCATATGCCCAGCTAAAATTTTCATCGACCAGTGGGTCAGAAATCTCAATCCAGTATAATGAATTGAAGCTGAGAATATGAGAGTCAAAGTAAATTTAACTCTGTTTGCGTTTCATAAAAAAATTTGCTGTGATCTGCTTGTGTACGGGTGCAAGGGTACAGAAACCTTGTAATGATTGTGCAATAATGATGAAAACATGGGATCCTGCAATTATGTGAAAATTGTATATCTCTTCAAAAATCAAGTCAAAATTTGCATGTTTTTTTTGCAGAATTCCGCCAATTGAATTGGTCATTTTTCTAATGACCAGGGATGAAAATGCAAGAAAAACAGTTACATAAAATGTTATTAATTGACCTGTTTTAAATCTTAGATTAAGTAATAATGTGAATAGTCAATTAAATGTTTTAATATTTTGGATTTATGAGATTTGGAACAGATCAACTTTAATGGGATTTTTTGTATGTTTTTCTTGTATTTTAATTTTGGCGCTCAAATATTTTTGAGGATGACTGATTCTATCAGGAATAAGGACCAGAAAAAGGTCATTGCTTCAAACATTTTGGGGAAAAGGGGATATTGAAAATGGGAAGGCCACTTCAAATTTTCTTATTTTGAAAAATATAAAATAGGGAATTTTTTCTTTTTGGATGCCCCTCAAACGATAGTGAAATACTGTCCTGTTAAAGGGAAATAACAAATAAGCTTCCAAATATGTATCCAAATTTCTTGCAATGAAATATTTATGTTCAAGAAAACTTACAAATTTAGTTTCTTGAGACTTTGAGATACAATAGATTCAATTGCAAATGCAATGCTTTAAAACATCCAAAGAAAAAAGTGTGTAAGTATTCCAAAAATATAAAATGTTTTGGGCGAAAGGACTACGTGCAAAAGGGGCCATTTGGGGCTCGGGGCGGATACCTTTGAGACTTGCCCTACTCATTCACCTAACAATGCCCCATCTTTTCCCAAAGTTTCAAGCCCCCCAAAAATTTTGGGGAGACGCGGCGGGGGGTCAAAGTTAAAAACCGGCAAAATTTTCGCGAATTTATTACTCGAAAACCAAGAAGTTTTCGTAAACGCGGTTTAAACGAGCGTTTTCAGCGTGACGAGAGCTTTCAGAAAATGTATAACATCATAGGGTTTTGTCAACTTCAGCTCGAGTTATCACCTCCGAAGCGCCGGAACGCTCAAAAGAGACCCCTTATTTTTTCACGTTTGGGCCGATTTAAAAAAAAGCCATTTTTTTAATTTCATGAAAAACTGATATGTTGTTCCTGACTCTCTGTAGCCCCTCTAGCTCTTTACCGCATGCTGGGGAAATGTTTTGGTCGCGAGTTATAAGAGCGGAAAGGAGCGAAGGTCGGGAAAATCGGCTATTTTAAACTGCGCGCGGCGACGGATCAGGAGCCATGTGGCAACTATGCGAGGTCGGCAGAGGAGTGTGATTCACCGAAATGAGTGGGAGGGGACGTTTTCCCTCCGATCAACGCCGCGCGCGCAGTTTAAAATAGCCAATTTTCCCGACCTTCCCTCCTTTCTGCTCTTATAACTCGCGACCAAAACATTTCCCCAGCATGCGGCAAAGAGCTAGAGGGGCTACAGAGAGTCAGGAACAACATATCAGTTTTTCATGAAATTAAAAAAATGGCTTTTTTTTAAATCGGCCCAAACGTGAAAAAATAAGGGGTCTCTTTTGAGCGTTCCGGCGCTTCGGAGGTGATAACTCGAGCTGAAGTTGACAAAACCCTATGATGTTATACATTTTCTGAAAGCTCTCGTCACGCTGAAAACGCTCGTTTAAACCGCGTTTACGAAAACTTCTTGGTTTTCGAGTAATAAATTCGCGAAAATTTTGCCGGTTTTTAACTTTGACCCCCCGCCGCGTCTCCCCAAAATTTTTGGGGGGCTTGAAACTTTGGGAAAAGATGGGGCATTGTTAGGTGAATGAGTAGGGCAAGTCTCAAAGGTATCCGCCCCGAGCCCCAAATGACCCGTTTTGCACGTAGTCCTTTGTGAACAGCTGGACGTTCAAACGGTTTTTTTCCTTGGGGCATCAAAATAGTGAGCTTCTTTTAGTGTCTCATGCTATTAAATCAGAGGCTAAATACGTGTATCAAGTCGAAAATGCAGTAATTTGAAAGTTATGAATTTTCCAAGTTCGGACATGCATGTTGCCTTGTTTGAAACATTACACAGATCATGATCATCCTGACAGACCTCACAGGTGTGTTCAGAATTTTTTTTGCATGGTTCTCTTTTACCCATCAACGATGAAGTTTGAAACGATAATCTGAATGTGCAGACCAGTAGAATGATATTTTTGGTGTACTTACTTAGATGTCTTTCAACAAATGTTGAGGTATGTTGAGAGCTAGGTCTCTAAATCTCTCTGTATACAGTTTGCTCTAGACTCCTGAGATGGAATATTTGTTTTGCTCCTTGAAACTAACAGCATTCACAACATCTTGAAATAATAATTGATGCCTTTAAGTATTATGGAAGTATGTTCATTGACAAGAAACCTCTGTTCCGAATAAGTCAACCTCATTCTGAACACCGCTCCACAGCATACATTTTAAGCTCCATTTCTGAGTGCAGTGACCAATACTAGTGATGAGTGAAAAATATGAAGGGCTCTTGAGCTTGGTCTTCAAGTTTTGGACAACTATTAATTATCTTTGATTTTTTCATTTTTCTCCTTTATGTAACTTTATTTCTCTCCTACGCTAATGTGGAAAATTTTTTAGTAGAAATGAAGAATGATCATAAATATCTAATACCCACCGTGTTCATATCATCTTCATGACTTCACAAGTATTGTACCTATCAGTAACATCAGTCTTCATGACCTCTTACCATAAAAAATTCAATTTGGAGAAATCTTAAAATTAATTGATCAAAATATTTCGCCTTGAATCATGTTTCGTCAAGGTAAAATGGAGGTCATTACTTAGGCTACTTTTCTGATTCATTTATGAAAGCGCTTACCTGCTTAGGGAAATCAAAGACATATATATTGTTTCTAAAATAACGCCCGCAGAAGAAAGCCTCTAAAATATCTTCCCTTTTAACAATTCCTAATAACATTTTGCATCCAGTTTGATTGAAAGTTGGCTTTCTAGTCTAATGCAAACATGGTTGATAAAGGAAATGTCCATTCATCCTACTTATTGTTTGAAGTTTCTTGATTCTCATCCCTTATTTTAGCCTGAAAATCGCTTTAAGCTGTAACCAAAAGTCAGGCCTAGCTTTATCATTTTGTATTATCTAAAAACTGAAGAACATACATCTAAGTAGATAAGAATTATGTATTTTTTAAGGGTTGTAGTGTTAAATTTTTGATCTCGCAAATTTATTGTATTTTGAATCCCCCCCCCTTTTCCCTCTTTTTCTGTTTTGCCTTGAGTCAAGAACTTATAACTGGATTCAGGATTAATGCTCCAATTGATCTCTTTTTTGTGTGTATTGTAAAATCCAAATACACTTCAATTATTTGTAATTTGTTTGACCTCCGCCAGAAACTTTCAAAAGATCACTGCTGTAGAATATGATATATTTTTGAACAGTTTAAGTCCAGAAAAATGGATAATGAAAGTGGGAACTCAATATGTCAAGCTTTTATTTACCCTAGGTAAGTAACATCTCAATCAATCCCTCAATTTTTGAAATGTTGGAAAGAAAAAACCTTAAATTTTTAGCTTCAAGCTGCCAGTATTATTTTTATTGCAAATGTCAGATTCTGTTTCAGCCTCTACTCCTAAATCCTGAATAATCTATGAGCATCTGGTAAAAAAAAATCACAGCTACCGTTTACAACTTGCATAGTACCATTAATGTGACATAATCCACCATAATAATCAAAGTATTCCTATAGTTAAGTTTCCAGCTTTACGTGATGCTAAAAAAAATATTCCATACGGAGTTGCCTTGTTGATAGTGTGCTATTTTTTGGAACCTCGAATTTTCGTGGCTCTGGCTGTTGAGCTGAGGAAAGTAGGCTCCATCTGTGATCTGATTACAAGAATTATATCTAAGCACAATTAATAAGCCAAAGATTAATGTGTGCAATACTAGCCCTTTTGTCGCATGAAATTTTTGTAGGCAGTATTTAGAGCCGAATCTTGCATCTTTTGAATTTTTGCCATGACATGAAGCAGAAGGAAAAAATCAAAATTAGGTGATATTGTGCGCCTCAGCTAATTTTGAGTCATTTTCTATGCAGATCTGTTTAATTTTTTGTACTTCGAATAGTCATTTTGCTTTACTAAATCCTTAGCTTCATTATTATTGAATCAAGGTATACAGGCTGATTACTTTTCTAAGTTTCTTATTTCGATATATTACTGTCATGCCAATGAGGTGCATTGCTTAAGCCTTTAAACATTGTAAAATCTTCCTCTGATAAGACATAAGTTTTCCGGAAAACCTAACTAATACTTTCCTTTGAGAGAATTTTAGCCAATTTATGGTCATTTTGATTTCCTTAAAATACGAGGGTCATCCAGGAAGTAAGGTCTCCTGTGAATTTGCTTGCAAACTGTTAACACTAGAGAAAAACCAATTATACTGTAGAATTCAGTATCTTTATAGTTTCAATTTAAGCTGGATCACAAGAACGCATAGGAGAGAAATATCTTGCATCACTGTCACTGTTCTTACCGCCAAATCTCAGGGCATCAAAACTGTCAAGAAGTGGAGGGACAGTTGTGCCAAAAATCAAAGGGGCGATATGAGTTAATCAGTTTTCCTTTAGTTGGTTGTTTACCTGTTTGTCTCCTTATTTACGATGTTTACGATCAGTTTTAATTAAAACCAGTCCAAGCTTTTTGCAAAGTTAATAGGCATTTTGACAGTCATGGTTTTTTCCAATCCAGCAGATTGTGAAATTGATTTGGTGATCTGTTACTCGATTGATAGAAATGTTCAATTTTGTAGAATTCATCGTCGACTCTCAGAAAGTTGTTAGTGAAAATGTTAAAGAAAATGTTAAAGGTGAAATGGATGTGGAAAAAGTACTTAAATAGTGCCAACTATTCAATGACAATCGAACCGAAGTGCACAATGAAGTGCCATCCCACAGGCCACCCTTAATTCACCCTGAGTTGGTAATATGTTTTGAATTATTCATTAAGGAGGATCATCCAATGACAATTGATGAAATTCACGATCGTTTTCCTGAGACTTCGTGGAGTTTGGTACATGAGATTTTTGCAGAAATAAACTTTTTTGTACATGCACAAACTCGGAAAGCTTCAATTTTTTCATTTTTTTTCTTTTTCAAAGCAGTTTTAAGGCACTCAAATCCAGCGGTGAGAGCAAAGACAGTGACTTGGGAATTTTGCTCTTCTGGGCGTTTTTGTGGTCCAATTTTTATAAACTTGGGCTTAAATTGAAGCTGAAGGTATATTGAATTCAACAGTCAGTTGGTATTTTTCAAGCATCATTTGCGATTAAACTCGCAAGAGACACTTTCGGGATGACCCTCGTGTTACTTAATTTATCTAGGAGTCTACATTTAATTGACTAGAGAAGTTCAAAAGGCAATGATAGTTTGGTCTGAATTGTGCAATTTAAGTTGTTTGATGCAAGTTTTTTGTGGTTTTCTTTTTACTTTCTGAGATATTGTTTAATTTTATATTATTTTTTTTATTTTTTTATTGGTAGGAAAGTAAAAAGAAAAATGAAAAATGAAAGGAAAATAAATAAAAATTTTAATAGTTTTAAACCAAAATTGTTCACCAAATGGAACTATTTTTAGTTGCAATATCAATTTTATTTTTATGTTATTTAATTGTATAATTTTTTTTTTCCAAATCATCAAATATTTAAAATTATTCAGAGTAAAAATGAATGTCTGACCAAGTCAAGCTCATTTTTATTGAAAGGAATTTGACGGTAGGTAATATTTAAGTTTGAAAAATATTAGATGAGACAATGTGGTCACAATCATGATTTTCATCTTCATATTTTCATGATTTCCTTTCTACTCTCTTCTTTCTATTCAAGCACTCTTCTTCTGCCTCACTCCTTATACTAGAGGCCATGGCAGAGCAAGCAAACTTTTTTATAGCAAAGTCATATTTTCTTCGGAAATCTGTGATAGGAAATCATTATGTATTATAAAATGACCATATCACTCTAGATTTACTATTCCTCATAAAATTTATCTGTTTGGTGAGCCTTGCCTGTTTTTGAAAATCGATATTAATCGTAATATATACTAAAGTTCGCAAGTCCTGGTTGCAATAATTTTCAAATGAATATTCATTTAAAAAATTGCCTTTTTATATTATCTGTTTCTTTGTCCGAGTGGGGTATTGTGGGTTTTATTGTTAAATAGATTTATTGGTAAACATGGTCGTAGGTCTAATATCTAGAATCATTTGTACATTATTATTCAGTATTATTATTAATTTAGACAGTCACATTGATCAGGATATGAATGATACTGTCCTTCTTACTACTGTATATTTGTTATATTCATTAGTTGTCAACAATTTGAATCTGATGAGTATCCAGTTCTTTATGAGAACATTTTTCAGCTCGATCATTTGTTTCAGTTCCTGAAAAAATTAACCGGTGTCTGAGGAATTACCGTCAACTCATTAGTCACTGGCATCAAGTTCAATTGGTCAAAAGCAGGATAAACCTTCTAAACCTTCAAAAAAATCCTCCTCAAAAGTAGGTGGATCCTTTGATAGGTCAAAACTTAAAAAAAGATAAACTATAAGGTATACTCTTACTTAGGCATTCTGTAGCAGAGCTTTTTATTTTTCTCCCGGTGGTTTCAGAAATGTATTGAAATGCCTTTTGCATAATAATTAGAATTGTTTTGGAATTACTTTTAACTAAATTCATGAATTAATTATTGAAAAAGCCATGTAAATTACTCGAGTCTTTTGTTTGTTTCGGCCACAAATACTTATGTCGGCATATTTTTAGCTGTGCTAGGCCCTCATACTTAGAAAAAATATAAAAAATATTTTCTTTTCTCATGAACAAGTATTTACTTGGCCAAGTATTTCAAAGGAAGATAATATTTAATCTTTTTGGAGTAGGATTCAGTATATTTCTCAGTTCGTTTTTTCTCCTCTCCTTTTTTTGGAGCAGTCTTTACTTAGCATCTTGCTAAGAAACTCTATTAAACATTTTTCTTTATAAGTACTTCTTTTCTGAAGGCTTTCTTTAAAATCTTCTGAAACTAAGATTAGTCGCAACCAGTACGTTTATTTTTGTTGAACTGCACTCTATCATCTAGACATTGTTTTTTTTTAATATGTGAAGTGGCCACAAAAACTTTTTCCGAATTAATTATAAGATTGAATATGAATGAAGCAATGTCTCAGCTCTTAAGGATGCTTCAAAAAGGAGATGAGGTATCAGATTGAATCATATCAATCGACATTTCACCCTGGCATCATGAATGATTAAATAGAGAGGTTGTTTCTTGGATCGTAAATCTGAAAAAAACAGGAGTTTAATGCTTATTCATTATCCAGCTACCTAATAAAATAAGCCTAACCTAACTTGATAAAATGTGTTTTTCGTCATTCTGCGGTTTTCTATTTATTTTTTTGCCACCTCACTCTTCCTATATTTTGTGCAGTAATAAAGTCTTGTGATCCTTTGGAGCTTTATCGCCGAAAATTTCTGGCCTCAAAATGTGTGTTTTAAAATGAGGTTTTCAAATTTTAAGTTAAAATTTATGTTTGTTATTCTTGCTGTTTTCCCCTGCATTATATTTACGTGACTTCTAGCTTAGTTTTCAAGCGCTGAAATGTTCGAAGGCATAGTATCTATGTAATATCCAACAAAGTTCCACCGATGATATAAACTAAGAAGAAAACTTATTTTTCCTGTAAATGGTTGTTTGTTGTTTGAGGTATTGTATTTGAAATACAGTTCTTTTTTCATCATAAATATTTTTTCCATTGCTTATTGAAACTGTCACTTATCAGAATAACTTTTTTCCTTAAATGTTTAGACCAAAGAGAACAATTGAGATGAAAATAATTGAGTTCATAATCATATACTCAAAGTTGAATATTCCATCTATAAAACTTCCGCGGCCCTAAAATGTGTATTTGAAAATGCGGGCTCTATAAGGGGCTAATATTTTTATCAGAGGGCTTCATGTGTGGAATGAGAGCTGTTATAAAGCAATTTTCATGGTGCTGGAGAATGGTGTATTGAACCTAATCCATAAAATTATCAGGTCAAGGAGCTGTTACCTGTTCAAAATGTCAAAGTGTGAAATGAAGTGTCTTCTCTTTTATTCAATCTGATAAAGGCATGTTTTTGCAAAGAAGAAATGAACAATTAGCTTAAAGTTAAAGATTTTTCATGAAAGAACAACATTGTCGTTCCCTCAACAGCTTCTTTCTTTAGAAGTCCGACCCATATGGTCCAAATTGTGATTGACGGCAGTCTGAGCAGATCCTTAATATAGCTTCATAAAAACGACAATTTCAACGAGTCTGAAGTATAATTCAACAGTGTAACCTTGGAGATAGACACTTGCAAGGGGTTTCTATGATCTGCCTCTACAAAAAAATTAAAAAAATATAAGACACTTTTTTGCAGGTGTCGAAAATTCGAAGGTAAGTTACTTATCTTAAAGTTAGTCAAAATAATATAATTTTTCCCTCCACTTTTGTTTTTTTTTTTCCAGCAGTAAATAATTTCTATCCCTTTCAAGGATTTATGTTCAAAGTTATTCTGTTGAATTTTACGCGAGATTTATTGAATTCATCCTTTAGTGATGCTATGATTCGGGTCTACTTACCAACCCTCCCATAAACGTAAATTATGCGAGGTCTCCTGAAGAAAGGAGCTTTCTAAGGAATGACTATGAATATGGCCCTATGTAAGATTTTGTAGTCAAGTCGTTTCAAATAAACTCAGTTTTGTTGCAAGCAGTAAAATTTCCAACTTTTTTTGGCTTTCAAAATACCAATGCACTTGACAAGACAGTTAAAGATGGAGTCAACAAAAAAATATTTCTGATATGGGACCAACTCATATTGAATGCACTCCAGTTTCTCCTCCTTTCCAATACCTGTCATTTTACCAAGATTCTTTTAATTCAGTGGTTTTTCACACAGTGAGACAGGAAAACGTTATTTGATCGTGTGGATGAAGCTCTCTTCAATCAATAGTTGTTCCTGCATTGCTTCCATGGTTGCCTGGCGCCTGTTCAGTGTTAGATCAATACTCAGGTATTGTTTTGTCTTTAATTTTCATGATTCCACGAGAATCCGTCCTAGATTTTAGAGACAAATTTTTTAACTTATCATCTCTTATTTTACCCTGTTTTAACCTGAAAATATCTCAAAAACTTCGTCTTCAAAGAAACTATGTGCTCTTCCCGTTCCGCTTGGGTCAAAGAATCGTAGGAAGTAAGGTTGATTTTTGAAATTACTATAAAAAGATTAATCAAACAAGTGACATCATGAGATGCGATTTTCTGCCACTTTAATTCCAAATTATTTCTTTCATCTTGGAAGGAACAAAATGATAAATCAGAAACAACATGTGAAGTAAGCAGTTATTTTTTAGCGTATACATTTTTTGAGCTCCTCCAGGGCAAGCAAAATTTTTCTTTATTTTACTTGACACTTTTGCAGCTCAAAATAAGTAGAGAATGCTTATATTTTTGGGATTGTTTGTTTTTTTTTTATCATATTTATTTCAAGTAGTCTTAAATTCTTTCTCCTCGATCATTGCTATCCTTTGTCACTAAATAAGTTATAATAGGTACTAATAATACTAAATAAAATCTAAAAAATGTTTTCTTGTCACAGACATTGGAGATGTATTGTAGTCCTATAATTTAATAATTGTGTAATAGAATTGCCAAAAATACTCTCTTTTTCTTCTTAGTTTGGAATGAAAGCTCTTGTGAAGGATCCAATACCTGATCAAGCATGAGTCAACGAGTTGAAGAAGATGAGAAGGGACAGACTCAATTGGGACCGCGTGAAGTCTATGTGGAGGAACTGCCAGATAATGACGATAGCTCTGTATGTGGAGGCTCTTCTGACGAGGAGGATGAGGACAGATGGAAGGACGCTCGGAAGCAGCAAGAGTTGCCCTCGGAGTATTGGCATATTCAAAAATTGATCAAATATATGAAGGTAAACTTTTTTCTTTTCATTCTTCAACTTAGCATTTAAGGTTGAATTTCAAGAAATCATATACCCAGGTAAAGCAATCGTCAATTGATAGATGGACCGGCCATTATCTTTCATTCATTTTTTTGTGTTTTTAATGAAAACCCTTACAACCACCACATTTACATGTTTGTACTCATGAAATAAGTAGTAGTTCTAATTGAGTTCTTCTTTATTCTTAGTCTAAAATCAACATTAATTGACTTGAGTTACTACATAGTGCAGCATAAAATTATCAATTGCATATCTTCCAAGTTACCTACATATTTCTGCAGTTTTTTTTCAATAAGTACCTAACTAATGAGGCTTCTTAGTTTATCTCCAGCAGAGAGGAGGTGCAAACAATGCGAAGATGAAAATGATTTGTATACTAACAGATGACAACAAATATTAAAATAAAATGAGACGAAAAAGAATCTAAGTAAAAATACAAATTTTCAATTATCTGTCCATTCACTTTCGTTTTACTTTCACAGGCTGGAAACCAGACAGCAACAGTCATTGCTCTAGTGTGCCTTAAAGATCAGGATTTAACACAGGAAATGAATCAAGAAGCGATTCGAGAAATTGGCGGTTTAGAAGTCCTCGTAAACCTTCTGGAGACAAATGATTTCAAGTGTAAGGTATCTAAATTCTATACCTACATTGTCTAAAGTTTAAGAAAGTCATCTAAATGTCTTTCAACATTATTAAAAGGTATTCTGCATTATTATTTTAATGCATTCATAAGGCAGATTATGGTGCCTTTTTCTTTAGTGCACGGCAGCAATTCATTGTCTGGCAACAAAATACTCAGATATCATGGAAGAAAATAAGCAGCAGGCATAAACCTAAAAATATGGAAACCTCTTAGATTAAAAGTATAGCATAGTGAGAGACTTCTTATGATCAAGTATCATTGAAATGGTAATGTAGAACACTAAATTCTCTGACGACAACAGACAGAGAACTCCAAAATTCGTAGTTTTCCAGATAATTTTTACCGAGCATCTAATTTTACTTCGTCTCTTTATATATTTAATTCATATATATAGATAGGTGCAAGGCATGTACTTATCTCATAGTAGGTTATGTAATTTGTTTAAATAAAAAAAGAAAGCTCAACTCTTGAAAATATGACAACTTGGTAACAATTCTTAGTTGTCTCTCTCAAGACCTGAGTTGTCACTGAGAACTAACTTACATGGTCAGGATTGTTTGTGTCTTACGTAGGCGTGGTGTAATGAAAAAATTATGTTGCGCAGTATGAATTTTTCAATTTTGGCAAAATTTTAGAGGCAGACATTCATTTGCATTAGTTAGCTCCAAAAATTCCAATGCTGAAGTATTTGAGATATCTCACAAAGTTTATGAGACTTCCTGAGAGAAAGATGGATTTCTTTTTGGTGTATTTTCTGGATACGAATACCTACACTATTGTTTCTATTTTAATCTTATCTGACTTATCTTGCAATGTTTGCATTGATAATGAGTAACAGTTCAATGGGTCACTTTTGCAAGTATACAGGGTGTCCGGAAGTTAACGTACTTAACTTTCAGGATCGCTTTTTCGGCTCAAAATAAGACTTTTTTTTCCTATACTCATATGCCCGAAAACGCTTCATACGTGAGCTATGCGCTCAGTTGCCATTATTTTTCGTTCAAATTAATATAGCTCCTCGTCATTTTTTCATAGGTGGCTGAAACTTTGCATAGGGGGGTATTTTTTAGCGCTCTATTCATTTTTTGTGTTTTCAAGGACGTACGTCTTCGAAAAATGACGTCAGAAGCTTTCCCGAATTTGAAAAATGCGATAACTTTTTTGGTAGATGAAATTTCGAAAAACGGATTACAGCACGTGAAAGAGCGTAAAAAATCAAGGGGTCCAAGTACTGCACAAAATTTTCCAGAAACGCGTTATTTCGACGCAAAAGAACTTTGAAAAATTTTAAGATTTTCGAAGCTCCATTTGAAACCGTGTTTTCGATAAGCCTCCAAGTATGATTTTTCGGTGAATATTTGATACCTAAAATATCGCCGCCTAACCGCGATTTTCGTAAGATGATGCTCGGGCCAGACCCAAGCCTGGAAAAAGTGTGAGGGAAAGGTCAAGAGCCGTCTCAATAGCTTCAAGGTTTTCGAAGCCCCTTGCTCTGTAGGCAATTTTTCAATCCTTGCAGTAAAAATTGCCTACACAGCAAGGAGCTTCGAAAATCTTAAACTTTTTCAAAGTTCTTTTGCGTCGAAATAACGCGTTTCTGGAAAATTTTGTGCAGTCCTTGGACCCCTTGATTTTTTACGCTCTTTCACGTGCTGTAATCCGTTTTTCGAAATTTCATCTACCAAAAAAGTTATCGCATTTTTCAAATTCGGGAAAGCTTCTGACGTCATTTTTCGAAGACGTACGTCCTTGAAAACACAAAAAATGAATAGAGCGCTAAAAAATACCCCCCTATGCAAAGTTTCAGCCACCTATGAAAAAATGACGAGAAGCTATATTAATTTGAACGAAAAATAATGGCAACTTTGTAAGCGCATAGCTCACGTATGAAGCGTTTTCGGGCATATGTGTATAGGAAAAAAAAGTCTTATTTTGAGTCGAAAAAGCTATCCTGAAAGTTAAGTACGTTAACTTCCGGACACTCTGTATTTTTCATTCATTTTATCAATCTATGAGATCAAAAAATAGGTGTTTATATTTTTCTGATTTTTTTAACACAAGGAAAATTTTGAAAAATCTATTTATTTTATCTTCAAACTTAGAGCTCTATTGTTGGCCCTTTCATATTAATTTTGAACTTTCAAGGTCAATTTCGATTTTCTTGTAAATCATTGTTTGCAACCTGGTATATTCCAGGATCTTGCAAGTTACATATATTTTTTGCATATTAGTGCAAAGCAAAAGATGGATATGAGATTATTGGTGATTCCTTCCAACCTCAAAAGTGCAAAGTCCGAAAACGAATACTTACCTAGATCATCAAAACATGCTTGCTCTGCTTTAAGTAGGACCCTTTCAGTAAATCTGTGTGTGCAAAATTCGATTCATTAACAGCAATGGGCAAGAGAAATTAAATCTGATAATTTTTTCTTCCGCAGCTTGGAGCTTTATCAATTTTGAGCCAAATAACAGCAAGTTTGGATACAAGGAGGACTATAACGGACCTTGGTGGAATACCACTTTTAGTCAGGCTATTGTATGATCCTTCATCTCAGCTTCAAATGCTGGCTGCTGAAACTATTGCAAATACAGCAAGAATTCGGAAAGCAAGGAAAATCGTCCGCAAGAAGGATGGAATTCCTAAACTTGTAGGTTTCTCATTCGCTCGAGTTAGCTTTAATGATGAGCAAAAATAGTACAGTGAGCATCTCGTACTAAAGTTCTATCACCCTTTACTACTGTCAGTGTATCATATCAGATTTCAGAACTGAGCATTTACCCTTTAATTTCAATGTGTGAAAATTGTTCATTAACTGCTGTCTCAGACTCACTGAGTCTATAAGTTGCAGGTCCTAAATAATATTAATTAAAAAAAGAAGAAAAAAACAGATCATAACTTTTTTATGTGATCTGTTTAGTTTAATAAAAGGTGATTACAAAGCAAAAACTTTTACTTTTAATCAACATTGTTTACGTTGCCTCACTTTTTTGAATACTTGACATTGCATTCTGCTAGAAACATATGAATGATGAAGGATAATCCATTCAATGTTCTATAGTTGAACTACATAAGCTACAAAAGAGCTGCCTTCACAACGCTCCTTAGTTCTCTGCGGCGCCTAACCACCACAGCACCCTGTCCTCCCACAACCCTTCAGGGAGTTGGTACTTCCTCATTTCATTTAAAACTTCCTGTCGCTACCCTCTCATCGTGTGTCCTCTCATTTCCTCCAAGGAGGAACATAATCAAGCATCTTCTTTGGGATCATCTCCTCCATCATCATGAGGCAAGACCTTTGTCTGAGATTTTTCACGGAATTCTTTAGTGAAGCATGTGATCGGTTTTCATTTTTTTCTCTCTTTTTTGATTCCTCATCTTCTAATCAAAAGTATGGTTCTAAGAAAATAAAATGTATTTTTTTCGTATTTTAGGTGGATTTGCTTGATGTGCCACAGGTATATCTGGGCTCATCAATAGAAGAGTTAGATCAAGAAAAACAGGACACAGTTGCAGTGGTACGGGGAAGTTCCAAAGCGCTCTGGTCCTTGTCGAAATCTCAAAAAAACAGAGAAGTCATGCGGAAAGCAGGATGTGTCAAACTTTTAGCCCGGTTGTTAAGATCTGTCCATGAAGATATTGTTTTGCCAGTGATTGGAACAATTCAACAATGTGCGTCTGAAGTGAGTTAAAGTATATTTTTACGGAATTCAACACAATTGCCCCTAGTCACACTAAGTTTGAACCGAGAGAAAGAGGTTCAAAGCCTATTTCTCTATAAGACTCAATAATAAGTACAAAGTCTAAGGATTATTCTTGTTCAACAAAATTCTTAACTTTGAATTTTTGACAGAATATTCCTGACTAAATGCCCTCAAAATTATTCCCAACCCATTTTTTTCCAAAATTCGGCTACCCAACCCTTTTTTTTTTCTTTAGTGTGTTTCTGTGAAACGTTATTCATTTATGGCAACGGTGCGTTGCTCACACTATTGGTCCATCGGTAGAATGAATCATGAACTTACCTACACGTAGAATCTTGTTCATAATCCTTCTGGACTCAATGGGCACACATTTTATTTAAGTGGATACTCAAAATTCATAAGTTTTCCCCTGCAAACGTAATGATAATATTTTTCTCTGTTTCCCGTCCCCAGCAATCAAAGCACAATAAAACATTTTGAATGCTCAAATTTGATGAAATATCGCAATTTAACCAAGCGTCACACTGAAAGTAGTATCAAGTGAAATATGATATCCATATTGACAAGTGGAAAAAATTATTGTTCTGTTTAAATGTAACCATTTCACTTATTTATGTTTTCACTCATTGCAGAGTAAATACCAGTTAGCAATTCAGACTGAAGGAATAGTCGAGGATCTTGTCCGCTACCTGTCTAGTCCAAATGATGATCTGAAAACACATGCAGCCTCTGCGATTTTTAAAGTAAGGTACAAAATATAAAGTTGAAGTATGATTTGTTTTTTTCCAATTCATTTATTGTTTTCTAGATTACTCTCATCAAACGTTTGATCAACTATCTTTTTTGATTGATATTAAGAAGGTATTTACCGTGGAATCAAGCCCTCACTTTGTGTAAGGTACTTATTTAAATTGAAAGTAACAGAAAATAATATTGAGTCGGCCTAAAACAAGAGAAAAAAATCATTAAAAATTTGGCCTAAATACTGTAACAGGGGTGTAGAATAGTGCTGGATCCTTACTATACTCTGCGGGGAGATCAAAGCCAAAAAACCTAAAGTTTTGGATAATTATGGTTTTTAATAGTTCTATGGATCTGTCAAAGCAATTCTATTGTGTTATGTATGCACAATTCAAGCTTGTCCCTTCCTTCATAAGTCTATATGGTAGGTTACTCTGACTTTTTCAGTGTGCTGAGGACATGACAACGAGGAATGCGGTACGTCAGCACGGAGGTCTTGACCCATTAGTCGGTTTAATAAAGTCCGAGAGAACGAGGAGTAATCAACCTCTCCTGGCAGCTTGCACAGGAGCTGTTTGGAAGTGTGCTATTAGTCCTGACAATGTACGTCGACTGGATGAATTGAGGACTGTGAACACATTGGTTGGACTTTTGGCAGAGGAAGACGAGCAAGTAAGTGCAGAAATGAATTTTTTTGTTTCCGGAAGGAGTAAGTCCATTGCAAAATTTTAAAATTGCTAAGAGATGCTTAGTGGGAAACATTAATTGGGAAACATGACTTGTACTGAATCAGGAGTGTTAAGTTGTAGAAATTGCGGCAATCTTGATACTTAAGATTTCTTATCATCTGACTAGGTCATCCACCACAATGCAAAATCGACCAAGGTTTTAGTAAAAGAGACGCACAATTTTGCTGAAGACAGTTCATGAAGCTTAGTGTGTAGACAACAAATTTACTTCAGTAAGTGTAATGTGACAGATATGAATAGATAGAGAGTGTAACTGTACAGCTTACGTTTTAGTGGACAGTTTTTAAAACCAGTTTAACTAGTGGAATTTCATCCTATGACATTCTCTTTGATATTCCTAGCCATAATGTGTATTTCTTGGTCTTATGGAATTTTCCTCCAATGGAATCATTATTTCATTTTTTCTCAGGTTCTAACTAATGTTGTGGGTGCCCTTGCAGAATGTGCAAAACTGGCACATAACCGTGATGTGATTAGGAAAGTGCAAGGGATTCCACCTTTAGTGAATTTGCTGAACTTGACAAATCAGCCTTTACTAGAAAATACGACCAGAGTTCTTGGAGAGTGCGCATGGGACTCAGAATGCATGGCAGAAATTGAGGAGATGGATGGTGTTCGATTGATCTGGTCATTACTTAAAAATGACTCCCCAAAAGTGCAAGCCGAGGCAGCATGGGCCCTAGTTCCTTGTGTCCAAAATGCAAAGGTAATTAATGTGCTTCTTGTTTTTATGATTGTATTTAATGTTTTCTCATATGAAGCAGGATGCTAAAGGAGCTTGCATGCTCTCAAATAGCAATGATCTCAAAAAGTTGCGGTTCAATCCGTTGATAATTTGTTAAGATCATTGCTATAAAATCACTGAAAGAGAGTGGATACAAAGTGTGTTGAAGTGCACGAGGTGCATGATAGCAAAGTTCACAATCATTGAAGTAAAAAAGTCCTCTGGTACGAAACAATTTAATCAGCACCTATTTTTATTTTTTGAAGTGATGGAGTTTCAGATGCTGTTTGATACAGTGGATATCATATCTATCAAATTTCAGAAAAAAGAATGAGATGTCTCTTTTTTGAAGTTGGATTTTTTGTGAGTCTTGTGCTTTTATAGGAAATTCTAGTTGGTTAATAGACTGCAATGTTCAATGGAGAAATGAATGCCTCTAATTCTCAGCTGTATTTTCAGAATTCTGGGGAACTAGTTCGAAGTTTTGTTGGTGGACTTGAACTGATGGTCCGTCTTCTTTACTCTCCTGATAATCAAGTACTTGCATGTGTTTGTGCGGCAATTGCAAAAGTAGCTCAAGACCGGGAGAATTTAGCCGTCATCTCTGATCACGGAGTCGTTCAAATGCTCTCACACCTAGTCAAGACTGTAAGTTTAGATTTATCTTACTTTTCAGCATTTCAGATGTCTTTCTAGAGAAAACTTCTGCTTATCTTTCTTTTAAGGAAAATAAAATGAAGAACTCTCGCAATTTATTGCATAAATCTCAATCAGTAAATCCATCCTATCAAAGAATAACTTTTCCTTGCAAAATTCAAATTCCTTTCCATCATGGTATTGAAAGTGAGTATTGAGTGAGTAAAGAGCTTTAAAGCATTTGCTTTGATGTATCATGAAAATGTCAAGTACATCATAGATTTTAGTCTGTAGATGAATTCAATCATTGTATTATCAGAAACTCCTTATCAACATTCATGGGTTGATTTTATTTTGTGAGAAAAACTCAGAGTTTGAATTTTGTTAGCTTACAGTCAATCGCAAATTGAGTGAAGATAACTCAGGATCAGCCAGCTCAGCCAATTACAAAAATTTATTTCCTATAAATTACTATTTCGATTTCATAAAAATGTTTATACTGTAGAGTGTTACTTCTTGGTATTTATGGATTCTATCCTTTCCTTGAAAATACTTACCAATCACATTTTCAGGTTATATAGCCACTTCATTAATGTCCAACACAGTGCCACAGAAAAAAGTGTTGCACTCCTAATACATTGATCGCCATGTGGTTGAACATATGTAACTGTTTAAAATGCTCTCACTGACTCCATACTGGCCAAAATAACTGGAATCGATCCTAGTCTAAAGGGCTGATTTCTGAAATGCCTACTTAAAGTCAAAGTGACCTAGACCCAAAGTCTGCCTAGTCAAAGTGAGTTCATCAGCAGAACTCATCAGCAGTGTCATCACACTGCATCAACATTGTTTGAACAGAGGATTTACCATGTTTGATAATCATGAAATTTTCGAAAACAAAAGGCTATTTTTTTATTTTCCTCAAGAAGCAAGTCAAAATCCCGGGTAAACTTATGGTATCATTAAGAATATGCAGATACAGTCCCATGGCGGTCAATGTGTTAATGTTATGTAAGTCACAGAAAAGTCATTCAAAAACTTTATTGTGTGATGATAGCGTGCTGTTAACAAGCAAGCAAATAAGATTACAGAAACGAATCCAGACTCATCCAGAAACAAAAGCGAACTAAAACAGAATTTGCTAGAGGAAGAGGTGAACCAAATTTGCTTTTACATCCACACTGATTCACTTCACTCAAGACACTCAATGAACACCGTTAATTTTATCCCCTTTGCCGCAAGTTGAATTCATTCAGCAAATAAACTGATATCCAAAAATCAATCGCTTTTACTTAGTCGAAGTTCAGAATGCATTTTCAGTATTCAGCAAATGTCAAACTTCTAACCTATATTAATCAGTTCTTTGAGAAAAAACTTTTTCTAGTCCTTTCTCAATAAAATCTAAGAAAAATGTTACGGAAAAATTTGACCAGCAATTACTACAAACATAGCTTTAGTAAATTTTTAGAGTTCAGTAGCAGTACGCTAATCTTGTTTAAAAATCCTAGGGGCATTTGGCGAGGAAGTTTCATTTTCAAGTGCTATCTGTCAATTTTTCAGAGTCACAGAGATATATAATTAAGAAGTAGGTAATTTTTTGCAAGGAGCTGAACAAAGATGACGGCTGCATCAATTGTTTAGGCATGACCTGTGGCGCATTCCCTCTTATTTCTCCGTATCAAAGCCTAATGTTTAGGTGGAGGGTAAAGTTAGAATACTATGGGCCACGAGATAAGGCACAAGATTAAAAACCTTACCTTGGACTCACCTTACAACACAAAACCACTTCACACCACTACTTTTTAACATTCATGTATACCCACAGCATTGATTCACTGAAACCAGCTCACACCAATTCACCAACTCATCTTTGATTCCTCACTTCCTACAAGCCAGAAACACTGCCTATTAATGGTACAACTAGAATGAACACATAAATCTCCATCTCTGTGCTTTAAAATTTCTCCTCATGTTCGATTTTTTCACGAGGAAACCACTTGATTATTTTACATGAAACTTTCAGTGGATATGCCTAAAAGAGAGAAAGAAAATTTTACAAAAGCAGAAAAAATAAATTGATGAATTAGCCCACTGGGATGTTAGTTCAGAATTTTTTTTTTCTGTGAAATTTGTTTCAGTAATGACTTTCGAGTGTTTTTGAAAAAAGTAAAATATGTTTGCAAGCTGTGAAGGGAGAAATATTGTTTTTCTAGTATTGCCATTGCTATGTTATAACAAATAATAAAATGCTTAGTGCTTAATACTGCTGGTAAACTGCATGATACTGGACACAATTATGTCTGTTAAACCATAGCATAACATTGTACAGTCAATGAGAAATAAATTTGAATAACTTCCAAGGAGATTTGACACTTTTGATTAAAGTCTTAAAAGTCTGAGAAATAGGCAAAAGTTATTTTAGTTGTATGAAAATCTCTGTCAGGTCACAAATCGCCAAGCTTCTTCTGGAGCAGCCACTTCATATTTGAACAATACTTTCAACTAAGTAGACACTTAAACAACATCAAGCAAAGCAAGTTCATTGATTTTTTTTTTTTTTTTTTTTTTTTTTTTTTTTTTTTTTTTTTACATGAGCTCCAAGCTGTACTAGAGTGAGCTATCACCAAGACTCAGTGAAGGTTACAAAGATTTCTTTGATTCAACACAGGAATAATGTTATTGGTCTAAGTGTATGTCCCTGAAACATTTACTTTTTATTTATTGCAATCAATCATGTTTTTTAGCCTTATGATGCTCTCTTCTCCTGAGTGCAGTGGGAGGAGAGCAATCGAGGAGTGGGCAGTGCACATGCCTTGCCCAAGTATAATCAGGGCGGAGAAAATTTTTGCGGCTGGCCAGTTATGCATGGTCAATTCAGTCCCGTCTTGACTTAGCTGCAAGAACGACTAGAATAATTGTCATCGATGCTAACGTCCTCACTGGGAACTTTCTTAGGTGTCTGAAGCAATTGAAATTCGTCCTCCTTCTACCCTTTTACCTTTTTACCTTCCAGCAACTCTCTCTCTCTAATAAGCAACGTGGTGAATGCTGCTGAACAGTGCTAGTTTGGTGCTCGGAGACAGTAGAGAGCGAGTAAGATAGATCATTTTAGTCTGTGGTTGTTTAGGACGTTGCAAGTTGAATGGACCAGCTGCTACAGTCCATGAAAAACAAGGATGAATGTAGCTGGAAGCTACCTTCTTCCCTTCAAATTTTCCTCTTTCATCCAACTTTGTATCTATCTTGAAAATTGTGGTCTATGTTGTTTGGAATTATTTACAAGTCATATCACAAACAGAGGAACCTCTAAGAGTCAAGGATGAAAACATAGTTTACCTCCAAGCAAAAAAAAAAAAACGAGGCTTCAGCGCTGCCGTAGATGTGTTTACTACTACCCATGGAAAAGTATGAGATTTTTGCATATATTTTGCACTTGTATGTGTGCACGTCTTTTTAGATGATCTGAAAAAAGTTGAACATGGCAAATAACTTTGAGAGAGAGAGCAATACAGGTTTATCTTAGTGCACATGCAAAAATGAAATTAAGTGTGATGGTTCAATTCACTATTTTCAAATGTATCCAGCAGCTGAACAAACTGAAGGTGATCCCGGAAATCACTTAGGACCAATTTTCGGGATGGAATGCATTTGGTGACTTCAACAGCAAATGTAAAATGTTCAAAATGTGTAGACAAATAATCCTCAGATTTATCTCTGATGTAGAATAGCAGCCCTCTATTCAGCTAAGGAGGTCCAGATACCCCTCCCCCCCAGCACTGTTTCCATGAGGAATTCCACATGCAGTTTGTGGAACATTAATTTTCGATGCTAACGGTCTTTTTGGTGGATTTTCATCTTAGAGATAGTTGATTACTTTGACTAACGTGCACGTATGTTCTGAAAAATTAGAAAATTTCTCATTGTGATGGGAAGTTTCTTTTTGCAAATATTTTCCCTCTTGTAGGTTTGAAGAATAGAATTAATGATTCTAAGTAGTTGAAGTTGCCCTCCAGACCGATCGTAATTAGTGTTTCACCATACTACTAATCTCTAAGGTAAAATATTCGTGGAATGTGGCTTTCCCTCTCATTATGAATATTGTCTAATTTTTGGGAAAATAAGTGTGCAATGGCCAAAAAACCAACTGTCAAAATGACTCATGTGCTCAAATGGTACGTGCTAAAAGTCTTTTATAGCTGATTTTGAAAAATTAATCCATGAAGTCCTTCAGTGTAGTATCATATTTCTCAATGGTAAAATCAAAAAATGGATGACACAATTAATTGCAGAAGCCATTGATGAGTTATGCGTGATACATCTGTTTTGCTTATCAGTGAAATTATCTACATTTACGCTTGAGTCCTTATGATTTTTTAAACAATTAATTTACCGATAATTCATCTTTAACATTAGTAACTTAAAATATCTGTGATTTTGTGTCAAAATATATTTGGTGAACTCTACTTGTACCAGATTTGATTTCTTTTTGGTTTTATTTTTTTTAGGATGATGACAATTTACGAGAACACCTTGCAGCAGCCATTGCCAACTGTTGCAACTGGTCAACAAACTGTCATGAATTCGGTCGTCTTGGGGCTGTTACATCTCTAGTTGAATACATGATTAGTGAGAGGAAGCAAGTTCATCGTACCACTGCCCTTGCTCTTGCCAATCTCTCTCAAGACCCTTTCAACTGTATTACGTTGCATCAAAGTAGAGTTGTGCCTGTAAGTATCTCTTCATTCACTAATAATTCATTGAACCCAGTCTAATTGAAAGGAATTCTGTAGTGAAAAGGAAAATTGGTCTCACTGAAATTCCAAAGGGACATAAACATGATGAGAGTTTGGATTTGATTAAAATATTTGAGATTTTCTCAAAATCGCTTTTGAATTCACCCAGAAATCATTGTCAAATGAGACTTAGCAATGTTGTAACGATAAAGCACAAAAACATAGCCTGAATATACGAATAAAGAAGGAGAGAATTAAAATATGGGTAAACAATGCTAGAACATTAAAAACACTAAAAGGCAGGACGTTTCGAGCTGTTACCAGCTCATTTTCAGCTGCAAAAAACATAAAAACAAGTAAAAAACTGAGTGGCGACCTGACCCCAGCTGTTATCACATAACCACTCACTGCAATGTTGTACCTAATGCAGTCTAGACCTCCTGGCTTTCACTGCTTCATTCAAAAAATTGGGTATAATAGATGTTATTCTTTTTTTTGGACTTTTTCAATTTGGTTTAAAAAAGTTTTCAATTAAATTTTCGTAATCATATGTACCTACAAGAATACACTTATCAAAATTTGATGATGGCCGTCAATTAATATAATTGTAGTTTTTTACTAGGTATCAGCCAATCGATTTTTTTAGCATAGTTTGTTTCCTAACTCATTATTTTAAGACCTGATTTCTTTGCCCACACTACATTCTCCTCCAATGAGTTTCTCGCTTGCATAGGGCTAAAAAATCGATTCCTAGATACCTCAGAAGAAACTTCAATTACATGAACACATGTAACGATTTACATGATATACATGTCTCTTTAAGTGATGTTTACATGTCCCTTCCTGGAGCTTTTTGACACCCAACCGCCATTGTCCCCAATCAAACCACAACCCGTAGGAAATCGAGCACCTTAACATCCCTGTTTCAAGCTCATCCCTCCCGACCAAGTCTAGGACCTTATATTGGCAACCTGCTATTTCTTGTTTTTTTCCGAACATGACCGAACCATATTAGTTGTTTCGTCATAATTCCATGTTTGATGGTCTATTTGGCATACATTTGCTCTCTTACTGTCTCATTCCTGGTGCATTACCTCCAGAAATACTAGCCAATCAAAACCATTTTGTAATCATACATGATTTTTTATACTGCCTACGCCTTCCTTTATCTTTGTGTTTTACAGTATCTACTCGAAACAATTGGATCAACAGACGAAGAATTGCAAGAGGCCTCTGCTATTTGTTTGAGTAACATCAGGAAACTTGCCCTCACTGCAGACACTTTGAAAATTTAATCAGCTTTCGAAAGTTTTGAATAAACTTATCACCTAAGAATTTGCAATGCAACACTTAAGTGATTCTGTAATGACGATTACAAGAACGGTATCCAAATTGGGCTTCATCCCTTGTTTTCTAGGTGTTATTGAATATTTAGAATATTATTCTATCATACAGAGGTAGCTATAGTCTGAAGATGGTGTAAATTCTTTTAAGTTGTTGCAGCTACAGAATGAAAAATGCTGTTTTATCGCTTGAGTTGAAAGAGAAAAAACATATTTTTGGAGGAGGGGTTAAAATTTGAAAACATTAGTTTTTAGATCAGGTATTTGCCCTAAAGGAGGAGTTGCGTTTTGGGCCTTTTCCGGCCCCACCTGGATTTTGCTAAATGTTTCATATTTTCAAAGTACTAGTTTTAGGTAGACTCTGTGCCAAATATTAGACCGAACGGAGCCCATGCAAGGGCGCAGCAGCGCCTCAAACCCAAAATCCTGGAATCGAAAAACAATTATTTTCGTCGACTTTTTCGACTGTTATCACTCTTCCAGCACATGATTCTTATGTATTTTTTGGCGTACTTTTCGTTTCAGGCCTTTTTAAAGGCCTCCGATAAATTTTAAGGGGCCTTATGGCCCATTGTTGCCATTTTTGGCCCATTTTTAGGGTTTTTTTCCATTTAACACATTCAAAACTCAACTTAATCCAAAAACTGTGTACATTTTTGAAAAGTACGTAAAAAAATGAATAAAAAATGTTTAGTAAAATTTTTTCCTATGTTGCCAAATTTCCGAGAAAATTGGTCCCAAAGTGTCGAAAACGGCAAAAAATCGATAAATCGCCGCGTCTAAGGTTCAAGAAAGTGGAGTACATTTTTCATACTGTACCAGATAACAGCTCTTATCCATCCATACAACATACTAAAATATCATAGTTGTACCTGGATTCCCACGATGTGAAAATTGACCGAGATGTCGATTTTAGCGGCCTTTTTATACTTGAAGGCAGCTCTTTTGAATGTTTTTCGACCTTAGTCACCCTCTATGGGTGTGGACTACATGTATTTTTCTACGTACTTTTCATATCTGGCCATAAAAATGGCTTCCTGTGAGTTTTAAAAGGCCTAACGGTCCATTGTTGCCAATTTTCACCAATTTTTAGGGGTTTTTTCAAGTTTACGTGTGTGAAACTTAATTTAATCTAGAAACCGTGTACAATTTCGGAAAGAACGTAAAAAAATACATAGAAATGTGATTTGTACCTTTTCCCTACGTTGCCAAATTTTCGAGAAAAATCGTCCTGAAGCGTCAAAAATGCCAAAAATTGGATTAATCATCACGTCGGAGGTTCCAGGAAGTGAATTTCAAGTTTTTTTTCACTACAAATAACGTATCGAAAATGGAAAATTGCAATGCATCTCAAGGAACATGTAATGGTGCAGATGAACGTGACAAAACGGGCCCTCAAGGTGCTTTTACTTTATCCTTCACTCCAGTTCACCTCTTTATTCCTGTAACCTCGAGATAATCCTTGGTTCTCAAGATGCTTGCTACAGGCCAAATATACCGAAGAACAGAAAATGCGTGGAGAAAGTGTCCCACGATCCACATGAATGTCATAATTCACTTCCTGGAACCTCCGACGTGATGATTAATCCAATTTTTGGCATTTTTGACGCTTCAGGACGATTTTTCTCGAAAATTTGGCAACGTAGGGAAAAGGTACAAATCACATTTCTATGTATTTTTTTACGTTCTTTCCGAAATTGTACACGGTTTCTAGATTAAATTAAGTTTCACACACGTAAACTTGAAAAAACCCCTAAAAATTGGTGAAAATTGGCAACAATGGACCGTTAGGCCTTTTAAAACTCACAGGAAGCCATTTTTATGGCCAGATATGAAAAGTACGTAGAAAAATACATGTAGTCCACACCCATAGAGGGTGACTAAGGTCGAAAAACATTCAAAAGAGCTGCCTTCAAGTATAAAAAGGCCGCTAAAATCGACATCTCGGTCAATTTTCACATCGTGGGAATCCAGGTACAACTATGATATTTTAGTATGTTGTATGGATGGATAAGAGCTGTTATCTGGTACAGTATGAAAAATGTACTCCACTTTCTTGAACCTTAGACGCGGCGATTTATCGATTTTTTGCCGTTTTCGACACTTTGGGACCAATTTTCTCGGAAATTTGGCAACATAGGAAAAAATTTTACTAAACATTTTTTATTCATTTTTTTACGTACTTTTCAAAAATGTACACAGTTTTTGGATTAAGTTGAGTTTTGAATGTGTTAAATGGAAAAAAACCCTAAAAATGGGCCAAAAATGGCAACAATGGGCCATAAGGCCCCTTAAAATTTATCGGAGGCCTTTAAAAAGGCCTGAAACGAAAAGTACGCCAAAAAATACATAAGAATCATGTGCTGGAAGAGTGATAACAGTCGAAAAAGTCGACGAAAATAATTGTTTTTCGATTCCAGGATTTTGGGTTTGAGGCGCTGCTGCGCCCTTGCATGGGCTCCGTTCGGTCTAATATTTGGCACAGAGTCTACCTAAAACTAGTACTTTGAAAATATGAAACATTTAGCAAAATCCAGGTGGGGCCGGAAAAGGCCCAAAACGCAACTCCTTTCAAATTTTCTAGCTGCAATCATTGATGAGATTTTTAGCTTCTTCAGGACTTTTGCCCTGCTATGTTTAAGAGATGCTGCACCAAAAAACTTCAAGCTCAAAAAAATTCACTCATGATTCATCAAGAGTTTTGGGATCACCAGTGGATTTTTCAAAAGGATGTCCCTTATCTCAAATATAGTATTAAGTAACATGCCTAAAAGTTTTAAAACATCCTAAGTGCAGCGGTTTTGGCTTGTAATTTGTTTGCTCCTCTAAGTGAACTTAATAGAAAGAAAGAAAGAGGAAGAATGTTACTTAACCAGCTCCAAATCTCTTGTTTTTTTGTGTATTTTCCTTTATGACTTTAATCAAATTTTTTATCTGCATGTTATATTTTTGCAAACATAAGAGTGAATGTTTAAGAAGATATAATTGTAACTTTTTGCCAATAAATAAAAGTTGATTATTTTAAAAGAAAACTATCAATCAAGTTTCATTTTTGTCCGGAAGTTTTTTTTCTATTAATTGCTAAGCAACAACAACATCAAACCTCAAATCATGATGTTTTGGAAGATGTTCAAGTTTCTTCTACTTGAGGAAATAAAATGAACTTTTTATTGAAAGGATATTTATTTACGGTGAACAAAAACCATACTAACAATCTTCAAACTCTCATACATGGTGAGGTTAGTAGTTCTTACCCAATTTATATTGTAGGTATGTTCCAAAGGAATAACACCTCATTTTACTGCGAAGAATTTGTCGATGACTGAAAATCGATTAATTTCTTCATGAATCAATGGCTATTTAATCATAAAATGTGTACCTCCGATGAGGATATTGTAAGTTTCCTTTCATGTTTATTTTTCACTAATTGACAGTTTTCATCACAATTTCCTGTGAATTTTCTTCACTTTTTCTTTGAAAATCTTTCAAAATTGGAAAAAATTAACATTTTGATTACCTTTCCTCAAAGAAAATGAAACATAATCAAAGGTTTCCACATGTTTAGTACGTGCAATTGAATCAGTGAGAACGAAAACACACCAACTCGGTACCTAACTCGAAAATGCTCAATTTTCATTAAAGATAATCAATTTTAATAAAGGTCATTGAAGTTAGGGCATCTGTTCAAACTCGGCCCTTTTAAGTGTCCTTAAGCACTTGTCTTTCGACACCCAAAATCTTTTTCTTAGACCAACTTCTACATTTACTGTGCAGTTTTGTGTGTGTCTTGATTATTTTCATGTTTACGAGTTGGTGTGTTTTTGTTCTCACTGATCCAATTATTGAGGAATGCATTTTTTGCAATTAATTATCGAAATGGAAAACACTGATTAAGCTGAGCATGTACATTTTCTCTTTATTGACTGAATGCGAAAAGGAGTTAAGACAGAACGATCTAATCTGTTCGAAGTCAGTTTAGGTATAAATGGGGAATGCCTTTTTCAAAACTTCATGAGGTGCTAAACTTTCTCTTATTTAAATCCTTGGTAACATGACACAAACAAACCAGTTGTATCCACTCACCTTTGCTTTCTTTTGAAAATGATCTCTGTGAAATGAAACTTTACAAAAAATTCACTGGATAAATGAGCTAATAATTTAGCATATCCAAGTGTCGAATTTGTACGCCGATTTTGAATACCTAGGTAAATTACCTGAAACACTCAGTCCCTCCTTGAGCTGCTCATCAGTTTAGTCGCCGTTCTGTTTCGTTTGTCTTGCTTTTTGTGGATTGTGTCAAAATATCTGGAAGAAATTCGGTTCAATTTCACAGATACAACGTATGTTCGTTAGAATTTCGAAATTCATCCATCATTTGTCGAATTAATGGACAAATTCAAGCAATGACTCTCAATTCAAATTTCGCGGTAAAACCGATTCTAGCGCGATCTCTATCATAATTCAGAAAGTACATGAGGTAACCTTACTTTTCTGTTATCAATTTCTGCAATTTATTTATCAACAAGTAACAGGTGAACAAGTTTGAGAAACTTATCAGCATATCATCGATCAACCATCAACTACAATAAATTCTTTTGGGTTTCAGAGATCTCCATGGATAAGAAATCTCAAGTAGAACAAATTTCTCTATTAAGAAGTATCATGAAAAATAATACTAATAGTATAGTGAATCAACCATACATCATGTGATTTGAATGGGTCTTCTTTCCTGAAATGCCTCTAGTGTGTGTCTCCTACAGCAGGAGTTGGTTCCCCTCACAGTTAGTTCCTTTACGCTCATAATGAAGTTATACAAATTGATAGTTCATCAAAAAGCATTCAGCGGTGAGTCTGTCCTGAATTTTTCATTCATGAGATTTGCATCAATAATTTTAATTCGCAAGAATGACTTTTTCCTGTTGAAAAACGGATATCACAGGAAGCAAGCAAGGTACACTCTACTATAGGTACTTATGGACAAACGGGGTGCCGAAGCGGCAGCGCCGAGAATACAGGCCATCGAGTGACGTCACAAGTCGTACCGTCTTTGCCGCGCAGTTCATAATGACCTTGAGTTAGATCTGGTAGCTTTCTTAAGCTATCAGACGAAATTAAAAAATTGATAAAATTCAAAATAACTACAAACTTAACTAAGAACACAAAATTGACGAGACCCACACTCAGGACAGAAAGTAAACAAGTTTTCAATACGGCGATGCAGTTGTACCATTGGACGCTGTCAAATCTAAGCATTTTGACGACTTCCTAAAATTTCAATTGTCCATACCTGTAGTAGAGTGTACCTTGGGAAGCAAGAGCTGAGAGATTGTTCAAATTCTCCAGAGATTTAAATTGATTTTTGATTAGCCTCGATTTGGCACAAAATTCAAAGGTTGAGTGGCATGCGGTGGATTTGGTGATTGGGCAAGTTATAGCGACCCCTCAGAGAAGAGAAGGTTTCAAGATGCAAAGTTGCTTGATCGGCCGATGGGAGACTGATCACGGACTAATTGTGCAGGAACTTGAAAAGGGGTAAAAAAATGTGAAGGCGGAAGCTATAAACCAGTTAAACGCATAGCTTACTGCAAAGGGAACTATGTAATGGACTCCCTTATGCTGAGAAAAAAGTGAAACTAGCACTTTTATGCGAAGGAAACAGTGAACTGAGCAAGTCTTATGTGAAAGATCTTTTATGAAAACTTGATTTGCAGAAAGTGGTAAGTCGGCAGGCGGGTGCGAGAAAATGCGAAAGCTTGATAGATTCTGCACCCCTTTAAGTAAGTAGGTAGTGGTTTTACTTAAACATTGCTTTTGTGAATGAGGGGCTTCTGACTCCTTCTGTTTTTTTTCATTTATTCCTCCCTCACAAACTAAATTAAACTTTGATGAAAATAAAAAGTCCAAATTCCTGGCCTTCAGGATTATATTGATGCTGAAACTCCCGAACCAATTTCCGCTCCTATTTTATTTTTTAAGTTTTGACAGATTTTTCTTTGTACAGAGTGCAAAAAGCTTTATAGTTTGCAACAATTTCCGTAGAGTAGTTTTTCATTTGCTTAATAAACAAAGTATGGCAGGAAGTCTGAAATGTTGCAAACGGAGATACGTGATTTGGGAGTTTCACCGTTGATATACACCACAAATTGAAAGCATTTAACATTCTTACAGTAGCAAATTTTTTAAAAGTACTATTCGATGACACTGGTGTGAAGTTAATTCATATCTCTCATACATTTCAGATGCTGATTTGATAATCAACCCGAAAGAATTCCCGCATTTGAAAATAGGAGACATAGTTGAAATTTATCATCCAGATGATGACTTCAGTCGATTACTTTTACAAATCACTTCCTTCAAGGAAGATTTGCAAGGCAGAGGTTTGTATAAATTACATTGTGTCAAGTCCCAACTATGAAGTTGTTGGGTTTCCAGGTATAAGTCGTAGTTCTGAAAGTCCAGGTGGGTAATTGAACAACAACAGGAATACTTAGTTGAAAAGTGCAACATCTTGAAAATAAATGTGCATCGATTTTAACCGAGTTTCATGATTTTATGAAAATTTGTGTTTTTCTGCAGGGACAAACTCAAGGATATCATTCCTTTCGATCTATCACCCCCGGCTTTCAATTAATTGTCCGTGAATCACTCATAACCACCAGTAACACAAGCATTACTGTTATTGTGAAATCATCCAGGTGACAAAGTCTTTGATTAGATCTAAAAGGGGAAAACAATAACCAACACCCTGTCTTTTAAAAAAAAAAAAAAAAAAAAAAAAAAAAAAAAAAAAGGATTTGCATAAATTCCTTAGATCAGAGAGATCTGCTCGAAAAAATCTGTCATTACTACTCACAAAACATAAAAATGAGGTTTAAATCTACTTACCGACTTTCAGTTAGTCAAAATAAATTATTTTAACATTTTTAGAACCCTGATCTTTTCATTTCAAGTTTCTAAACTTTTACGTAAAAAGAAAATGATTCAATTTTTTGAATGTCAAATATATTTTTGAATAGGAAGGCTCAGTCATCCATTCATTACAAAGCTATATGCTCGGGCGTAGGAAACAATACTTACATCTGCGCCTTCTGTGTGCCTAAATTTTACCTCTATTTTCTAATTATTTTTCCAGAAACTATCAGTGTTGAACAAAGTATAGCCTCAACTTTTCAGCTAAGGGTATACAATGATGTTTACTTGAACAAAGTTATCCCAGAAACTGTAGCGCTGGACTCCGTTGAAGTCACATTTAAAGATCAGTATCTTGGTAGAAGTGAGATGTGGAGGCTTCGGAATAGTTTAGTAAGTATTACCAACTTATCTTTGATGAATGTGAGAATCTACCTCTTATCCAGCCATGATGATTGCTATTCTCAATGAATCAGCACTTTCAGGAGGATGCCATCCATATTTTCAGTGTTTAAATTTTTCATCATTTTTTAGATTATTCACTCAGAAGTTGCCTGAAACTATATTATTCATACAAGGAACAACCGTTTTTAGGAAAAAACAATTCATTAATTATCATTTCATCAACATATCTGCATCGGAAAGTAATTGCACATGTGTTATTTCTAAAATAAGCCAGAAATAGTATGTAATTCCTTATTACAAAATGTAATTCAATCATATATTATCTACTAATTTTGTTCACCATCATTTCAAGAGAGTCATTTTACGTTCGCAATGAGTTCTTTCAAAATGTCTATTACTGTCTTCTGTATTTTCATTCTGCAGTATTGTATTTAAGCTGAGAACAAAAGTATAGAAAGAGGAATTTCCCATTTCAAAGCTTTCTGTCTTTGACTTTCCTAAAAATGTCTCTAAGAAGACCTGGAAAGTTCCTGATTTTGATTTTTGAAAAGATGTCAGTTTCTGAGGATATTTTCATATTCTTGTCGATTCTACTTTCTCTCTCTCTATCTTTTTTTTTTTTTTTTTTTTTTTTTAGGTCAATACATGTGTGTATTTGAATAAAAAAATCGAATATTGTGGAGGTAGTATCCGATGTCAAGTGTATGAGATGTGGGCAGCTGGAGAGAGAGTAGCTTGCGGTGTCATCTCAGAAGATACTAAGGTTTGTTGAGAACCTTTAAATATTCAAACTCTGAAGTTGTTTCTTCATAGGGTGTTCCAAAATGATGAGGACTAGCACTTTGAGCCAAAAACGAGCAGCCTATCAAGCTATTCTTGGTCTCATTTGAAAAAGGATTTAGAAAGTAGTCAATTGAGATCAATAAATCCATTTTAACAAAAATTGGGCAAGTTATGGTAGTTCAAACATGCGGTAAATGGTGACCACCAACCGTTTTTTCCCCTTTTTTTGACAATGAATTCTAATTATAATGTGCCAGTAGAACTTGTTTGACCTTCTTTTGCCAATGAGTACAGCTTGGCAACATTAAACACAACTCAGGAGCGTTTCCTGGTTGTCTTATGACTCAGGACGTGACTTTAGTAAGGATGGAAAAATCTGTAAATGACATGGGCATGTGGAAACATTTGACACATTTCCTGCTGGATTTGTCATCCTTATTGTTTTTGGTGCCACGTTTGCAAGCAATGGCTTTTCTTCCTCTTTTAAATGGATGTATTTCTGTCAAACAGAGCCAAGCGTCAATTTGAGTTCCTTTTGAGGAATTTTGAATCCCGGATAGTGCGTTCTGTCAAACGGAACTAAGCGCCATGGAAAAGCATTGCAAGTATAGGACGGAACAAGCAGGACGCCCGTTTCCGCCGCCAATCCAAGCCACCCTCTACCTTCCTCCCCCCATGGCGCTTAGTTCCGTTTGATAGAATTATGTCCAACTATGAATGAATGGTGAATTTATTGATCACTTCCAGTGTGAATTGTTAAAACTCAAAACACTACAAACCTAGAGGAAGTAACTATTCTGCCTTTTTGAGAAACTCTTGGAGTAATGAATTTTACCCGCTCTCCTCAGTTATCTTCATTTTTACTCGATTTTTCAGGTTGTTTTTAGGTCGTCAACAAGCATGGTATATTTGTTCCTACAAATGAGCTCAGAAATGTGGGATTTTGATGTCCACGGTGATCTCTACTTTGAAAAAGCTGTGAACGGTTTCCTCTCTGATCTCTTCAAGAAGTGGAAGGTTAGAAACCAGACACATTATTATGCATTTTCTTGCACAGCACCCACAAATTGACAAAGAAACTGCAAAGATTCATATCTGGGTTGCACTCTTTCAAAATCTCCATTATTATTTTATTTTTTAGAAGGAGAGTGAACTAACATCATGGGTTGAAATCTGATTGACTCAGAATATTTTTCTCATGAAGAAGAGAAATCACCGACGGTTTCAAGAAACGATATTGAGTAATTTTTTGTTTAGAAAGTAAAGTATGACAGGAAGTCTGCAATGCTGCAAACTAAGATAGACGTCTCTGCGATTTCACCATCAATGAGCTTCAGTTCATCATTGGGTAGATGAAGAGTTTTACTTTACTGGTGCACTCTGAATAATCTTCCTTACTTCCTAAAATCTAAAGTTCTGAAGAGAAGATGCTGATACACAACATCTGTTTTGTTGACAGTATCATAGCTTCCATTACCAAACGTTTCCTCTCATCCTACTTAATATTTACTGAATTTAAATAAGTTCATATTTTGTGACAATGGACCACTAGACAGGGTACAAATTAAAGCATTATGGTACACGTTTTCCTAATTAAAATTTTGTGTAGAATTTGATTTGGGTGATGAAAATTGCTTAAACTAACACTTCAAACAAGAAATTTGAATTGCCGGCTCCCAAGGTAAAGAAGACTCCAAAAGAGTCAAATTGCATACTATAACAGTTGAGGTAAGCTTCTTCAAATAAAATCAATACTTTTAGATATAAGTAAACCCTGATGATCTAGTATAGTCTGATTTTGATTCATAAAAACAATAGAATTAACTTCACAACTACAAGTTACTTATTTAATCATTTTTATAATTATCAGCTTCTAGCTTACACCGTGTCCTCTTGTCCACTTGTTTCAGACACAAAAGAGCAATCATGAGGTCACTATTGTTTTATTCTCAAGAACATTCTACAAAGCTGAATCAATTCATGAATTTCCTGATCATATGCGAGAGTGTCTCCAACAAGACTACAAAGGTCGATACTATGAGGATTTTTATAGGTAACCGGCTAGTCTATTGAGCATTTTTCCGAAAAAGTTTGTGAGTCCTATATTCATGCAAGAAATATAGTCTCATAAAGTTATTTATTGAAAGTTTTTGTCTGGTAATTGTCCTGTGGTCTCGGGAATGTGACAGTTACATCTTTAAAGATGTAGTGATGTAGCTCTCTTTCTGATTTTTTTTCTAAATTTGTAAAATTCTTCACACTATTAAAAATACAAAAGATTGATCTGTTAAGTTGGAGAAAAAAAGTGTTGGAACAATTTTCTGTTGGATTGTGTTTGAATTTGTTCAATTGTATCATTGAATTGTGTAATTTGTGTTAGTTAGAAAAGGCTGAATAAGTTTATTAAATCGAACTTTCTATGTGCCAATCTCGAAAAAATTGGGTCTGAAATGTGCGTTTTTCGGAAGTTTTACCAGTTGTATCAAGTGAAAAAATGTAGGTGATCGAGGGATGCACTCCTTCCTCCTCATCTCATCGCCGGCAGGGGAGATAAGACGGACAATGGATGCGCAGCATCTGGCGTGTCAACATAGTTCAAAATAAAAGGCTCTACATTTACAACTAAGTGACAGTGCCTCTTTTCCCTATAATTACACTAACTTGTTAAATTGCCAAAAAATGCGCTTTTCAGGTACAATTTTTGCGATATTGGCTCTTAGCAAGTTCGATTTTGAAAGGTCATCATACTCAGGAGATTATAAGGAACATCATATCAAAAAATGTCAACATTTAGTTGGTGCCGAATTTATGGGTATTGTGTGCTCAGTCTTTAGGTCCAACAAATATCACAGATAATATAAAATAAAACTTAATAATACTCGAAAACGGTTCAAAAAAGGCAATTTTCTAGAATACTTTTGATGAATTTTGGTACTTCACAATTCACGAAGAGGGAAATGTTGGCATGCATCTTCCTTTTCTCTAGTTTCTCTCAAATAGGATAAGACTAAACTTATCAGCTATGGTCGTATTTAACTTTTTTCAGGGTCGCAGTGCAAAATGAGAGGTATGATGATTGGACGCCTATTTTAGCCTTACTGAGGCAACTCTTCACTAACTACCAAAAAATGGTTCTGGAGTACCATAACCGAGCGGGTATAGACTATCCCCCAGCTGTCAACTCCACTGCTGCCCAAGGCAACTTCCTAGAAGTTCTCAACATGTCTTTGAATGGTATGTATTTTCTCCCTCTCTTACATCTAGCTCTTTGAAAAAGTTTCCACTCAATGCTCCCCTGAAACATCACAGATTCTCAAGTCAAAAAAGTTTTTTTTTTTTTTTTTTTTTTTTTTTTAAGATCAATAGAGATACCCATCTACAGTAAATTTTTATTCACTAGTACGTGCAATTTACCAGACTGAGGTTCATTAAATTTTTTTGGGTCCTTGTCTTTTTTCCATGAGGACAATGTTGAATTCTTCCTCTACATGACATGACAGTTTACTTCTCCTCTTTCTGTTTCTATGATGAAAATTTAGCTAGATTTACCGGATTTTTTAATGAAACTTTTTGAATTTTGCAATATTTAGAGAGAACCTGTCTCCATCATTGGCAGCTAAAACAGTCAAAACCATGTTTTCTGTCGTAACTGTTGGTGATGGAGCTGGACCGCAAAGCACCTTCAGTGTTACGATAGTATACCTTTAAATTCAAGGTACAATATTATTTAAGTAAAGGTACTTCCCTCATTCTCAAAATATATCCATGTAAAATTTCTGAGGCGGTCGAGATCAACCCCTCTGATTCTGAATGACATGGCTCAACGTTTCATTGCGCTGGAAAAAGTATTATCTGCAGCTGATTTTTTCTGTAGATATTGCATACACAAAATATCATAGGATTTCCTCTCTATTTTTTTTTATCATGGATTTTCTTGTCATTTGTGTGATTATTTTGTTTGTAGTGTTTGAAAAACACTATCTCGATAGGAGTCTTGATCGAACGGGTCAGCTGTCAGTTGTTTTAACCCCAGGCGTGGGCGTATTTGAAGTTGACCGAGCCCTTACAAGTGTGACCAAACAGCGGGTGATAGACAATGGTGTCGGCAGTGACCTAGTATGTGTAGGAGAGCAACCTTTGCATGCAGTGCCTTTGTTAAAAGTAAATATCAACCTAAATATTAATTTCTTTCATTTTGTTCCTCCAAAATTTGACCATTTGCGCTGTATTACCATGAAACACCCTCTCTGTGTTTTCCATATAGTTTAGCTTGCATATTCTTAAAAGTAAAATTACTTTGCCTGTCAACTGATTTTACAGTGAGATTGATACCGCTGAACTTGTTCAATTTATAATGAACAAATGTAGGCACGATGTTTCTCTTAGCTTGGAAACAGGTGTTAACATTCAATCAATGCCATTAGTGATTGTTTTTGCAAAATAGATATACACATTAAAAAGGAAAAATTTCATCAAGTGCAACTTTTCCCATCTAGATTCCTACTGTTTGGAGCATCATTAGTTAAGACCAATTAGGAAGGCACTGCAGAAACGTTTGAGATGTAATTGGATCCACCATTAGTGCAGCGCAGTCTCCTGACTTCCTGCTTTCATGTTTAAAGCTATCCTGAAAATGACACCAAGGTCTGAGTAATATTAACGTTTCTGTCTCTAATCTGAAAAGTGCTTTTAACACTCTCTTGTTCATTGTGACATGGGCTGGGCTCGCCAAGCCAAGGACAGATACTTTTCAGTTAAATGCTTGTCAGATGTTGGTGAGTTCTCAGCCGTTTATCCAAACCTTGCTGCGTCTTAAGGACGTCTGCAAGCTTAGAAACAGGAAGTTAGGAGGCTGCACTACACTGATGATGGATCCCATTAAATCTGAAACATGTTCTCAGTTGCCTTTCTGATGGGTTGTAACTTATGTTGCTTCAAACAGCGTAGCTCTAAGAAGGAAAATTTAGTCTTAAGGAATTTTTTCCTGTAGTAGTAAGTTATTCTGTTTCACAGAAACTTGCAAATCGGCTATGATTTTATCCGTATTAAATCCGTTAAATCCGTTATATCCGTTATATCCGTTATATCCGTTATATCCGTTTTGTCCGTATTAAATTTGTAGTTGCAGTTCTGCTGTCCTTGCAGGAACTAAGTTATATCCCCATTGGTAAAAATGTGAGTATAAATGTAAATATTCTTCAGAATCTATACATCTAGGAGTGTTGAAAATGCACTCATATGAAATGACTTTTCGGAAAAAGGATTATCATGAGACTGCCACAGAATGCAGTAGGTAGCATTGCTTTGAAATCTACTTAATAAAAATAATATAGCTTTTTATGTCTTGGGATCATATAAGACCTTTTTCTCTCAATTTGTTGCCATTAAAAGTAGCACGAAATGGCGATTAATATTGACTAGATCAAAATTAATGGCTTTTCTCAGAGCAACCATGGGAGCAACTGAAAGGAGAAGAAGCAGAAGCAAAAAACCGGCGCTCCGCTTCGCTCCGCGCCGGTTTTTGGGGGGGCTTCCCCCCCCCCCCAAGTCCCCCCGGGACGCGCGCTTCGCGCGCGTTTTTTAGTTTGAGTATCCGGCCTCAGTTGTTGTGTCTGTTAAGTGACCCGCGCGTCCACCGCGGGAAGAGTGTATTTTCCGAAGGGAGGGGCGGGACCAAGCTTGAATGACGATGAATAAATCTCCATAACCCACTGTGCGACCACATTGCCGTCTTATCCATCAATTTTCAGTTCGTGACCCACTGTGCGACAACAATACTGTCTTGTCCACCAATTTTCAGTTCGTGACCCATTGTACGACAACATTGCCGTCTTATCCACCAATTTTCAGTTCGTGACCCACTGTGCGACAACATTGCCGTCTTGTCCACCAATTTTCAGTTCTTGACCCACTGTGCGACAACATTGCCATCGTGTCCACCAACTTTCAGTTCGTGACCCACTGTGCGATAACATTGCCGTCTTGTCCACCAATCTTCAGGTCGTGACCCACTGTGCGGCTTCCCTCCTCTTTTGCCGCACACCCCCCGCCTAAAACTTTCGAAGCTCGCCATTTTTAAACGGCTCGACCGATTTCGCTCAAATTCAATACCAGCCTAGAACTAAGTGAGATCTTCCTTCTGTAAAAATTTCGGGGGGAAAGCTTTTAATTTGCGCGAGTTATCGCGCCCACAAAATCGAACCTCCCCCCACTTCTCGCCCCCACCATTCGAAATGTAATACTTAGATCTCCGTTTTTTCTTCGCAGAATGGTAGTCCTGTTCCTCTACTTTCCATCGCAAAAAGTTTCACCCGGAACTTTTTTAAAATGAGGGAGATATAACCCAGCAAAAATCGGAAAAACCACGATGAGTCATATATATATATATATATATATATATATATATATATATATATATATATATATATATATGAATTCAAACGGCATGCATATTCGTAATCTACGACCCATGATCGATGCTCATTACATGGTCTTTAGTACAGGTCTGACATCAGGGGAGAACGCAATAGTGTATTTCCTTCGGAAAATACACTAATTGTGTGCCATTTTGTTGTTCACTTGATTGATTGATTTATCTACATTTAGTGAGCTTTACTAATCACTCAATATTACCTTGTCCTCTACCTACATTTGAAATTGTTAGGCAAGGAAGTAAGGGCTAGGCTGATTGGCAAGGCGCCATCTGGAGGCCAAGGCAACTTGTATCTGCTGTCCTGCACCCTGATGTTGGATTGAGCCCCTGAACTAAATCTCATGATCCTTAACATTCTTTTTCCGCAAGGCTAACGGCCGTCTGATACGGTACGTCGCCAACTGTCCATTGTATCAATGATAGTGGCAAACGCTTTGTAGCATGACCTTACTCCCAATGTGTTGGACTCTGTTGTTTCAATAGCTAGATAATGCTGGCAGTCATGCATACTCTGAGTGATGAGCAATTTTTTCACAACTAAATCGAATAGTGCAAACTTGTGTATAATACGTCTAAAATAATTTGTTTAATTGTTAATTGTGCTCTGTCACAAGAACTGAAGTGTCTGAACCTGAAAAGACTGTAATATCAAAATATCGCTGAAGTTTCTTCCTTGCAATTCAACTCTGCGATGAAAACTGTATGTTTAGGCCAAGGGAAAATCACTTTGGTAATCAGCTTGGTAACAAAGGAAACTGTCCAATATATTAAAGTTTACATTTTTTCGTATTAATATTAAGTAGATTCTAAGTGCTCAGTAATGTAGCTTATTGTTCTCTTTTGTATGTTTCAGTTCCATAGTAAAGATAACAGTCTAAACGATGCAGATGATTTTAGTATGCCACATTGGATCAATCTGAGGTATAGAATTTATTCGTTTAAATGTTCTCCATTATACTGTTTTCAGTTTGAAACTGCTCTGATAAGACTCAATAGATACAACTTTGCTGAAACTTATGAAGTTTTCTGCAAAATCTGAATAAAAATTTTCAGTGTCTTTACTTTTAATTCTCTGGGATATCTGTTTGACCGCTGAGTCTATATTGGTGTTACGAAAAAGAGCTTTGCATATTATCATCAGGAAATCACAGAGTCACTCCTGTGCAGAATGACTCAGTAAACAAGGCGATGAGCTAAGTCTAACAGCACACATTTTCTTATCATAATTTCATGCAGATGCAATAATCAATTTCAAACTCTCAATTAATTTCAGTGTTTCCGGTGCCTTCAAATTTTTATTTATTTTTCAGTTTTTACTCTACAAATAAGAAAGTTGCCTACTCATCATTTATCCCTCGAATAAAACTACCTCCATGCGTTAGTAATAGACAGTTGCACAGTTTGGAAAGAATAAATTCTCATACATCAGCTGTGTCAACTACTCGCACTCAAATCATATCTGAACAACCAGCAATGATTCCCACTACAGAGAAAGACTACGATGCGTACGACGATCAAGTGTTCACTCTACCTTCAAATCACATCCAAGGGTATGTACAAACTTGAAATATATTTTACAGGTAAAATCTTTATCAAGTTTTATGAGTTATTATCACTAGAGGTGAGCTTCCAAACTGCAAACACTAGGAGGACCTAAGGAACTGTCTGTGGAATAAATGAGGGGCTTGGAGGCCACAGCGCATAAGTACTATTTTTACTATTTCAAGAAATTCAGGTTTGAAGTTTCAAAATTACATGGAGCTTTATGGCGGAAAGAAAGTTCAAAGTGACTTTTTGATGCTTTAAAGTTGGATTTCACTTGTGAACTTTTCACAGAATATACTTTCAAACTAGTTTTAGTTGCGTTCATGAATATTTCAATTTTTTCAAAAACTGCACTTATGCGCCTTGTCCTCCAAGCCCCTCAAATGAACTATCGGTAGATGTTGGCAAAAGAACAGGTTCAACTCTTGAAAGATTTTTTAAAAATCTTTGTCACAGTTTTAGAAGAAATAATTCTTACCAATATTTACAGTCACAAATATTTAAGGAATCATTGACAAAGCGAAGTATAGTCATGTCTCGTTGGTGTTACTCATTGCCGTTTTTGTTGTTGTGTTAAACTTGAAGGAAAATCCTTTACAGTCTAAAATGTACCACCTATTCATGAAACTGCATTCAAATTCATCTTGGAAGTATCTAAAATTGCCAGATGCATGTGGAATGAAGAGAGTATCTGCTAATCTTAGAGGGAAAAACCTATTTAGAGACGTAGGATAATTTGCAAGACTGCAAACATTTTCTTTTGTGGAGAATTTGTATGTATATTGAATGTTGAGTTATTTTCATCATCTCAATTTAAAGTCATTCTGATCCTCACTCATCCCCTTTTTTTGTGAATAATTTCATTCTTAATTACCCACATTAACTAATCTTTTCTTTTTATCTTCAGGCGGCATAAAGCAGAGAGAAACAAAAAGATCAGTGTGGGTCTCAGTGATTCTAGCAACGAAAAAGTGTGGAGACGCAAAATGTCAGATTCTGAGCTTCGATGTGATATCTCTTACAGTTCCTCTGTGAATACTACTACCTCACAAGCTGTTGTAATACCGCAAGTTCACTCTAGAGATACTTCTCCTTACCCTTCATCATCCCTTGGACCAAGTTCAATTGCAGAGAGTAAGTCTAAATGTGCATGTCGGGGCTATTGGGTTTCAGGAGCTAGGGAGCCTCGTTTAGCCCTTCTCAAGAAACTCGTCAGAACTTCTCAAAGCCTCTCTCGAACATACTGAGGATGCTTTATAACAGCGATTCATTTGAACTTTGGAGAGGCTCCTCCCATGCTTTCTGTCCAAAAAAGTATTGTTTAGCTCTCTGTAACCACTTTTAATACATCCCAATTTTTACTTCTAAGTCTAGCTTAATAATGTGTCTCGAAACTGTTTTATTTCCGTATAAAACGAAATCTTAAATTCATAATCAATTTGAACCAAACCTTGAAACCATAGAAACAAAAAGTCGAATTGTTTCCGTCAATGCATACAGGAACAATAATTTCTTGCATAAACTCCTCTGTAAAAAATAGAGTTGTGCAAATATTCGAGTTCGAATTTTTTCTCCGATATTCAATTTGAACTCGAATTTAGAAACCTTGATGTTTCGGATTCCATGTGATTTTTTGGTCGATTTTATCAATATTTGTGTTCTTGCAGTTTTAAATGAAGATCTAAAATGTTACAGATTCTAATGCCTTTTAAAATCCATCTTACTTTGTTGGAAAGTCAATTCTAGTAAGCCCCCGCTTTAAAGCTATGGTTTTATTTTTCAGTCCTGCGTGGAACGAATGAAGACGATTCACCTCCTCCAAGACTGGTCGTCGGAAGTGCCTCACCTACAAATTCGCCCATGTATATGCCACATGTCACTCAAAGGCCCAGTCGATCTCTTATCAATCCTTTTGATCCATCTCATGTCACCATAAAAATGACTTCCAATCGTCGCCGATGGACTCACATTTTCCCCAAAGGTATTTAGAGACCAAATTTGATCATCATTACACGAAGGTAGTAACAGATGCTGTAAAAAAATAAGGCTAATGCCTTATATAGATTAGTGAAGCCTTGCTCCTCGTTTACCGTCAAGCTTTCGGGGGTCCTCATTTGAAAGCAATTAAGTGGTCTGGCCATCATGAATTGGCACTACCACTTTTGCAAAAAGACGTGCTCAAGCCTGTTTGTTTGTTTGAGGGAGGTATGTGTGACAGAGGTAGAATGACATGTACATTTGTGATCTACATCTTGAGATTGGTGTTTGTCATAGAGCGCAATAGTATATTTTCCTCAGAAAACTCACCAAATAAAATAATGATATCATGAGTACCTAACATTCACAAAAGTTGGACTAACAATTTTTAAGAGACATTATCACATCAAAAGATTTTTGCTCTTAAGTGAAGTTATAGACGTTAAAATGTTCACCGAGAGTTTCAGCTGAGGTACTTTCGATATTTTCGACGTGACATTGCTTAGGTAGTCTACATGCGTAACTTAGATTTTTCACAAATTAAGTTAGCATTTGTGTGTATGACCATTTTGATTGGGTCAATAAAAGATGGAGACTTAAAAAATATGAGTAACTCTAAATCATTAGTTTTAGGTTATTAACTTCGCGTTTTTAACATTCAAAGGTCCAACGGGTGTTTTGATTCAGCAACACCATTACCAAGCTGTGCCTTCGCAATGCATTTTTGACTCAAGTTACCAAAACTCAGATCCAAGACATTCTCCTTTCTCAGGATTAAACCGTAAGTTATAACCGTAAGACTTCGATTTATCGGATTTCACAGGACCGGAGGCCGAATCCGTTAAATCGCGATCCGATAATTCGAGGTCTTGCTGTAGATTTTTTTCAGAATCTCAACTATACTCCATGTATTGCCTCCCATTGTTTCATTATGAGGGAAGTGAAGGAGGCCCCAAGTAGTGGCTTGGCCTTTGTACTACTGTTCAGCTTGTGAATGGCAAATTCAAGGGAGATAAGAACTGCTTTGTTGTATCCAATAATTTGTCATGTGTAAATGTGGTAGTAAAATTTCAATGTGCACCTAGGTTTTTTTTTTTTTTTTTCGTTCTAATTTTTTGACTCTCTTGTAAGTGTCAAAAGTGACTGAGAGCAAGGGAGGTGCTTCAGAATGACTCATTCTACCCCTTTCTTACTCCTTGTAATGGAACCATCAAGGCGCAAATTGAAGAGTGAAATAAGACTGATTTTTAATCCTGGTTCTTGACTGATTTTTTCATGGAGTAATTCTGGGAACCGTGAAGACTGGAGACTCCCTCAAGTAACAAATCTCCATTACTTAGTTCATGCTTTTTTACCATTACTTTTTGATTTGCTCTGTGCATTTCTCCAAGTTGTCGCCTTATTTGAAACTCATGGGCACTTTTCTTTAACTATCCTTCAGATTCACGTATGTCTAGTCGTCTTTTTAACACGATCAATTCTGTGAGTGGCAACAGGAAAATGCAAACCCTACTGTGGGGTGCAACCGGTGAGCAAGAATGGACGCCCGCTCTTACTACAGGTACGACCCTTTTGTGTAAAGTTTCTGTTTAATCATGCCATATGTTCAAATTTAGGAATTTTTGGACACTAATATTGAAGCTTTTAATTTACCAAAGTGAATCGTGCAAATCTAACTGTGGCTAAATGTTGGCTTTTTACAAAGTTTAAATTTGTGGGTGGCTGGTTGAAACCTTTTATAAAATTTATTCCATGCCATGGAATTTTCTCATTTTTTAAAATTATTATTTATATATATTTCAATTAAATTAGTTATTGTTTGGAATGAAACCAAAGTCTTAAGTCTTCAATAATTAATTATTTAAAATGTTTGTCGTACCTGCTGGTCAAAGAAAATGGGAATGGAGACATTCTTTAAAAAGATGAAGATGAAAGGTAAACGATTGTATGATCAAAAGATCTTCTGATGATATCAACGAGACAAAGTTTTATTTAATTATTACCTATCAATCTCTTCTTAAGAAGAGTGAAGCATTGCTCAACATTCAAACCGAAATTTTGCAGTAAATAAACTACCAAAAATTTGCTTCGAGTAAATAGTAGATGAGGTTTGATATATGTAATGATATTATCATGGTAAGAGATTGTTAATATTGTGATGAGAGAACATCATTCCCACTTATCATGATTTCCTTCGATATTAGCAAATTTTTTTCTACTAAATATGTTCTGACCTTATCAAAAGCTCCCACAACAGAAATAAAATATTTAATGCAACTTGACTTATTACATTAGTACCACTGACTACTCGCGAATCCTTGCTCATAAATGTAATAGAAAATTAGGCTTTTCTCTCTAGGATTTTCCTTCAGACAAATGAAAAAGTTGTAATTAAATAAAGTTATCCTATTTTTTTTTCAATTTTTTGTCCCTTTTTTTCCTCCCAAATAATTACTTCGAAGAATATGTACTGTTATTTAGATTTATTAGAATTATGTTAAAAGAAAACTCCTCACATGTTGCAGTTTAATATTTTTATTGCTTGTTAATTTGGGACCTATTCCCTTACGACGATCAATGTTTGAATGGTCACTTATTTATGTATCAAGTAGTAGAAAAAAACGTCGGTTTTTTTCCATGGTCTAAAAAAAAATATCCTTAAAGAACCTCCTAAATGTTGCCGTTATTTACTTTTAATACTTTTAGACTCTACATGTATCATATTGAATCTCTTAAGATAGCAGGAGCTACCAAAACCGTTTGAATCCTATTTGAAAACAGTACCAAGTAAAACGACGCACAGTGTGTCAAAACCCCAATCTAGCTGCTCAAAACCCCCCTTATATCAAGTCAACAAATGGTGTTATTTATGGTCAGAGTGGGTCCACAGGCACCCACTAGTTACGTATCTATCATGGTTATCACAAAAATAAATTTTTTGGTCGCTAAAATGATAGGGATTGCAGCCGGTAAACCTCCAGCCTCAATCTCTCCATCAGGAGTGGTGCCACTGTATTGCTTTTTTTTAGAGTACTTCGTGGCGAAAAAGGGTCATTTCTGGATGAAACGAGATGCCAAAGGCCAGAGAAAGGAAATATGACCGTTGATTTCTCCAAAATCGTTATTTAAGTATTATAATTGCTCATTGAAAACAGTGCCCAAGACCGTTTACTTTTCCTGGCTTTAATAGAGCCGCAAAAGCGCGGAACTACACGGAACACCATGAAACTTATATGAGAGTGTTCAGAAAACTATCTAAATTTGAAATGTCTTTAGTTTTACTGCTACCTTCCGCAACCTTGAGAATAAGAGCACATTTTGTTCGGCGATTCCTAGTGTAAAAGCGTGCGGGCGGCGTTTTGCGATCTCCCCCTACAGGCTGTCACAGATGAAGTGAGACGGAGGCAGCATCTCACCACGCGCGCTCGGTCCCCTGATTTGAGTGAGCCTTATCATGAGGCTTTTCACCGTATCAGATAAGACAGTGTGGTGGCTCAGTTGATTGCTTCTTTTATTATTACTTGCATGATCGGGGTTCAAATCCCGAGCCAATCAATTTTTTGATTTTTATTTCATTACGATTTTCCCATTATCTATACTGTCATGGAAGGGGGAGGGGGGTCCTCATAAATACTAAGTTGCATCGTATTTTTAACAAGTTTCTTGTATGATTTGAAACAGACTTTCTTATTTATTTCTAATGAGGAAAGGTTTCGGACATGGTTTATGAAACGTAGGAAAATGAAAAGGGGGGGGGGGGCTCGCCAAAATTTTCCTTTACTGGCAAACATTTTGAAAATATTATCTTTGACTTATCACTTAAGAGTTGCCGAAACGTATCATTTTAATAATATGGAATTCATATTTCTTTGGATGGCCAAATGAGAAATTCGCCATTTTGAAGTGGAATGCATAAGCCCAAGACATCCTCCAGGACTTATTTTGGATCGGAAAACACAATTTGACTAATTTTTGGGGTTCATCAGGTCACATAAGGCGCCTAAAACTTAGTTGGAATTTTAAGATTTTTACATGAGTTGAACAGGATTTTTAGATGGCCGCCATTTTGAAAATTTTGATGACTAAGTTTTGAAATTTTAGGTGAACCTTCTTCAAGCTTACACTAATGCCTGTGCGAAATTTGGTGGTTATCCGACCAAATTTAGAGACGTGAAGAGGTTTTGAGCAGCTAGATTGGGGTTTTGACACACTGTGCGACGGGAGGAGACGTAGGGGACGCCCAGTGAGAGGTTGGCGACAGGGGGTGTTAAATGAGATGAGGGGTGTCAACTCCTTGATGACCTATGGGAAGACCAAGCTTTGTGGCGATTAGGCGTCGTAAAGCGCCAAAGAGCGCTGTAAAAGCGACTCACATATATATACCAAGTAAAATCTAGACAAATCTTATCTTGAAGCTGAACTAATTTTTAATTTTTTTTCCATTAACTTGTTCTCATCTGCGCCGGATGTCTGATGATGATCACCCAAGCAGTCTCCAAAATTATCATAGGTCTGATTTTAATACTTCTGCTACACTAGATTTAATTTGCATTGTGCAATGCTACTTAAAATCATATTAGTATTCTAGTTTTTTCTTCTGATCCCAATATGCTAGCAGTTAGTTTTCGGGTGAAATCCTGCTCATTTTCTTCACTTTTCACCATCCATGCCATATTGCCGCCCTCTGACGTACAGGCATAACTCAATTTCCATGTAAGCTGTATTTATCATGTTACTCCTATGCTTTTCAAAGCTCATGTAAAAATTGAGATACACCCTTACGTCAGAAGGGCAATGAAATGAGTCCATCCTATGGGCTGATTATTGAAATTGAGAGACAAAGCAATAGATGAGGAAGACAAAAAGGATATGGAGAGATCCTATTGGTGGAAGCGGGTGGTCGCAATCAACAAAGGACGTAAACAAACATAAACAAACGAATGGCAACCGACGAGAGACCTGATAGTTACTCCATCATTTACCCCCTTAGTCTATAAGAACCACCCATTTCAACCAATAGGATCGCTCTATACTTCTTATGTCCTCTTTGTCTATAGCTTTATCTATAAATTTCAATAATCGGCCCGCTGGATAATTCCGAGGATTGCCCCAAGTTTGAATGAATGCCAAGTTTGTGTACTGAAAGATCTTTGTATTGAGAAGTTGAATATACAGCAGCCTTTAGAAAATATGAGCATTCATAATGGAGGAAGATGGAGGTCAAGTTCAATGACTTCAATGGTACCTAACTTTTTTAAGTTTTCACATTTTTAGGAAGAACAAAAATTCCAAGGTTTCATTGAATTGTTATGAATAAAAGTGATGGACTCCCTCACCGCCTGTGAGGAGTCCCCAGTCTGTGTCTTGTTTGCTTCGTCAAGGTGAGGGAAGAAACAAAAGAAATAATATGATCCTAATTTATTTATTTGTCATTTTTTTACTAATTACATCAGTTTGGCTCATAACAGACTGAATGTCATTTACTGCTTTGACTTTTATATGTATTCGTATTCTTAGGTATCATGCAAATTTCTAATGACTGGCTCTCAATAAATTCTGAAGGATTAGATATTGACTGAATGTACCTGCGTGTTTTGAGAATTTTCAGAGGAAATCTCAAATTCAGGTGGTCCAGGGATTTTTCCATCCTATGAAATTAACAGTTACACTTTCTCTCAGAGCTCTGACACTTATTCATCTCACAACTCTTAACAGATTGTTGAACTAGAGTGAACAGTTCACAAACGAGGCATTCATTTCACTAGAGTGTTTACACACATTTTCGCCTACCTTCAATTTTTTCTCTCATATGTTGTTTCTTTCTCATTCTGACTTGTGAATATTCATGACATATTACGACTTCTTACAGTACGTTTATCCTCCTATTTTGATTCTATTTTTTTCCCCGCAACCATTTAGTGTAAGAAGGTAACAGTAACCTAAGACTGTTGGTATTTTTGCCTATTTTCTGATCGATATTTCTTATTTCAACTTGCAATTGTACCTCTCTTTCTATGAGATGTCTTTCAATTTTATTGTCAGCTATTCTGTTCACTTGGCCTTTTCAACTTTTTTTTGGCACTAAGCGCAACTCTATCTCTTCAGGGATTTCAGGGACTTAAATTTTTTTTACTTCAATTCTCATTTCAGGAATGAAACGTTGAAGAAGAATAAAATCCACATCTTTTCTCTGAAAAGCGCATTAAAGCCAAAAAACAATTGAATGTACAGGGCTTATTATTTCGAGCACATGAATGTCTTTAAGTTTAATTTTGCATGGCATGAACTTTTTGTAAGAAATAATTTCTTCCTATCCATTTTTCCTCTTTGCTATTTATATATTTGTAATTTTTCCTTTATGTGTACCTAATAGCCGTGTAAAAAATTTATTCAGCTCTTACATGTTATTTCTTTTCTTGCCGAGACAATAGTAAGAGAGTAAAAATCTTGATTGACCTTCTTTTGGATATTGGAAACATTATTATTTTTTACCCGTATTTACATAGCATTTAACATTCAGGCTGTAACAGATATTGGCGGACACTGCATTCTCAGATTTGATGCCCTGCAAGGGCTATTAATCAGTAAAGAGTAAACACTGACAAAAGTGGCAACTAGCTGATCACTGTACTTTTTACTGTCCCGATACTCCAACTAACTACTTGATTAGCTGGCAATGGCTGCTTGCTATTAAATTACCCGTAAAACATTTACATTTTAAGTTTAATTAATTGTCCTTTTTAGTGTGTCCTAACGACTGAGCAGTGTTTTTTGCAAAGTTGCAACAGTTTTAGGTTCGTCCCATCTCTAAATATTTGATCCTGATAGTAACTTGTTAATACTGAATGGTTTGTTCTTTTCTCAGGTGTTGATTGGAAATCTCTTACCATTCCTGCATGTCTCCCGATCACAACCGATTATTTTCCTGATGAAATCTGTTTAAAAACTGATTATGTCTTCTCTGACTATAATCTATTACCTGATGATGTAAACGCAGATTTTGCGCAGCAGAGGTCCTCAGAGAAAAAATCTCTCTCTACCAAAGAAGTTTTTTACGAGCTTGTATCACAACGCTTGGCACAGGTATTTTCATTTCTCATCTTTTTTCCCCTTCTGATGGATACCTACCATGAAAAATTCCAAGCTTAATGAATCACTGTCAAGGTGACTTACCTTAAATGGAAGAATTTTTGGAAGTACAACTATACATACATTAATTAAAGAATGTAAGACTGGAGAAATAGAATGATTATGAACGAATTTTGATGAAGGTCTGCCTCTACCAACGTCTCTCCTCTTTCTTTATGCTGTGTACACGTTCTAATTGTACATCCTTTTCCTAAGTTTGACATCACAGCTTTGTGTCCATCAAGCAGACTTTTAAATCCTAATTCTAACGTTCATTCTTGTTGATTGATTGTTGATTCTTCTGGAATATTGGTCACAGTATTCATCCAGGCAATTTCTTCAAAATAATCCCTTGCAGTTTTAATAAGAATTCAAATACTATTCACAAAATACACCTTGATAAAGCATATCCCTATGAATTGGCAATGAAGTTTGATTTTTTGGTAGTTTTAAATGGTTGCCTTCTTAAGGCGACCATGAAAGCTGCCAAGCTTAGGGTATCAAATCAGAATTCCTCAATATGCTAAAAAGTGATCTAAAAATCCTGCAGGTTATTATTTTACACAATTAACCTCAGGATCTCACTTAGCCTGCCTATGCATCTGAGGCAGAATATAGTAGCTGAACTATCCAGATTATGGCCTGTACACATTTATTCTTTTTTTGCTTCCAGGGTTTTCAGCTCATCATAGATTCTGAATCTCACATACCAGATCGAGGCAGTGCCGTTATTGGACCTCGGTCCAATGCAGTCTCCCCATCTGTGCAATTCAAGTTGAGTATTGGAAGAGTATTTCATCGAATTGTACTGAATGGATCTGAAATCCGAGTTACACGCTATCGACCCAGGTATGCAAAGTATTTATCTCTAATTAGTAGCTATTTGTGAATTCCCGCTTTTCTAAATCCCCACCCCCACTATGAATACTCATGATTGGGTTTGGAGAAGTTATTCAAGTTTATCAGTTACTTACTTCTTTTTTCCAGGCATCCATATTCTCCATTTGTGATTCATTATCGCTACAGATTTCAAGCACCTGATCACAAAACCTACGGCGTCTCGTGGGTGTCTTTTAATACAGAGAAACTAGAGAATTATAATTGGAACTATTTAGACCACTACATTTGTACACGTGGTGATACGGATTTTGCACTAGTTGAGGTAAGCTGATTATAACTGCAAGGCGTTGCTTTGGTAAGGGATTGTCTCACCTACTACGTTTGGACCACTGTTTCAAGTGTGAATCAGATAAAAATATCACACGTTCTCTCTTCACAATCTTGCATAGAAAATAAATCACATAAAAAAAATTCGGAAATCAACTCGTAAACGAAATATTAGCAAGTATTTTTAACACAAATCAAATGGAAATTAGATCATAAAAATTATGTGATTTGTATTTTTGCCATTAATCAATGCTAATTAGAAACATGTTTATTTTATCTAGCAATTGGTTCTCAGAATTTTCGTAATGTGTTTCGTTTTCTTTATGAAATTTGAAAGAAGAAACATGTTGTGTAGTGCTTTAATTTATATATTTTTTAAAGGCCCACTGTATTTGCTGTAGGGAATAATGTTGATTTAAACCATATTTTTCATGTAGAATGAGTATGATCTAATTTTTTGAGGGGCGTTGTTAAATTTGCTCCTAGATCGTTAAAGTTCAGTGTCTCATCTGATTCTGGCTGCTTTAACATTTTTCCTGCCATAGTTTATGGGCTCCTTGATGAAACAAGCAAAATATTGTGCTTTGTGCCATGATGGACCGCACAAGAATTTTTGCAAGTGATACAGTATTGCCTTTAAGCACCTGAGAGAAAAGTACCCTGTAAATGAAGATGAATGTTGTTGGCACAAAGTCCTATGTCGCTCCTTATACATTAGGCTGTCAAAATACTCACTCTACTGTTACTAAATTTTTATTTTTTTTGTATTTCAGGCTCTAAAATATTGGCGTTTTCGTATATATGTTCTTCCTCTTAGTCAGTTTGCCACCCGTAAAATTTTGGATGGCTCTGAAACGTGTGATCTGTACTCTCCCATAGGCACAGATGAACAACATAGTCTGAAAGAAGGTTTCTTGAAATATATTGAAAATAACGTGAACCGCACGAGAAAAACTGTGAAACCTTCACTAAAGGTAAATGGTATTTCATATAGACTTAAATACCTGCTCTCATTTTAGACTTATAATACAAAGCACCACTCCTCTCTCATAGCTTTGGCAGCTTGTGGCAGAAGAATCATTATCTATTCAATGAAAGCAATTTTTTTTGTTTCATTTACTAAGAAATCAATTTTTTGACCTAATAATTTGTTCGGGGGAAGATGAATATCAAAGGCTAACAAATATTACCGGGTAACTGAAAAATTTGGTGAAAAAGGGTTAGCAACATTGCTGCATTCTACAGCATAAAATATGCAATCTGATGATTTTAGTTTTTTTCCAGTTCTGTAGGGAGCGCTTCAATGACGCTGTTATATTTGGGAAAAAATGCCAATCTAACCTTAAAATTACAAAATTGACAAAGTTTTCTTTTTTTTCTGCAAAATTGTCAGTTTGCAGATAGGCAGTATTATTCGTTAGTCATCGATATGTAATTAACAAGTTTCCAAGTAAAGTTCCTAGAATGATAAAGGGCTGAGAGAAAATATACGATTTTGATTCATAAGGAGAAAAACCCTTGATATTATGTTCAGCAAAAAGCAGGGTTTCCTCTGCAGTAGAACACAAATATTAAAGATTTACCAAGTTTGCAAAAAAGAAGTTGATCCGTCAGTAAGTTTGAAACCATCAAAAAGAACCTTTTTCTTGCTTATACCTACCTCTGGAGCTCTTTATTTTCTGTTGAACTGAAAGTGAAGAGAATTCATGTACTCATATCACTACAGCAGTGAGATTTTGCTCCTTATTTTCCTTTTGTTTACCTTGGATAGCTCACTTTTTACTAATTATGTATGCCTAGTTGGTAGTCTTTATTTCCCTCATTTCTTAGTTTTTTTGTCAGTTGATTTTTACTTGGTCTTTCAGTAGTATTTCTAGTATTTAGGCATGCTATTGAGAGTATTTTGGGTGTCAAGCTGCCTCTAGTTTTGCTTTTAATGTTTATGATTTCTTTACGTCATTTTCAAGCACACTGCAGCAAGGAGGGCAATAGGGATTAGATCATTGATGGGCTAATTTTTGGAGAAATCTCGGCCATTGGTTGAACCAAGGAAGAAATAAACCAATTCTCAGTGTACTAGGATACAATTGTGTGACTAAAACGAACAGTCATTTGGAAGAGTTTCCAAAGGCACTCTGAATACATGAGCAAGGGTATTATAAATTATGCTTGTCTCTAAATCCGACAAATTTTTACAATAAAACTTTGACATCTATTGACTTGCAATGCCCCAAATAGTTGTCATTTCAATACTGTTGGCTCTCTGAAACATTCTAAAATATATGATCAGTGATGGTCAAAGTTTTTACCTGCAATTTGAAGGATGTGATTACCTAATCCACAGAGCGTGGATGAGGTGCGTTTGTAGCTTACTGTCGCTCAATCTAATGTTTCATTGGGGAACTTGCCCAAAAGATTTTTTAGTCTGTTCAAAAAAAAAATTGGATTGAAAACATTTTAACCTAAACTTTTGATAGGTAAAATTTCCATGAATAATGATGCCATATTCGTGTAAATACATGCACCACTACCTGGGCAGGTTATCGCTGGATCTGGTCATCATTGTCGGTATTTTAGAGGTCATCTTATCAAAATTTTACCCCCAAAAGATTCTAGACAGCTTAAATCATTCTCCTCCAATTTAATCGTTCAAAGCTAGCCCTATGGACTTGTTTTCATGTTTTAAAACTGCATGACAGTCATACTCTCTGTAACTCCATCATCTCTTTTCTCTTTTTAGCTTTTAAATGATTGTCTTTTAAATCAGTTAATCGATTGCTCATTTACCCTCATAGATTCTGCATGCTACACCTAACAGTTTTACAAAATCTATAAAAAAATGTAACCTCCATTACAGTTCCACTAACGATAAATGATCGCTAACTACCGATTTCTTTGTGGCTGTATTTGACCAGAAAAAGTATTAATATCTCTCAAAAATTGTGCAGTTTTCCGTCCCAGTTATATCAGACTGTTGGTTGCACAGTGGGTCACGGGAGGAAAGATTTTGAACAACCAGTTTTTAAATGTTGGTTCCATTTCAAAAATGTTATCTGGGAACGTCTCATATAAACTATCTTTGGATCCTCTTTAATCCTTGTCTTTGGTAAATAAACTTTTCCCCGTGTGAATGCACGGGTCACTCAGAAATAAGCCAAACTGAACCCTACTATTGAGCCGCAGCACAACCTTAGTAACTTAACTTTAGTATGAAAACTTGCGGAGGATGCTTTCATCTATTATATTGTTGAGAGGGACATGGCATCAAGATAAGTTCTTCATTTTTTTGTTAACCATTAAAATGCAACTATCAGCGTGCATGTCTGTGACTGAACGATTGAATTATGTCATCAAGCCATCTTTTCTAATACCTTTATTTTTACACAATTTCATATTTTTATTTGTATTATTATTTTATAAATTTGTTTTTAGCTATCTTTTTTTTCTTTTTTTCTTTCAATATCATGTTCACTATGATGTTCAATTGGGTTGCTGAGAGACTTTTGCTCTTTTTTTTCCGTTTTCCGTTATTTTGTTGCCATTGTTATTAGTTTGTTGCATGGTTGTTGTAGCCGGATTTGTCGCAACTCAACACTAATTCACAACTGACACGTAGAAGACACAGCACGGGGATTATGTACCTCTCTAAACCTCAGGTATAAGGGATTTCTCACTAATGTTACCTGCAAAAATTCTACCTCAGGATGGGGTTAGAAGCTTGAATTTTGTTCTGGACAGAGAAAAATATTGCAAAATGCTACTTTTAACTTATTAAGTAAATCAATTAAGAGCTCAAATTTTAAAAATAATTCAAATATCTGAATACTCTCTTTGACAACAGTGATCTATAAAACATTTCTAATAGCAAATTTTGTTGTATTTTTATTGCTAATTGTTCAGACAAACAGCAATGCAAGTGAACAAATCAAAGAACCCTGCACACCATTGGGGGCGTACTGGTTCTCAGTAAATTTTGATGAAACGTTATAAAGTTCATCATCAGACCAAAGCCAAAAAATTAGGTGATTCGGTTGGGTGGGAACCGCGATATTCGCAATTGACACATTACACACGAAGTTAGGAGGCTAAGTAATGAAGGATGGCAGGGCAGAGAAGGATTAAGAATAGCATGTAGTGCTACACCTTTCATTTCAAGATGAGTCAAATCTAGAATGGCATGAACTTTTTGAAACAGAATCAACAGATTTAGGGGAAGAAAAGGGTGTGCACACCAGTTGAGCCTTTAAGCGCCTAACTGGGCGTGAGGTTGAGGCAAGGATGCAAAACTATAGAAAAGAAAGAATTTTAATTCTTCTGTTGTACATTAGAGTGTTAGAAAGTAATGCACTTGTTCAATTGTGAATATTTTGGCTTCTACCGGACTAAACCCCCTAACTTTTTTGGCTTTGGCCCATGAAAGAACTTTATAATAACCTATTAAACTTTCATTAGTAAGTACCGAGAGCCAGTGAGTCTCCACTGGTGTGCTGTGCAGGGTTCTTTTAGCCAAAATTGTTTAACGTTGAAAAAAGAAATTAAACTTTGTGATTGGCTTCAATCTTGCAGTGAACAAAAAAAAAAATCATGATCCGGTTAGAAGGAACTAAATTTAAAAAAATTTGGACGGAGCAAAGAAGAGTTCTGTTTAACTTAGGAACATTGCCGGAGTTTCCACCCAATAGCTTAATTAGCAGAAAAGTTAGAGGGGTGGTGAGGAATTTTTGATCACCCTGTAGAGTTGTCTTTTTTCTAGCAATATTTTAGCCGAGCAATTTTTTCTTCTATACTTTACTTGTTTGCCTGCATCAATTAAATTTTCTGTTTTCCTTGTTGAACTGATGATTCTACTGTTACTTTTGTTTTCATATCTAAAAAAGAATACCGAAAACATAATTTTTTAATGAAAACCTCTGAAATTTCAGACCGTAGGGCAGTCTTCTCCATTCCGAGAAAGACTAGGCAGTAATCGAGTTCTGGAAAAACCTCGACCAAGGTTTGACCCAAATTTCTACAGCTTGTCATGCTTTTTAAGTGATCTGCTTCCTTTTTTGTTAGTTTCGCAATGTTCTATACTAATGTGCTTTCGTAGTTCTTTTTGGTTGCTTGCATCATAAAGCTAACTAGACTCCAGTTTTAGCGCAAATGGAACAGAATGAGATCTTTTAAATTTGCAAATGGTTCTGTTCAGTGTAAACATATCCTGTCGTTTGGTGTAAAATACCTTTTCAGTTTGTTTATTATGTACCAACTCAGTGTCATTGATAGTTTCATGGTGGGAAGAAAGGATCTCAATAATATTTTTTAAATAAATCTAATCTCGTCGTCCAATTAAAGGAAGATTGAATACAAGAATTTAGTGAAATAATGGAAATGAGGCTGGCTTAAGTTCTGCAAAGCTTTTTTTCCCTGAATAGTTTTATGTAGGAAAAACCGATTTTATGGAAAAATAAAAAGTCATTAACAAGAAGCTGATGGCTATGAATCCTCGGTTTTTGCCAGATGAAACCCTACCTAAAACTACAGAAAAGACTGTAGGAAAAGCCTGAGGAAAGATCTCAAATACGAGGGGCCAGTGAGGCTCAAAGATTATGAAATTTTCTTTGACGGCTTTGAAAGTTTGACTTTTTTCACCACAAATGAATCTGAACGAATTATTTAAGTTGTGTGTTCACTAGTACACATTCTTTTGTGATCATTCTATCCCTAGGAAGATAATGGATGATCGTCCAAATGATCCAAAAATTCATGAAATCACGAAGTGAGAACCGAATTTTGTCTGAGCTGCAGAGGAGGCAAAACAAACCTCCCTGCAGTGATGCGTTTCAGGTGGAAGTCTTTGGTTATTAAGATGGATCAATAATCATTCTATGATAAATTGAAAAAACCAGCAATTGATCCGATAGTGTGACAAAAAAGGCTGGTAGCAAAACAAACGCCCAATTGATAAGAAAGCAGACCTAAAAATTCGAACATGTTTGTAGGTATGTTTATTTCTTTAATTGTCGATTTCAAACGTACATAGATAGGATAAAATCCAGTATAAAAAAATAAGGGTTCATAAAATATGTCCAGCGTTAAAGTGGGTAGGGAAATCCAAACCTGTGTTATGGCTTCATTACAGGAATGGAAGGGTTGCATCATGTAGCAGTTGACACTGTAGTTTCATAATTGAATGGCGCTGTTTTATCACTGCTTTACAAATGAATGCAGCTTGAAATTACAAAACGATGACACCTTGTGACATACGAGCGACGTAGATGACAAAAATATTTTGCCTGGTGGCAATTTGACCATTTCTATTTGTGTTATATTATTATTTTGCTACTCTCTAAGCACTTATTCCAGTTTGCCTTGCTCTTCCTCCGTCAATTTCTGAAACACCCCAACACACGCTTCCTCTTTTAAGCGCACTCTTGAAACATTGGTATTTTATCGTTTTATCTGATAAGCTATTGTAAATAGTTTTGTACCTAGTGCTGCAGTGTGCACGTCTGTACTCTATTTTTGACCCTGAATTTAATTTGCTCTTTTTCTTGCTTAGGACGTTAGTTTTGGATATGGTCCTCGCATGCCTCTAGATAAATTAATTTCTCCAAGGTAAGCTGGTTTCCCTTTCAGCATCAATTGACTATTTTTCTCTTTAATGCAATCTTGGGCTTTGATTATCACTCTGAGACAACTTCACTTAAATTAGAATATCAATCTGATCTCTTTTGTGTTATAGAGAACGCCTTCCTGTGTGGCCCAACCGGTGGCATTTTGTACCCTAAAAAAGGCTGCTTCTCAGGTCATGTTTCAAGACTTTAAAGAAAGGGGGCTAATCTAAAGGTTATTACCTGTATAGCTGCAAATATAATGCAAATCGGGCTGGTGGATCTCCAGAATAAACTATTAAAAAATTAACATTTTGAGAGTCAGAGAGCCTATTTTTATAGTTCCAATAATTGACTTAATTGGATAATTTACTGGAAGGGTCTTCCTTAAGGCCTGCTTAGGTCAAAATGTATACCGAGGCATCGAGGATTCTAGCCTTTAAAACTTGTTTAGAAGTCTACATTTGAATTTACCTGTTCTTTGGCGAGTTCTGTGTGATTCCTCCAACAAGGCTCGTAGTAAAATGCAAGAATAGGTCTTTTTTTCACCTTTGAGTTGGAGAGTTATCTACTTAAGAAATACTTTATTTCCTTGATCATTGTCTGGGATGAACAAAATAAAATGAATTCAACCAAGTGAAAGATACAACTAACGTCTCTCTTAATGATCTCAAAGTTAAAAAGCATGATAATGTGGTACCAAATCTAGCTTTAGCTCACTTTGCTGATTGTACAGAGGCTATCTCAAAAGTGATACAATTGGTTCTTGCACGAGCAAACAAATAAAGCTCCTGAACTGTCTGCTGAAATGTGAGCATGTTTTAATGCATTCCAGTTGAGTTGCATTGCTGTCTTCATTTCCCACTATAAATTCAAACTCTCGCTCATGGAGGTGGGATTTTTCAGTCAGTTAAGGAAATAAAAATGCAACGATAAAATCTTTGTTAAAACGTTCATGAAAAAATATTTAAGAAAGACTGCCTTCGATGAATAGATGAAGAAAGTGCGACAGTAAGTAAAGTAGAACGGTAGTTTTTGAAAAGGAAAAGGCAACTGAATTGTCATATGAAGAATTGTGAATTCTCCTTTCTGTCCTTTTTTAGGCAGAAATCTGTCTGTGATGTCCTCTTATAGTAAGTATTTAATATTCAATCTTGATTTTGAAGTAGGTAGCTTTTTTCCCCTTGAAAAACTTCCTGGAAGGAAATGAGAGTCTCTTTGGTATTTTTCAGCAAATGATCTTTAGAACATCATATCTTGTGTTGTCTAAGATTAAATATGGACCAAAAAGGCGTGCTTCAAAGCTGATGACTACCTTTTTCAGGTCCCATTTTAGCTGCTGTCACACCAACATTCTTGACTGTACATTTTGATAGTGTATGCATGCTCACAGACTATTCATTGTTCCATTGCTCGTCAATGAATGTACAGTCCACCAGTTAATGTGACAACGGCTTTTGCTAGCTCTGTTTATTCACTTGTATGAGAACCAGTCACATACATTTTGAGAAAACCTTTGTTCCTTGTACACTAGCAGATTGCAGGAAAGGTTACACATTTGTATCTTCAGCTTTCTCTATAACAAGTCAACTTTTGAAAAGATTCTCTTTCAATCTTGATGAATTTCAAATCTGCACTTACAGTGTATTCATCAGTTGACCCTATACAGTGGGAGGAAAATGTACAATTAATGCGCTTTACTTCGTTTGATAAGTCAAAACAAAGCATAGAAGCGCAATGGAACCAGGGTGAGTGTCTCCTTTCTCCACTCCTGTCAATTTTTGTTTTATTTCTACCTGTATCCATACCTCCATCTTTGCTTTTACTTTTAAAATTTGAATTTGGAAGAAATTGAATTTGAGTTTGTAAATGTTGTTTGCACCGAAAAACCCAAAAATTCACCACTTGTCTATGATTGTGAAATCTTATGGAGTTCTCAAGCAGAGCTTGAATTTGCAATATCAAATTCCATCCTAAGGGAAATTTTACTAAAATCACAAATTTTCAGAAGTCAGTCCTACTTCCAGCGCCAGAATTTCCAACTTGTAAAGTCTGTCATAGCATTTATCATCTGCTCTGTCATGCAGAAGGTCTTAACTGATCAATGTATGATCAGATGAAGGAACTTGCTAATGCTGACAAGCTATTGGTTAAGGCTGAACTTTTCAAGATTTTTATGAGATAGAATGGTCCCTCTTGATTTGCCCAATGCAACTTCATGTTTCTTCTGAGACTGAATGCGATGTTTCATTGTAATGTCAGTGAGTCTTTGCATTCAATAGCTCCATTTTCATTTCGCTGTCTCCTTAAACTAAGTATTATCATTCTCATTCAACCTTTGAAATATAATCGTAGAACATTCTTTCCGCCACCTATTGCTTTTGTGATTGTTTAATTAGGTACATGAATTGTTCTGTTTTAATTTGTAGTAACTAGTACTTTAGGAGATCAAAATTCATACTCTAAACATTTTTAGGACTAGTCATCTCTGGGACATGTGATACTTTACGGTAGTCCATGTTACAACAGGGTATTAAAACCATCCAAAAGTATGTAAAAAAAGTATTTCAAAGTTTGCACTTTGACGGGTCCAGAGCAAAGATATCATGTTCAAAAAGACGCCAAGATCGGCAATATAGCGCGATTTGTAGAATCGCTGGGGCAACCAATTAGCTGAACTATCAGTAGAGTAGCTAATTAAAGTATCAAAAATTATTCATTATTTTTTAAAAAAATATTTTTTCTCTTGCTCTCTACTCATAATTTCTAATTTTTTGGGGGAATCAGCCCCTATAATATAAAAAAAGTTTAAAATAAGACCATTCTATTACATACAGAACCTGAAGTCTGAAAAATAGATGACCTCTATTTGTATTTGAAAGGATTGGTGTTAGAGCCAGTAAATTATGTCCTATAATCATCAATGACGTACATTTTATTTATTCCAATTTTCGAAAAACCAAATAAGTTTACAGCATGAACCATATTTATTGCTTTTCTACAATTTTTTTGTTTGTTTTCGAATTAGGGGAGGAGGTGTCAGAGAAAAAAGTAATTCTTATATAGGCCTTACTTTGCATTGAAAAGTCTGTATGCATTCATTTTTGCACCCTTGATTTATTATCAATCCTCCTTTCTTTTTTTGATTCTAGATCTGGCTCTAAAGTGCTTGAGAGAGGTAGGGTTTCTCCAGCAACAGACGTTATGCCTTTACCCATAAATATAGTCAACGATCCAGACGCAACATCCGAGTCAATAGAAAAGTAAGTTCTTGTCTCAACATTTTCGTTTATGTTACTCTGAAAATCCATTTAGGTTCTTGATTCAAGGAGAAGTCTTGTTACCCTCTCTGGCATTGTTTCACAAATCAAAATCATGAACCATTTTATTTTTTAAAATCCAAATTTGACGTATATGTGTTGCATGATATTCCAAAAATATATTAAACTTTTCTTTTATTCATTTAACCATTTAAAAATTATCAGGTATGGCCCAATAAGATACAGATGAAATAGCAATAATAATACAAAAGAAATATTAAAACAAATGACAAATGAATCATTAAGTTAGGAGGTTAACAAGTGTTTTTGCCTGTTAAGGAGGAAGGGGCTGTGCTCTCAACTAATGTCACTTGCTCTTGATTCAGCTTTTTTAAACGTGAACTGCTGAGTTTGGTTTCATAAGGCTCCGGCCCTCAAAAAAAGACGAGGTTGCCCACTTCTTTTGAGCAGTGGTAGATCTATTGAGGATGGCACTTAAAGGTGCTTAAGTGGTGCTTTCTGTGGCAAAGCCTCGAAATTCTGCCTGTATCTTTCATAGATTCTAAGATGGAAAATTGATTATATTAAATATTTACCGAACAACTTTTTTCTGTTGGCTAACTTGAATTTATCAAAGTTAAGCATGATCCAGTTCCACAAAAATTTTGATGGATATCTTTACTTTATCAGAATTTTTGTCCTTATTAAAGGATTTCTTTGCTTTCTCCATTGGTGGAGCTTGTCTTGTCTTAAAATGTTCCATCTTGACGTTGCTTATTTTTTAACTTTTCTTAGTGTCCCATCTGAGATAGAAGTGCCACCTTTGCCGAAAACAGCAACAATCCCAGAGATTATTGAGGCCATGAAAACACCTAACACTGGACTGGACTTCCTTACTGGCTACAGTTACCTGCCCAGCCATACGTTTGTCGTTCTTGATGCTCTCGTCTGGTTGTCCAATCGCTTGGAAGGAGGCATGTCCCAGGCCAAAGGTCTTGAATTCATGGAAGTAGGTACCACCAAGCTCTCTCTTAATGTTTTCATATCAGCACAAACTCTCTCCTCTTGACTTTATGGACCATCAGTCTTCCTCCGGTGAGAACGAAACAATGCCCAACAAATTATTTTAGTTTGAAATAGTCCTTAAAGGTCATTTATAAGTAGCCTCTAGAATTTGTCCTTTTTTTAGCCATTTGTTCAAGCTCTAATTTTGAATGTCAGTTTTCTCGATCCAAGTCTCTGCTGCTCTTTCTTTGTAATGAATGTTACTTTACTCGTCAAATTTGAAACTCCCAAAAACCTCAGAAAGTGACCAGTAAAGAGAAAATATATTTGAAGCCCACTTATATCTTATTCAATCACGGCCAAAACATTTAGTCCAAATGCAGATTTTAAACACGTGGCAAAAACATTTGGTCCTTCAGATTTTGAATGCAAGTCCTGTGCAAAATGAAGTTTTGTCTCTCTATCGGGAACAAGCTGGCTATCTTATCATACATGATTAGTTAAAGTTACCCTTTTATGCTTATAATTTTTAGAAACTTCGTCTGGAAGGATTAATCTGCCATGCATCTGGTGACCGCTCTCATCCGTTCCTCTTCGGATTCTATTTGTTTTATTTTACTGCAAAGGAAAAAGGTAAAAATGAAATTCATGAAAATTTTTTTTTTTGTTTTATGAAAAACCCAACATTTCATGCTAAGTAAGGAAAGAACAATTACATGCAGATTTTTTTCTATGTCAGCGTGGCGAATGTGCTTCAAGAAAATGTGTACATTTTCATCTTCAGCTCTGATAGGATAATTATGTTTCCCTGCAAAGAGAGTATTTTTAAAGAAAAATGGAAGGTATTTTAAATGCCTTTTTATTTAGATAATTGGGGTTTGCTGAGAGTTCCTGAAGCTTGTGACACATTCGAATGATAATGCATATTAAGGACAGGCCCAAGCATTTTTCCATTCATGTCATTTAATCATCAGGTGACTCTAAAATTGTCAGAAAGCTCTTGGGACGTAAACTTTCTACTTGTACAGCATCCTAGTTAATTACTCTATTCTTCATTGCAAAAAAGTACGATTTCAGGTACAGTGATATGGGCATGGTAATCACCAGCAAACTCAACTCTACGGTAGCAAATACCATATCTCCAATCGCATTTACCATAAGTATGGTTAATGCTACCAGATGTCTGGATATCTTTATCCTACTGTATCACTATGTCAATAATCAAGTAGGTAGACTCAGGATAGAATTTACCATACCTCTGGTAAAATTTATTTCAATAGGAGTTAATGATTTTGTATCTTGGGTTGGGCAAAATTTATAAGAATTCATAATTTATTTCTTCCAGGAAATGATGGACCTTTGGACGCAGCTGCTTTTGAAAATGAGTGGGTCGAAGTAGAGGCAAAGCAGCCTCACCCGCCACCTGAGTTTCCCCTGTTTTTGCATGATAACATTTCACGAACGTGCCAATTTGACACTACTTCTAAGCGAGGAGGTTTGTCCATAGAAGAATAGACTTTTTTCAGTGACTTTCGATATATTTTTAGCAAAATTGAATGTATTATTCTAACGCAATGTGTGATGAAAGAAACACACATAAAGTGACTTTTTAACCCCACTCAAATTGAGGGGAAGGAATCTTTCATGTTGGACTTTCTCAGAAATGAGAGGAAGTATAGTAGTCGTCTGCAGACTTGGCATAAAATGCTGTGTAATATTTTGATGATCTCTAAACGGAGGGCATCTTCATGATGACTCTGGTGGTAGCCACCAGGCCGAAAAGCTTCATTTAACATTAACATTTTAATATTTAATTACAACATATTGGTCCATCTGTACTTTAACCATATAATCGTAATAATCAATAATGAAAGCCTAATAGCAACGTTCTGTTGCCATTTTCCCTCAGATTGAATGATACGTATTAGGTATTTCAATTTCTAGCATTTTTAGCCATTCACAGCTACGAATTTTCACGAAACATTTTGTCATTAAGGTTGAATTTGTATTTGACAATAGTCAATAAAATACTAGGTTAAAAGAATTAAGTTTGTTGGCAGCTCCTTTGTACAAGCAAGCGTACTTGGATATCAGCACCAATTCAAGGAGTGATCGAGTAGAATGGGGACACGTTCGCTACCACTCAGCTTATCGACCTGATCGAGCTTACGAACTGGCAATCCAGTGGGTTGCTGCTTCTGGAGCAATTGTATCAGATCTAGTAAGTTCTGTTCAACATAGCTATGAATGAAATCATCAAATGATGATGAATTTTTACTTAAGCAGGATTCGGGGTTGCTTCAATAATTTATATAACATCTAACCCCATAATTAGTCAACCAAGTGAACAAGTGTCAAAAATTTGAACTCATCAACCAAATATTTTAATGATCTTTTATTATTATTAAAATTTTATAAATGTATTGATTTACGCATCCATCGTTTAAAAAATCTCGAAAGTGTTTCTTTGCCACAATGTGAAATTCAATGCTGTTAGAAGTATTTTTCATAGAGCTACAGGCGGAACCGCCAAATTTTTTCTAAAAAAAATTACTTAAAATGAAGAAGTATATCTTATCTTTCCAATTAGCAGGATGGATTTTAAATCCAGGGTGTTTTGAAACTGAGATGCTGAAAACCATTTTTATGGACTTAATGTTTTCTTTTTTTAATTTGGAAGATAAACATTGTGTTCGCGTGAATCTTCCGCCCCTTACTTGCCAAGCTCACATTCATTTTATTATTTTTTCTTATATCAGATATTGTTAATCAGTAGAAAAAGTGTGACATGTAGTGTTGTTATTTACCAAATATCTCTCTCAGATTCATTTAGTCTAATGAACCTTGACAGCATCTTGAAATATGTCTCGTCCTAGTTTAATTATTAATTTTAGGACTTTGTCATGTTCAGACTGTGTAGCAGTTTCAATTTTTATACAAAAGATATCACTTTTTAAATTTTAAACAGGATTCAGAAGCTTCTCTGCCAAAATCACGGCAGTTGTCAAGAACTCCCGTCAAGTAGTTTTCCATTTTAAAATGAAGTATGACAGGAAGTCTGCATCATCACATGACAAGATATGCGGTTGCGGACTTACACACCGATAAGCTTAATTATAACCATTAATTTTGAGAAAATTCTTGTCCTTCCACCTTTTTTTCTTTTGGTGAATATCAATTTCCAATGCCCCCTAACAATATTTTTTTTGTCCTTATCTCATGAGTGTTTTAACTCGTTATAATATGACAAAAAAGGAATATCTACCTACATCAAGTGTAACTTAATGTGTTTCTCAGATTCAGAAAAATAGAATTGAGAAATGAGTTAGTCCAAATTTTTCAATTACATTTTTACAGATACTAGGCTGGGCTAGGAAGATTCAATTTTGCGGCCTTCAGATGGTGCCCATTCCAGCAGATCCTCTCGCTTTACCATATTCTCTAAAGTCAGATCCACTGAGAGGTCCAGTGTTTGTTCCTGTGGATCTAGAATGTCTCATGGGTGCTAGAAGTTATTTATTTGAAGGTGAGTGCAATTCAGTTTGCTCGATTTGCTAAACATTTAGCACCATACTATTTTACTTGTTTCTCTGTTCAGAATCCATCATGCGACTAGAAAAATTCAGTGACTGCTTTTAAGATTTTCCCGAAGAAGGTAAAAGGTATGATACAATGATTGAATTTACAGCTACAGATCTAATAATTGTAATATTTTCCATGTGTTTAAATATTCACAAACAATTTAAAAATTTAGTCATCATGAATTGAAATACTGGAATGAGGTGACGTTAGCTGCCCTTAATTCCTGCGTATGAATTATGTTAACTTTGATTTTGAACTAGAATAATTTCAAACTTTTTGTATAATTCACATTAAAAGGTTCAAATTTTTTGCAAATATCTGTCATAAGCTTATATGATGGTATTTTTTAAGTTATTTGATTTGCATTCACAAAAGAGATAATAGAACTATTTACATGGTGATTTCCCCGGTGATTTTTCCCTTCACTCACCGTTCTCACTACTCTTAAACATGTACCAAACTTTACTCTAAATGCAGGTAATTTTTTTCAGAATTTCCGGAGGAGTCTTGGGCAGAAAGGCTTGTTCTGTTTCAGGAAGCTATCGCCATCAAATTTGGGTTTATCACTTGCACGATTGAAAATGGCTCTCGGCACCATCACAACCAGTACATACATTTATCAGGTTAGAACTTTGTAGATGATATTCTTGTTGTTTCTGTGTTGTTTATATACAAGCATGAGCTAGACCGAGTTGAGGGACTGAGGGAGCTGCAAGCCCCTAAAGCAAATGGTTGAGGAGCAACAATCTACTGCGAACACATACTTTACAACTTTGTTACTTACGATTGTAGGGAGAGGAGGGGAAGTCATTTTCGGACTCTAGGGGTGGCGAATTGTTCCCCAGAGACCATTAATGATAAGAGGATTTTTAATAAGTCAAAGTAGCCAATTTTAGATCCCTTCCAAGGCCGCAGTATCCCCTGAATATAAAGCCTAAAACAACATACAAAAAAAAAAAGTCAAAGTGTAGCACGGTAATGTATCAGAGAGAATGGCTTTCTGGTAGTTTCGCCAGAGGGCGACACTTCCCCGGTGGTTCTGGACAGGGCATCTCTGATTGGTTGCAGTTGCCGAATGATGATGGATCGACCAATCAGAGATGGCGTGCTCTGAGCCGCTGGGGAGTCAGTTGTAGTTTGACTCAGGTCGAGAGGCCCGGGACTGTTTTTCACAATGTGAGTATTCTCTTTGAAAGGTTGGGGGACGTGTCCCCCAACCATATCTAAATCCTTTTAAATAGTGCGGTTATCTTTCTGGCCGTGCCTCTGTTCGTCCAAAAGATTCATTCAGTAGTTTTTCTTTCAGAACTTCATTCTGTATTGTGTGCTGGGCCCCAGAGCCGGGTGGCCTAGTCACAAAAGTGGTGATCTGTTTTCTGAGAAACTCCTTCATTTTTTCAGGGAATGCATTTTTGTTGATTCCTGCCGCCATTCCGTGTGAATACTCAAATCAAACTCAGCCGAGAACATCATCAATATCTAGGCGCTCAACCAGGCAGTACCCTGTTTATAATGAACTTTCAACAAGTCCTCATCAGGAATACATATCTCGCCATGTTTATAGTTCTGGAGATGACATCAAACAAGAGACAAGGGTAATCTTTTTTCTTTAACGCCAACCAATATATTTGTGTGACATTGATGCTATAGAGTTCGTCCTTAAAGAGCAACCTTTTTTTTTTTTTTATCACATCATTAGGAAATCTAACTCAACCATTTATTCTTATATTACAGCAGATAATATTCATGGTAAAATCAGGTATCACAAGGAAAAACCAGGAGAAAATGGTATTCTAAGTTTATGGTATTTTTTTGAGCGCAAGGAGCAATCCAAATTCTTAAAGAAGGATAAAAAAGTAATTCAAAACTGAGTTTTTTCTCCATCGAGATATCTCCTGAAGGGAAGAAAACCAACAATTTTCATAACCTCACCAATTTATAACTTACCTCCTATATCATACTGGGCTTTATGGTCATTAGTAATTAAGTCCTTTTCAGGAAAAGAGCTGTCATCAGTATCTCCTTCAAAAAAAATAATTTTGCTTGCACAGTCATGAGAAAAATTGGGGTCGTCACTCGTACTCTCTACCTACAGCTCATCATGTGTTACAACGCACTGGATGAGACGTCACATTCTGACCCATCTGCATTACATGTAGAAGAGAGACTCTTTAGTGAGGTAGGAGAACAAGAGAGGGTCAGACAGGACATGGTGTTTAACTGCTGGCCCTGGAGCTGTGGAGCCACTGGATTAGAGTGCATTCGAAAGCAACACTCAAAATTGATGCGCAACTAATTTTTTTAGGTAAGACTTGGGAGAAAAAGGTGTGCGTTTGAAGTATTCCTGATGAAATTACTTACTCCTCCTTTCTAGATCTCGAGTGAGCTTGAATACCAACATGTAATGTATTTTTATGCTTATAGGTTGGATTCTTGTGGGCATGGAACCACATGGTCAGTCGTCGATGGAAATGGTCATCCACACCTGCCACATGTGATGAAGCATTCCAGAATAAAATCCTAGGAGATTTCCAAAAATTTTGTGCCAACACCGATAATCGTCTGAAACAATTTTGGGACCAATGTTGGTTTTTGAAAAAAAGTCAGTCCGTGACCTGATTGCATCAAAAGCTTCTGCATTCCTCCTCTTGCTGTGATTAAAAAACAATTCCTTTTAGTTGAAGATAGTGAGCCTGCTTTTTGAACCAGGCTGCATTGAAATCATAGACAGTTTATTTTAAGATAGAACTTGGTTCTTTTTTTGTCACCAATGACTGTTTCATTGGCCAATGCCAGAATTAGAATGGCAGGGGCAAGATAATGTTTATGCAGTAGTATAACAAGAGTATTTAGTGTTGCTAGAATAAGAGGTGAATAAGAATGGCAGTTGAGGTTCCTGAAGAATTGCCCTGTGGGAATAAAAGGAAATTAGGCTCATCAATCAAGAGTCAGTTTTATGCCAAAAGGTTAAAATTTGACTCGTGAGAGCATTGAGCCATGTCAGCCAGTGTCAAAGTTTTTAAATGAAAAAAAAATAATAAATAATTAAAACTGGACAAAAGACATGTGTTTTTACAATATTGATGTATTATATGAAAATAGTGTATCAATGAATGATGTTGAATGTAAATTTTAAAATGGTTTTTTTATGTATATAAAATATTTTTTATAATGTTAGGTAAATTGTCTAAATTATTTAGCTATATTGGACCCAATCTATGTTCATTTACTCCAAAAGCCCCTCCTCCTTATTAACACTCACTCCTCTCTTTTCACATCCCTCCCACTCTCCATCCTCCCTCTCTTTCTAGTAACTGATTGACATACTTGGCTTTTCTATATACATGTTAGAATTTTGACCACAATGTTACCTTGTGAATGTTTGTGTGACCGCTTCTTTTACAGAGTTTAGTCCATGGTAAATGAGTGAGGCCAAAAGCGTATAAGGGTGACTTTTTTTAGCGAGCCAGCCAAATTCCCTCTGAGTCAATTCAAAACAAATTGACCCACAACTAATCATGTAGTGATTTTAGGGACATGAATTATAGCAGTGGCTGATTATCAAACTCAGAAACCTATTGCTAGGTTATTTCTGATTGCAACTAGCAGCAATTGTGTTTCTACCATTTTAGGGGCATGTAAGGGGCGCAAAAGTTATTTTGATCCGCAAACAAATAGCATGCCCGAGAGCACCACTGAAAGTGATTCACACAGTGATGAACACAAGTACCACACTTTGGAATGGCCACATTAAAGTAGCGGATGGAAAAACCGGAGAGCGTATATGGGTTGATTCGATGATTTTTTAATCGAGACCAAAAGTGCGAGAATATAGCAGTTTTTTCAAAAGTCCTGCTCCTATTTTTTCGAACAAATATCTCTCACCAATCATAGTCTTCTCGATTTTCCAAAGAGGCGGCCCTTTATCATATGGGAGCCTTTTTCTGCTCATAAAGAAGCAAAATCAAGGCAGTTCTTGAGGAATTGCGTTGGCTAGTTTTCCAAAGGAAGAATAACGTACGACAGGGAATTGCAAACGGAAATACTGGTTGCGCAGAGGTGACAACTGAGCACAGGGGAGAATTTCATGAGCGCCGCCGCCCGCGGCGCACTACAGTCCAAAACTCAAGAATAGGAAGAAATAAGTCGGATAATGACTGAAAGATCACGAAAGTCTCGTATTTGATGTTTTTTTGAGTCACTAATGTCGAATTTGCTGTCAAACTGCCAAGATTTTAACACCCTGACCTATTAATTGTAGGCAAGTTTATGGCACGCTGTGGTGCGGCGAGCTGCCGCGCGCTGCCAGCTCAAAATGCACACTGACGCCTACAAACCTAGAGGGATACTTCAAGCATTGCGCAATGCGTGAAGTAGCCCTTTAGGTTAGTAGGCGTCAGTGCGCGTTTCGCGCTGGCAGCACGCCGCGGCGCTCCCGACGCGGGCGGGTGGTGAACGATTGCAGGGCGAGCTCTGGCCGCGAAAATCGTATTTCGTGTAATTTTTTTTTTTTTAACCTCTTTTTAATTTTCAACTTTTCAAACTACACACTGGTCGTGTGAAGTAGTAAGTGAACTCTCAACGCTAGATGAATAAAGGCAGGACGTGCGCCTTGCGCGCAGGGCGGCTCATGAAATTGTCCCCTAAGCTCTGTCGCAGAGGTGAACCCACTCCCGCAAAATTAAAATTTCCCGGGCTTTTTCGAAAATTGATTCCATTGGCGCGTGTCCCAGAATGCAATCTGTGATCAGACTTTACCGTATTCGATAACGGTTCGATGTATCGTTTGGTTCAAAACAATAGCCCATAACCTCAAACCAAACTGTTAAAGCTGAAAATGAGAAAATTCCTAACAATTTCACTTTAAATTGGCATTTGGTACGCAAAATAATAAAAAATCTGTTACAAAAGACCCGTTCTCTCAGATTTCTGAATTTACTTTTGAGGCTATGTTTATATTTTGAACCAATCGATATCGATACATTCTCAGCCGTTTGATGTATCGAATACGATCTATTTACTCCTGGTAAAGGATTGTGTTTTGAGGTTAAGTCCTAGATTCATGATTGTGATGTAGTGGATTCCGATTATCAACCACAAACTTAAATATTTTAATATTTCATTTTGTCTTCACACCCTGCGATTGATTATGAATCTTTGCCAACTCGCCCTCCTTCGCCATTGTACTCGGTTCAATGCCCCATTAAAGTTAGTGCCAGTGAAAAGCAATCAGTGTATGTATTCTAGTCACACCCCGGTCTCTAGAGACACAAGTTTAAGTTTCACACCTGCACCTAAGATCAAGAAAGAAGTTACTGTCGATTATGTCACTCCAAGCGCTCCGCAAGATTTACCACAATGGGATATGGAAAACCCATTTCAACGAGAAAAGCAAAGCTGCATACTTTGTAAGTACAAAATAACACCTGACTACAAGAACGTTAAGCTCCTGTCGCAGTTCGTTTCCCGCTTCACAGGCAGAATATATGGACGGCACATCACTAGACTTTGTAAAAGTAAACAAGAAGCAGTAGAGAAAGAAATTTGGAAAGCACAAATGGCCGGTTTCATGCCCAACTATTTCAGAGATCTGCATTTCACGGATGATCCAAAGCTGTTTAACCCGGAGAGGCCGGTGAGGCCTCACAAATATTAAAACTTGTATGGGAGCAAGGTAATATTGCTCCTTTTTTACTCTGTAAATTGCCACATGTTCTTTTTTAATGTTAGTCCTTTGTGAATTGTTTTCTACATAAATTTCTGTTCAATAACAAACTCATATGCGTTTTCAATCCATCCGGCCCCATGCCAGTAAAGAATTGATAGTATCATTTTTCTTAATCTTTAATTTTGCTCTGCAACTATAAATAGTAGAAGAATTAAAATTTATAATTTGAAGACTGACATTTTAAGGCCTCAAGTTTGCTCTTGGTCCTTTTTTTAAACTGAGGAAATAGGAATGAATTAATCTAATATGTAGAACAAAGACACTCAAACGCAGCCCAAAACATAAGTAATAGGATGAAATAAAAAGTAAACGGAGGAAACAAGGCTATAAACACCCTAAATCTTGCGAGACATTTCTATGTCGACGCTCGGTATAATGGTATTTCATACCATCATCATGCAACGCCGATGCATGCTGGTTTCAAGTGTTTGATTTTAATTTCTTTTTTATTTTTATTTTACTTGATTTATAGCGGTTGATAATGGTGTTGTGAGACACCAAAATGTCCTGCATAATTAAGTGTGTTATTAGCCTGAAGAAGAAAGCCTTTTCAAGAAAGGTCTGTACTTAGAGATACTCATTGCCATGTCACAATAAAGGTATATACATCAATTTGCACTAGTTTTTCAAGTAAATAGAAGTGTTATCAGTTAAGGTGACAGTTTTTTTGGTCTCCTGTGGTCATTCAGTGCAGTGGTTGTTGCCCTGATCCTATCATCAGGAGGTCTGAGGTTTGATCCCTGTCCATACCACCTGAATTTAATGGTCTCAAGCACTGGTATTTAGGAAGTTGGCGACATATTTTTCCCCTCAATTTTAATCTGCAGAAATGTATAAATTCTTGGAGGTGCCGACTATTTGAGCACAGGTTCAAACGGAGGAAAGTCAGTGCTGCAAACTTGCTAAATCTGCCTCTTGTCTTTAGCAATGATCACCGGGGGCTTGGTGGAAAATGGGCGTTCGGTAATGGATTAAGAGCCGGTTTAATCAGCCAAACACGTAAATATGCAACCCCCCCCCCCCCCATAACATTTCATGCTCGGTCAGGCCCGTGCCTCCCTTCCCTAATTACCATTTTAAAATTGGCGCTATACGCTTATTCTTGCATTAAATATTGTAGCCCTAAACATTCCCTCTCTTCTTTAACGCACCCACACTGCAAGCTCAGATCCCCCTTCACCTACAGTGTTCGCTATACTCACATATTTAATGAATGGCGCCGCACACCTCACATGTGCATCAAATTTAGTGCTGTCTGAAATGATTTTTCATCGAGTTTGTTGCGGTTCTAACTCCATTGCAAAAAGTCAGGTAAGTAACAGCATAGGTAGGTACATAATAATTAATATAACATGACAGTGTCTTCATGAAAGGATCAAACTCAATAATTTATTACCAGCTTTATACGAAGTACAGGCAGATGTATATTTATTCTAGCGTTTGATATTTTTTGTAATAACCACTTCTGAAAGGGACTAAGGGAGTGTTTCACAAATATTTTGTTTTGAACAACGTCCCAAAATTTTCTCTTAGACAGAGGGTATGGTATTTGGATTTTGTACTTCGAAGTAAGTAAGTACCTACTAGAACATGCATAATTTTGAGAAAAATGTTTCGAAGTTCTCATCCCTCAGTTCAGGGCTCAAAACTGTTCTATTAAAATGCAAGTTCAAATGGCTTGCCAATGAACTTAAATCATTAGAAACTTATTGTTTGTGCACCGTGTGCTCCTTGTCAAGAACTCCTGATTTTTTACTAAACTCAAGGAAAATTTTCTTCTCCTGAAAAATGGGCCTGTTGCGATGAGCCAGGATTTGCGAATTAATAATGAATGTCAAAGGCATTTTATGAAACTCAATAGAATTTGGTCCATGCTATAGCTGCATAGTTGCTCTAGTGCAATCAAGTGGATTTCGTTTAGCAAAAGGGAACAGGGAACCAAAAGTATTCCAATGTTGGTAGGATAGTGCAACTTACATCCCTTGCAATAAAATTACTGAAAACTTGCAAAAAATTTAATTTACTATGGTAATTTTTGTATTGAATTTGTAGTTTATTGGAAGTAAAGATATTACTTGTTTGGATTATCAGTATATTTGCACGGTAAAAAAAAAGTGGCACAATTTTAGCGGCATTGGAATGGCAATGCTTGTGGTTCCTTTTTGCAAAAGGCAATCCAAAAGGAAGTAGTTAGCAGTTGACTGATTTATAATTTTCAAAATTCCCCGCCGAGTTAATAGACAGTGCAAGTAACTTTTCAGCCTTAGAAATATCCCTCCTCCTGCATAGTTTTTCGAGTATTTTCTGCGTGTCTTTGTGTAGATTTGAGAAAAAATAGTACTATTTGTGTACTTTCTTACTTGCAGATTATTTTGTAATCCACCCCAAAATTTCAAATTATTTTATACTTTAAGTATTTTTGTGGAACCAATTCAGTGTAATTTCATAAGGTTCCCTTTTCTGGCAACTTTGAGAGCAATATAACCTCAATTAATGTTTTGGTAGTTAGTTAGTTCCTTTGCCTTTTGAACTTCGGTTGCCGGTTCTCTTGTCCAAGTCGTCTCGGCTCGCGATTTTGGAGTTTCGGTGGGTTTAAAAGTCCCAAGTGCTCAATTTCCACTCTGATTATCTGAAACTCAATATGTGAAATAAGAACTTATTGCTTAACGCATTCATTCTGTTCTACTCGAGACAATCGTCGCAGTATTTTGGAAGACCTCCACGTGAGAATTGATCAGATGGTTGTGTTACCTCTGCTCAGTTTCACGTGTTTTTTTACTAATTTCACTCGTCTAGTCAACCTTGTGATCTGCCAATAATTTGAAGAATGGATCACACGATGTTTGAGTGGAATGACACAGTTTTGTCGGTAATCAAAAACCCAGTCTTCCTGCAGAGCTGCTTGGTCGCTTGCGTCAGCATTGCCTTGCTTTGGATTGCTCTCAAAACATTCAAATTTCTCAGGTAGGTCATCAAATCATATTATGTGAAATTCACTGTTTAATTTGCTCTGTCATAGAAGAGCTCGAGTGTGATGGATATGAAGATAAGCCTAAGGCCAGTACTTTATGAATGCAAGCAGTCATTGAAGTGTTAGGAACTGCTACGAGTACCGACCTTTTGGTTACGTTGGTTATTATTGAAGAATTGAACGTATGGTGGACCATTCATAGTAAATCGAGAGCTATTGCTTGTGATGGAGTTTTTAATTTAAGAGCATAAACCAAATTTCTAATTTTCAATTACGTAAGAAGCTTCTAATGTGTCCAAATCACCAATGCATCTTGATTATTATCTTGGGCAGGGAGTGGATCTCAATAAGCTCAGCGACTGACTAGTAGGGATTGATCCGAAAATTCCCTCCAATTCAAGGTACGAGGTTTAGGTTCCCTCCTGGAACAAGTTCGTGAACCAGCAAAGAATACTTTATTCTAAGTGAGACAACAGCTCTTTAAATAGAAATTTTAATTCTTAGTGTCTGTAAAGTTCATAGATGGGAATCGAAAGGGGCCTCCTTTAATTTTCGAACTTATAAATATTTTATTTTTGAACATGTGTTTCAGATCTCAGTTTCCTACCTCCGTGAATTGCTGGTTTTGTAACAGTTATTCCAAAGTTCCTGTAGAAAATAAGAACTCCTGGCATTGTGAAGTCTGCCAACAATACAATGGATTTGCAGAGGTAGGTTAATAATCAGTTTTTGAATCTTTTTAAGAAATCTAAGGGCTGATTTGGCTAACTGTATCGATTTTCAGGGGCTACTATGTTTTTTATGGGGTCAAATCGGTTTTTTCTGGAAGTATTTATGATGAGAATCGGGACTCATTTGACACCTTAGAAGTCAACTTCTTCCAACTCTTTTCATATTTTTGTAACTAATCCGTCAAGGGGTCCCTAGTAAATTTTATTGTCAATCAAAAAAGTTTGTCCTGGTTCTGAACTAATTATAGCTAGTTGGCTGCTGATATTTAGGCGCTTACTTTGGCGACGACTTCCATTAGATATCTAGGAGCCAATGAGAAATATTTAGGCTCATTTTGTGCATGGCCCTTGTCGGATTTAAACACTTTTGACAGTTTAACAGTGGAACTAGAATAACATTTATCTCAACTGCAGTACCTTTAAGTTTTTGATTTGTTTTTATTTTTTCTAGGGTAGGTACATGACTTGATTTTATTTTCACAATGAATTAAAAAACCTTGAAAGACCATAAAGAAAAGAAAAGAAAACACAAATTCTCCCCCTCCTAAATAAAAGGGTGTCTACAGGTCTGAAAAAAGTATGGAACTTAGATGACTTACCTTGAGTTGCAGAAAAAGTCATGGAAATTTACTCCAAATCTAGAGAAGTGTAAAAACCCTTCTTTCCTGCATCATTTTTCGACTCAAAATGCAAACTGCACAGAAAATTGAAAAGTTGTGTGTGTCAATTCTGTATAAACCTTGCCAAAAACGTTGATAAGTTTTTTTTTTTAAATGAGTCAATATGTTAAATTTTGTTTCAGGATGGAGGCTACAATAAAGTTATTCCAGAGCAACATTATGAAAGTTTAAATCCTGATTTTGCAGAGAAAACAATTCCAAGTCCCATCAGTTCCTCTAATGGCTTATGCAGGAATTGCAATCTGAATCAAGAACTCAAAAGAGCACAGCTAGCCTCATTTGAACCTCTCGATCCGAACAATTATGACTGGGAAGTAGACGCATTCAGGTAAGTTATGTTGACATTCAATTTATGTTTAGCTTACAAAGAACCAATGGCACTACATACTGATAACTCTGGAACTTCAAGATGGATCTGCAGCATTTAGGAGTGTGACTCGATAATACCTGGATTTTCGGATGTCTCTTCAAAAATCAGCAAGTGTCACATCATGCAGTTGTCCGTCAGGTATTTGTATGCAAGATACAAGATTTGATCAAGACACAATTTGAAGTAACTTCGAAAGCATGTCATGTGTGAATTGCAAATCATTTTGCCTTTTGATTTGCGATATTCACTCGAAACATGCTGTGGAAGCTACTTTAAATGATTCTCAGTTAAATTTTGTGTAAAAATACCTGACAGACTACAGCAGATGAGATGCTCGAAGATTTTTTAAGACATGATCAAAATCCAGAATCATCAATTAATTGATTGGCTATCCAATTGCTCTCCAAACTGCTTAAGATCCACCTCTTTGTTCTACTTTCTTGTCTATAGTTTCCTCTTTTGCCCAAAGTAACATATTTTCGTGCAATAGGGTTAAATTTAAGGTTTCAAAAATGTTTAAAAATTAAGTCAATAGCACCTAGCTACAGAGAGAATGAATTTGTTCTTAATGAAAAAGCATAACATCAATTTTTTTCAATGCACAGGAACAGGAGGTTATCAGACTAAATGTATTTATAACTTTTAACTATGCACTAATTTGTCTATATCCAAAATTTTAAGAGTACCAAAGTGATGACAAAGTTCTACCTCTTTTCCGTTTCATTCTGTCTGATTTTGGGTGATTTAATTTTGCTTTGCTAATGTCACACTGTCTGGTTTTAAACTTCTCGTGTCATTTCGCCAAATCAAGCTAGATACATAGTTTAGACGGCTCTTTTAATTTCAATTTTGGAGCTTTTCATTCTATTTTAAAGAAACTATTTTTGCTGGGAAACCATTTCTCAGTTTATATTCTTTTCCTTGTCTTTATGGTAAGTAAGTGCTCACTGTGCGCTCACTGACTCTCATACCTGAGAGCCTAGAGTGCGCGTTAAGTTAGAGGAAGTAAGACCAAGTAAGTCTCAGAGTAGCTTATATTTTCTTCATTATACTTCCAGTGAACTGTTGGAGAAAAACTACAAGCTGTGTCCATATTGTGAGAAAATAGTATGTAACACATTGGAAAATCAGATAAAAAACTTGAATATAAGCCATTTAATAACCACTGCTAGTCACAAACTTGCCACTTCCTCTGTGAGATTTCTAAATCATCAGTCAACTCCTGTAAGTATTTTCACACTACCTAAATGATCATTAAGAATGAATTTCTTAAATACTTCAAAATTATGTTAATGATTACTTCCTAAAGTCGGCATAGCTTCATTGTGGTGTTTCAAAATTCTTGCTCTTACATCACTTCTTCAAAAGAAAACTGAATCCTATTTTTGCTTGAAATTTCTAAGTACCTAGCAAAAAAGAAGAAAAATCATGCAAAATTGTTCAAGGTTTAAGGGGATTTGTCAAGCTCAAGTGACGTGGTCGAACTGGCATGCCATACATTGCATTGATTAAGTAAAAAATCTGCCAAGATTTTTGACCTTACCAATGCGATTTTAAGATGGAAACTAGGAAGTCCCCAGAATTTCGCCATCAATTGGCATTGCTTCAAAGTCCTAAGCTCTGTTGCCATGAGGTGTAACTGAGAGCTGTGTAGAAATGTTTGGCCAAATGGTCTTGTTGTAGATTGTCTTCACCCGTTTAAGCGAGACTTTGTATGAGCAGTATCGGGAGATCATCTCGTTTTTTTCATGAGCAACATGCCACAGGTGCTGTCAATCCTCAAAGTATTTTTTGCAAGGAATATGCTTTACCAATAACTCAATTGCATGAATAATCTTGTTTTAAAATTGTAAGTCATTACTCAGTGTCGGTTGAGCTCTAAGCAGTCATCATCAGCTAAATCGTAGATGTTCAGCCCTGACAACCCAGTCAGTTCTGATAGCTCATCAAATATTTGCTGACAATCGTGAATGAAGATTTTCGTGCAGCATTTGATGAACTTCCAGAACTGACTGGGTTGTCGTGTCTTTTTTAGTATTGCAGTGATCATATTTTGACTCTTAAAAATGTATATATGCACCATTTTAACAATTCTAAATCCTTGAAATATTTTTATACACAAAAGTATCTCAAACTTGAGTGAAGGAAAATCATCTTGATTAGAATCAGCACCATAGAACACAGAGACATCAAAATAGTTACCATCATGTGCAAGTATGTACCTGAAAGGCAAACATAGTTGTTGACTTATTCATGAGAAAATTAACTGTACTCTATACCAATGAATTGACTCTAAACAAACTCTATACATAGAATTTGCGTGCTTCATAGATCCTTTTGGTACCATTCATTCAAATGTGATTTATTTAAGCATAACTATATCAAAATTAGGTCGTACAAGTTCTTTCACAGTTTTGCCTTATTGTAATCACTGTATCTTCTGCTTTCAGGTTGATCTGAATGTGTTATTACGCAGTTCAAGAAACTCATTATTTGTCTCCGGTTTACTTTCTATGCTTTTGTCGGTCGAAAACTATGATAATTCTGCTCTCAAAACTGCACTCAATGGAAAAATGGAAGAAATTTTTAACATGACCAATGCTGGCTCTCAGTTTTTGATGTACACAGACCCTGTTTCAACTTACTTTCTTGATAATCAGACCAAGTTCAATCTTGTTGTCGTGATTATGTGCTCAGCCGTTCAAATTCTAAAACGTTATGACAACAGAACTTTTCTAGACTACATAACGCAGTTTAGCTGGATGGCAATCCTTTGTTTGCAGGCTTCTTATATTTTCATCAAGTCTTCATTGGACATCAGGTCAATTCAGGTATAGTGGTTTATTATGCGGTGTAATGCCCGTAGTTGTATACAAAATAGACCTCCCCCCCCCCCCCCTGGACTGTTCTCTGTCTGAGGTATTTGGAGTGGTGCGCCACTGACTCCCATCCAGGCAGAACGACAAGGGAGATCTCGAGCTCGGTCGTTGTTACATCTTGTCCGGCTCTGCTGCTTCCTTCCAGCATGCAGTAGAACTGAGCAAGACTTGGCGATGTCCGAGCTCTAAACTCTCCGTAGTCTATCATTGCCTGAGTGGAAATCAGTGGCGCGCATCTCTTAATAGACAGGAAAGTGGTGTTTTTTGTTGGTTTTGTGAGAACAAGAAATTTCCCCTGGATGTAATTAAGATTTTTGTAATCAGCATAGCAATAAAAACAACATAGCCGTTTTTGGTGGAAATTGAAAGTATTGCTTTCTACGGGATTTCCATGACATGAAAAGTGACTTTTTCGAACATGAAAAAAACGTCGGCTCAAATCCGACCGGGTCAAATTTTCCTGACCCTACGTAAATACAAATACAAATATGCATGCTGATTTAAAACCACACTTTATTTGAGTGTTACCAATGCGAACCAAGTGTTGTTATCTTAACTTCATAGATAGTAAAAGTTATGAGGCAGTCTTTCCCTGAGTTTTTCAACCATGAGCCCCTGCCTTACCTGACTAGCTTTTTGAGGGGTTGAAATTTTGAATTTTGTGAAAAGTAGCCTCTTAGTATACTAACTTCTAATGTATCAAAAATAAAGGAATCAAAGGAGGGGGGAAGTCTATTTTGCATCAACCTCCTTTCTATCTCATAATTTTAGAAAAATGCCAGCTCCACTTACTGCAATCATAATTATATCCCATTCCTCCTGAGATTGTAGAAATTATAACAAAGAAACGTAAAAATGGGAGAAAATTTCTGAACACCAAATGTATTGAGGATAAAAAAGAGTAAAATAGATTGAATAAAATTGTACAAAAGAGCTTGAACCCCTTTCAGAATTAGAAATTAAAAAAGTTTATACTTCAAGTCTGAGTCAATGAGAGAGTGATGATAACACTTTTTGAAAAGCCAAAGTTGCTTTAAGGACCAGAGCAAATATTTCTGCTCATCAAAAGGAGCAACAATACCAGGGCAACCAATAATGAAGAGAAGGTAGATGGGATAGCTTCTCATTTTAAAAATGTGTTTCAACCTCATCCTGTTAAGCATAACAAATTGTGAAAATTAGGATATTCATATCTCAGATTTTTCACCTGTTATCGATCATTACATTTTTTAAGGACATTTCAAAGTATGTATCAACCATGGAAAATACCAACCAAAATCTGTGAACCCTGTAGTCAATCAAATGGCCATGTGCAACTCTGCCATGCCAAGGAAAAATGCTGTATGAACATTCGAGAGTTGCCTTTCCTCCAGTAAAATGTTTAATTTTGAGGAATGTTATGAAAATTTTCTCTTGAAATTTTCAGATAATTTAGATCTAGTGGTGAATAAAATTCTCTGAAAAATCGGAGGAAGAATATTCCTAGATCTCCCTGAAAATTTATGTTTTATTGAAGGAAAATTGGCAACGCCTGAAGGCTCATATGGCATTTTTTCCTAGCACGGCAGAACTCATGACTGGACCCGGTTCATCCAGAGTCTGGGTTGTACCATACCAAAATGATTGGGAGTTTTAAGTACATACAGTAGTTATCCCTCATGAAGTGAAATGCACAATTATCAGATCACTAATTTATAAAATATTTCGATTTTTTCAGATTTTAATTCTCGCCTTAATCTTTACTGTATCTCTCTGGAAGTTTGTTTATTTCAAGTTCTTTTTCTTCAGACAAAGGAAAAGCTCACCCAAGTAAGTGCTCAAGTGGTTTGCGTTTTCTCCTTTATTGTTATGTATAAGTGTCCCAGTTTTATGCTCCATTGTTTTACATGCATTCGTTAATCAGATATCAATGGTAAAACTACCAGACTTTGTACCTTGTTTGCGGTGTTTAGAAATCTCTGCGCCTATTTCATTTTTTTGAAAGAGAACAAATCAATATCATTCCTTTAAGTCTCCATGAAGTTTTCTTTGCACAAAGAAGAAAAACCATGGAAGTTTTCAAGAATTGATGTCGTTGAAGTCTGCAGTGTCTGACTGCAAGCTTGATACCTATCAGCTGTGTGCTTTTTACCCTTCGAGGATTTAGTGTGAAATCTGCTGATGAGTTTTTAAACTGCGCTATACAGTTAAGTTCTTATTGTTTCATGTCTCAACAGTGAAACAATGATCTTGTCTGAAAAACCCACTCTCAAAACCCAAACTGATAGAAAATACAAAATGAGTTGAACAAGGAAAAATATAAGGAATTAAAACCAAGATATTGACGAATAATGATGAAATTGATAACTCCTGTTCATGTGAAACCTAAGATAGCAGAAATTGTAAGTTCTAAACCATTTTCCAGAAGAATTAATTCTTTTTTGCTGCAGCAAAAGTTTGCAACAGACTAATTTTTTTAATCTGATGATGCATATTATAGTATTGCAGTTTTGTGTTAATTAATTATTTAGACTCATCTACGTAAAGTAATTCAATGCACTCTAAGTTGCTCTCTTTATTTTACAGGTCGAACAAAACTTCTCCCATGACAGTTCCGGCCTCTGTAGAGTCTACCAAAATTCACCCAAGCTCACCTCCGAAAATTAGTTTGGAAGGTATGCCTCAGCCAACCCAAAGAGACATCACAAAAATGAAGTCTGGTTTCGATCAGAACCTGGAAAATGGTCTTGGTATTGGATCCCTAAATCTCGGACCGAGTCAATCAACTCCGTCGAACCGATTCTCAAGGAATGTTTTCTCCGTTAGCCATGACAGTTTTCCCTCAAAACGCAAACCTCTCATTTTACCTTCAAGGCTAAATATCAATTTGAAAAATGAGCTAAGTGAAGTCAACTTGCCGTTTTCACGGCCATCTAGTCAAAGCTCAGGTTATGAGACAATGAACAAGTCAGGTTTCGATTCACAAAATGGCTCTATAACGGGTGACGAAGACTACGATGTTCCTCTAAAAAGCAGTCTTCCATTGCAAGTGTCGAATTACAGGATGAGTCCACCCTTCATGCCCCCTGCTCCATCACCATACGAACTCTACACTTACTACCACTTCACTGCCAAGTTTCAAGCCTCATATGGAGGACAATCCCCTCACAATTTATCATCGTGCTCGTCTTGTGTGGGAAGCACAGCTCCCTTGAACTCAAATAAATGGTTCTTATTAGTTTTTCTAATGTTTCTGTTCATAGTCTTACAAGAATCTTTCATTCTTTACTCATTATTGAACCGATGATGAAGATTTTAATTAGTGTATTATAATCACAGTACTGCCATCAGCCCGATGCCAACCACGCATCTATGCCAATTTAACGTTAATTTTGTTGTAAATGTTCCCTTTTATATCTTTTGCTTGTAATCAATCCTTGTAAATAATTCCGCTTAAAACATGTAAAGTAAAACTTTTTCGCCCAGAAAAATATCCTGTTCAATATAGGTACGTATTCTTTTCGTTTTTACTGAGCTCTTATAAGGTTCAGAATTTGAATGATAGTAGTCAATACTGATTTAAGTTACTGGTTACAATCATTGCAAATAGGACTTAAAAATCTTCTATGAGGAAAAATTTCTCTGCAGTCCATCTATAAAATTTTGGTCACTGTTGGGGTGGTTCCACTTTTTGCAAAAAGATGAGAAGTTTTTCATAGGAATTGTGTTAATTTTTTCTCTGCATTACTAATTTGCAAAGCAGATGAGGCAAAAAGGCAATCAGGCAATAAAAAAATTGATGCAAGAAATTTATCAGCACTAAAATAAGTTAAAAGATAATAAAAACAAACAAAAAAATGTACCTTTGAGGAAGAATTTTTACTAGCTTGATACAATTTATTTACTCAAGGTAAAATTCTCTCAACAAGAACAACATTGTCAATGCTGGACAATTCTGCTTGAAAAGCAAGGAAACTCATCTTCTAGAATACGATTAATGAAATTGATAACCAATGCTCAGAGATTGTATTAATCATAAAGTCAGCATAATTTTTTTCTAGTCCTCATTTCAGCAGACTTTTAAGCAGTCAAAAATCAAATGGACCGATTTAACTCAAATTACCCCAATTACTCAAGACATGGCCTAGTTTTCCTTGATGTTTTACTTTGTAAGCAGAAAACCAAGCAGCATTGAAACTTGAAATGGAGTTCTTACATGTGTCAGGTATTTGCATTTAAAGTACTTTATCTGATTTAAAATTTTTCGGGATACACAATGGTACTACTGATTTTTTCCAAAATCAACTCCTAAGCCTTAAAAAAAGCTCTCTAAGTTCAGGCCATAATCGAGTGGATATCCCACTTTATGCTGAGAGTTTACCTCCACATCTAGTCAAACTCTCTATGCACAGATAGAGAGCAAATACATTAAGAGGGTTGCCACTTTGTTTGGGGACTCAGAAGTTGAAACCAAGGGAACCCTCCTACTGTATTTGCTCCCTATCTGTGCATGGAGAGTTTAATTAGATACAGAGGGGGGCTCTCGGCATAGCACTGAATATCCCCTCTATTACAGCCTGAACTTTGAGGGCTTTTTTTGAGCTTAGGAATTTATTTCAGAGAAAACAGTGGCACCATAGTGTTTCTTGCAAAATTTCACGTCAGGAAAAGTATTTAAAACACGAATGCCTAACGTACACAAGGAATTCATTCATTCAAGGAAAGTTTGAAGGCTTTAAATACTTCAGTGCTGTTTTAAAAATTAAAACATTAGAGAAAATCAGGCAACGTGAAATGCAGTTAGGTTCATTCTAGTTAAGTCCGTCCAAATCTATTTCTAAGGCACTAAAAAAAATAATAATTGATTTATGTACCTAGCTTGACATCATCCAAAAGTTATGAAAATGATTTGACGACCTTTTTATTCAGAATTACATATTTATAATATTGACAGCAAAGAATAGCCTTTTAATTCTTACCTCTAATTCCCACTGAAAATCTAGAAAATTTAGAAGATCTTAGGAACTTAAATTGAGGAGCCTCTCTCCCAACTCCAGCTCATTCCATTCTGGATATACTTTTGGGGAGAACAGGTCTTTATTGAAGTTCATAGGTAGTTGTTGAGGAGCCTTGTAGACTCATGATGTTACAATTTATTTGTGGGCTTATTAGGTGTTGTGAAATAAAATTTCCAATACTTGTTGCACACGAAAATTTATTTTCTCACAAAGGAATCATTCAAGTGACAAACTCATACTTTTGTGTTGTTTTCCTCTCATAGGAGGAAACCATTGTGACTCCAGTTTTGTGTCATGAGGCAAGCGGTATATTCTAAGTATTAAATCGGAACAGGATCAGATACAATTAGTTTTGACTTGTGTTTCCTTCCTACCATGGCTACATATTCTTGAGCTGGCTGACTTTTCAACGACATTGGAACATAGTCCGATTCTTCTTCTTTTGTGGGTTTTTTCCTCACCGCTCTGAAATTTTTTCACAAAAAATCTCATTAGTAACTGCATGACAAACCAATGTCTACTAGAACTCTGATTAGTTGAGAAAATCAGTATAGCTCATAAAATAAATTTTACTTTCAGAAAAGGTTTGTGAGTTCTTGCTCGGAACGCCATCACACCTGGATACTGTTTGCAAAAGTGAATTTGGTTGACTTGAACCTCAATTTGCTAATCAAAGCACTTGTAGATTCACCTTGCCAGATTCATGTCAGTAGGCTATTGAAAAGCAACTCAAAGATTTTCATCCTTGGACAAAGCTATGTCCACGCACAGGCTGTACATGTTTATTGCACATCAATTGAGAAAATTAAAAAAATATCTTTTCATGCATGATAAATATGTAATGTTAATGCATTGAAACAAAACAATATTTCTTCACTCAATTTTGCTCGATGACTTCAACCCTTTGATACTCCTGGATCCCTCATTTTTCAAGAGCATTTTCATAAAGCTTCTGAGACTGCATAGTAAACTGTTGAATAATATTCGTGGAATAAAAATACTTTCAAAATAAGTAGTCTTCTACTATGTAAATAAATAATAATAGTAAAAAAAAGGAAAGAATTGAAACGTCAACTAATTTCAGCAGTGACTCATTGCAGTTGAAAGTGTCTTATTAAGAATGTAATAGAAAAATAACAAGAAACTGAAAACAACTCAATGAAGAATCAGTGACAATTTTTATAATGGAAGAAAGTCTTGGCATGTCTCATTGTAGATTGCTCTCCACTATGAATCTCTCCTCTAGAGCTGTGCATCAACAAACAATTCTCTCCCTATCCCTATCATTTTAATACCTTTTTAAGTCCCCCTTTTTGAGTGTGCCGCAAGGAGACATATAGGCTGACAGCACTGGAAAGTGATAATATACTTACGTGCTTTTTTTGATCAAAGGACTCCTAGGTGGCAGAGGTGGGGGTTGAGGGCAAATCTGTGGAGGGGGGACTGGCTTATCGTCAATCTCCTCGTAGATGCCTGATGTTAGGCTGGTCATCGAGTTGTTGGACACCTTGCGCGGAAGTCGCTCATAGATATTGCCTCGACTTCTTTCGTCTGACTCTGTTTGGGACTGAGTCTCAGAGTCTTTGTCTTTGTACAGGTTCTCTAGGTTATGGACGATGAACTGAGGTGCAGGCACAGGGACCGGTAGGACAGCATGGCACTGAGCTAAATTTGTCATAGAACCTGGCACGCTTGACCCTGGTGTTGTCATTAAGAGCCCGACACTTGCAAATAATAGATTGTTCGTACTCTGCAATAAACCATTACTCATTACATTCTTGACCTTCACGTTATTTGAAACTTTTAGAAAAGAGCACCATGATGCATGGAAGGAAAATTTTAATGATTCAAAATAATTTCTCAGTCGCAAAAGTCGCAGAAAAACCAGGGGTGAGAGCCTTGCAGCTCACCCCTTCAACCTTAGTAAGTAAAAAAATATAATTTTAAGTCATAAATGAATTATAAATACTAAAAAATATACATGTATCTATATCAAAGTTAATGAACTCATTTACACATCATCCAAATAAATTACTAAAAATTATTATTACAAAGAAAATTATTTGTACCAAACAGAAGCTACGTATAGTAACATAGGAAAATTCTGATACGTTGCGTTGCAATGAAATGAAGCTTAATTATCATGCGATACTAGAAAGAATGAGTTGAAAGCCGTTTTCATGTTTGTGCTAAGAGAGTGTCAAGGTTCATTTAATCCAACAATTTTTAGCCCTCGTCTGCAGGGTGGATCACGACTTAGCTCGTAAAGATCGCGTCATGTAAGCATACGTGTGACCCTTTATTGTTTATATCATTTTCAACTTCTTCCTTTTTAAAAGAAATTGAACTCGACGTATTAGTTGATTGCGTTGAAAAAAAAGGTTTAAGGATTTAGTTTGAGAAGTGAGCCAAATCCAGTCGCGAAAACTAACCTAATGATTTTGTAACTGCGCTTAATGGTGACGGGCCGTTGTACTTCACGAGCTCTGCGCGAGAAATGGAAATTGATGCGGCATTTCTCCACATTTTTGGATGCGAGTCGCGTGACCTCTCCCGAAATGAACTGTTCATAGTCCGCTAAACGAAGCTTTGTGTCTCGTGTATCTCGTGACAAGTTGTAGAGTAGGTACCAATTCCATAAAATTTCAATTTTTCCCGCCCTCTGGTCAACGAGAGGTCCACCAATCACGCACTAACCGCGCTCGACGCTGATTGGCCGTTGCACTCAACGAGAGCGCCGCGCGGCGAGAAATCTGCGCGGGCAATGTGAATTAAATGATAGCGCAAAGATACAACTGTTCATTCAGGCTTGATGAAATGATTGATATCCAACTTGTTGATGCAAAATTGAAAGCGAATGTCCCACCCGTGTCCGGATCGGCACGATGGTCCCCACTCAATTTTGACCCGAAGCAGGATTGGGCCAGGGACAAGAGACCCTCCACTGGTCTCTTCACGGAAAAAAATAAAATGTTGATTTAGCATTTATAATCCTGGAAAAATGTGCGAGATGTTTCAAATGCTGATTTTACATTTAAAAATGCTAACTTTACTTTTGAATATGTTCATTTAACCGTGGCCGTAGTTAAGTTAGCATTTTTTTAATGTAAAAACAGCATTTGAATCATCTCGCACATTTTTTTAACATTATAAATGCTAAAGCAACATTTAATTTTTTCCCGTGTTGGTGACAGGTGGAGGCTTTTACTTTTGGGGATTTCAACACTTCCTTATGGACCACTTCCTCCCAAGGGAGCAACTAGACAACTTAGTGAATGAGGAGCTCCGAGTGATGTAGTGAGCCAAACAAGTTTCCCAAACTTTGGTCAATTTGCAAATCGAAATTCTTAACACGTTGTTGACCATCCACTTAGTGGGTAAGTCAACAATTAGGTAAATGTTGGAGTCTCGAAATTAGAAGCTCCCGAAACATTGTCAAATACCACAGTGGAGGGTATTTTTGTCCCTGGATTGGGCTTACGGAATTATATTATACATATATATGGTGCTGAGGATGATGATGTGCACTCACTTTACTAGTAGCTAGATCGTCCTGAGATATTCTGAGGAGGGCTTGCCGCGGCAAGGTGTGTTGAAGTAGGAAAAGTTGGAGATCTCCCTCGCTCCTGCTCATCCTCCGGGTAGCCAGCAGCGAGGCGGGGGGTGGGGAGGCGGGGAGAGGGGTCGTGAAGTAGGTAAACGATGGCGTGGGCGAGTGTGAATGCGAATGAGAGTGGTAGACGGAGGGTGGCGGCGACGGTGGAGCTGGCAGCGGTGTGTGCATGAGCCTTCTTTGGATCCGGTTCCTTTGGCAAGAGGAGAGGCTCTCGTGAAGCTCGCTTGCGTTCGGGCAAAACAGCTTCAGATTCCCTATTCCCGAGTTAAAGGAGCTGCAACATTCACATCAATCGGAATCAAGTTTAATCGTGAAAAAGGATCTTAGAGTTTATAAGCATGAACCTAGCGTACGCATTAAGGACTTGTCATTAATAACATGCCAAGTGCCAACAAATTGATTTAGAGTTCTTTAAACTGCCACGACACATACCGCTAACGCAGACCCATAGGGACCCCAATAGCCCAAAGGAATCCAAATGGAACCATCAAAATGGTTGTAAATGCCGGAGAGGATGTCAAATCCCAGCCTTTTCCTGAAATTTCAAGGCAACCAAAAAAATCGAAGTTTGAAAATCTGAGGTGTGCCAAATATAGGAGCACAATGAATGGCAGAGTAAACTTACAGAAAAGAAGCGGGATGGGTGTGAAAAAAAATTGAAGAATCCTTGATTTTTTTATGCGGTGTGTCGCAATAAGTTTAACTGGGTAGTCGTGGGAATTCAAAACCTGGTACTTAAGTGTCATCAGGTGCGTTTCTCGCTGTATCTTTACACCGCCTCCAATGTAAGTTTCTTTTTTACGGATGAAATTTTACTCGCATTAGCTTCTGCTTCTTGTTTTAATTTAATTTTCGATAAACTCTTCGTTCGAATACTATTGTCTGCACTCTGCACCGACCGTTTCATCAATTTTACCCAGCCATTCTTCACACGTATTATCTTTCCTCTGTTTCTGCAGTTCCTTTCAAATTTTATGCTATCATCGTTTCTAGTCTCGCCGAACATAGTGCGGCCGACACGCACATTAGCGCCTTCAAGACTGCAGGAATACTTCAAGCATTGCGCCAAACACAGTGCGGTCGGTGGTCGCCGCGCAACGCGTATCAGCGCCAACTAGAGTACCTATCTGAATACTTCACGCGTTGCGCCTAACACAGTGCGGTCGATGGTCGGCGCGGAAAGCATATTAGCGCCTACAAGAATGCAGGAATACTTCATGCATTGTGCCAAACACAGTACAGTGACAGTCGCTGGTCGGTATGAACCGCATATTGGTAATTCTGCGAAAGCCGTCCAATTTGACCTCCAAAAAACTGAAAATTCAATATGATTATTTTGGATCGAGGGTGTTTTCCTAGCCAAGTCAGGATTAAAAATTCAATATACTTATTAAGGATTTTTCCTTCCTAAAGTTGAATGAAAGTAAATGTTGGATTACTGGAGAATCGAAAGGATGTTTTTTTTTTCTTTTTTGAAGTGGCAGAATATACCACTCATCCCAAGCTATGGATGCAATACCACTGCGAAGACTTGATGATTTAGACTATATCACAGGTTATCCTACTCTTAACCCCTCAATGGGCCAACAAGAAATATCTGAATACTTTACAGGGCTCCTTTTCAAAGAATACTTTTTGTGATGTCCGACATCGGATACATGCAGTTGAGTTTCAGTTAAAATTCTAAGTGATACGGTTGCAGCACTAGTGGCTCACATATTTTTACAAGGGCTCTTACGGGCATTCAGGGACCTATAGAACTCATCCCTGCACAATCTTAGCAACACTTGAATGTTCAGAGGATGCTTCGATTTACATTTTGCTTCTTTTGCTCTGGACGTTAGTGGACAGCAAAGTCGAAAGCGTGAGATGCTTACCTTCCGGTTTGGAGTACGCATATCCTATTGACATCCTCTGAGTTGACTGGCGAAGGAATGAAACTATTGTAGAAGGTGCTCCACGGCCATCGTACTTTCACGGTATCTGTATAAGGATCTCTGATCGTAATTTCGGTGGCTTCAATACTTAAGATCCCGTACAGACCTATGAGTCCTGCGGCTCGAGAATGGTCGTTGTCAATCACAGAAACTGAAAATTCTCCGTCACCGGCTGAAAAATCATCGAAAACAAACTCTTTACTTAACAAGACCAAAATGCATAATTGGAAGGACGAAGCAAAGTACATCTGAAGTAAATAGGCAGTAAAGGCTCGACAGTTTTTTCTTCTTCTCATGTTTGCCAAACTTCATAGTCTCGAGAAAAACAAACACGATTTGAACCAACCAGAGGCGTAGGAAGGGGGGCCAGGGGGGGCCTGCCCCCCAGAATTGGAAATAGTACATCTGCCCCCCCCCCAAAATTCTGGATGGTGCAAAAACACCTTCTTCAACGGTAAGTCTCTGTCGCCGTGGCTCGTGTGAGGAGATGCCTATAAATAGAAAAACCTGTTGAATGCAACAATTTCAAAGTATTTTAACCTTCAAATGCATAAAACTGGGTGCTTTTTAGGCAGAAATTGAAGGAAGATTAGCGCCACAAGTGCCTCGAGATGCGCTCAAATAGAGTTAAAATTTCAATACTTTTCCGGGGGAGGCCCCTCGGACCCCCCAGCTCAGTGGGGGAGTATTCC